AGCCTACATCGTACCAGCAACGTACATCCATGTAAGCACCCATTACGTGCGGAGAAAGTCGCCGATTGTGTCAACAACCGGCCAAATGGCACGTTCCATTCCTTGCTTGCCTTGAAACTAGCGTTGAGGCTGCCGCTTTTGTCGTACAAGTGTAACCTGTACTGCGGAAGATCTGGCAGTACACCAGCGGGTGTGTCGTACGTTGCGCCAACCGCCACCACATTCTTACTGCTCGACTCAGGGCTGATGGTGAAGGGCTTGAGAACCTTCCCACCTGTTGCATGCGGTTCCACCATTACTACAGCTCTCATGGTGATTTAGGTCTTGGACTTGGACTTTCGCATGGAAATTGCAATGGACCCATGGGCCATGGGGCCGTGTATATAACCGGTGTCTAATTAAGACATAGGTAATCGCATAATAGCATGTGCAAGATCGAAACCCCACCAAAGTTTCCTGCAGCGAAGAATGTGATGTACTGCGGATTGCGCCACAGGAAGTTGTCGATCTGCAGGCTGGAGGGGTTGTACGGAGATTCTAAGTTGCCCCAGGAGTTGCTGACGATGAAAGCGCCTGCGTCCTTGTAGATCTGCAGCAAGGGCAAAGCAGCTACCGTGAGACAGGCAGGGGCGCCGGCATTGCCAATGCCGCTAGTTTACCTGTTCATGAGCGTTAGTATGAGTGTGCACGGCACGCAAAGCAAGCACGCTTGGATTCAGCAGTACGGAAATCGTACACCGAACCACACAAAGGTCCATGTGTGCCTACGGTAATGCCTTTCTCACTTGTCTACCGCAAGCTACCAAACCACTGTCTTTAGGGGTTGTATCCCTCAAATCTTCATGACATTACTAGGTTTACTGCCCCGAAGGGCCCGAACTGACTTGAAAATACAGGGCATCCAAGGGCTCGGGCACGGTGAGGCTGTTACTGCCGCCTCCGCCACCACCACCCGAGGGAGAGGCCGGCCCGCCTTGCATGTCCACAAACGCAAGTCGAGCTCGAGGAGCGGCCCCTGTGGCGCGATCCGTCGCGACGTAGGGCCCACCCGGGTCGCTAGCATTCGCAGGTACGGCCCCGGCGATGCTGCCGCATACGTGAGTGCCGTGCCCCGCGCCCTCGCCCACAGCAGTACCTGCAAGCGAGGGCTACGCGCTTGGGCAGCTATAGCTGTATGGTATGCATGATTGGATGGAAGAGTCATGGGTGAAATGTTGATATCATGTACATGAGAAACCACTGTGGTCGTGCACGATCACGCAAGATCAGGGCAAGAGACCTCGTAGTGGATGTGTACGTAAGTAGGTACGGTACAGTAATGGATGTGGGATAAAAGCAATGTGCCAGTACCCCTGATTGCCGTACATAGGGGGTGCCGTGGACCCAACTCAAACAGTGCCGTACGACATGTACGGCACCTCGTCGTACCTTCCACCACCGTGTACTGCACCACTTTGCGATGTCGAGGCAGCGCGAGCTGCGAGGGCGGAATGATGTCCTCCAGAGCCCGCTGGTAAGTGTCCGGGTAGCGTGGGTCGGTGAAGTAACAGGAGCTCACTGCGAGACCCGTGTCGCCAACCTGTGTGTGTGGGTTTTGTTGTTGTACGACACAGGAGGTAGCAATCAGGTAGGGAACGGGGCAGAGTTCAGGATGCGGATGGGGCGAAACAGGTCCCCACTCAGACCTTGGGGAATTAGGGTATGATACAGCCCTGCCCGGTTGACCGTGACCGCACAAGCCTGTCGGTGTTACGGTAAAAGGATGGCTGGGCATGCATCCCCGATGTACGTTAATAACCAACCGCCAACTCACTCCAACGATCTCTCCGCTGCCGTCCAATCCAGCTGATCGGTACGGCAACAGCTTTTTGTCCTTGGCCGTAGGCTTGCCGTACTGCTTTCCCGTGATGGCGCCTTAACATGGGGTGAAACATGGGGAACATGGGGAAGCGGGATGCCGTACTTCTCTTTAGACATTCAGCACCATGTTTGGTACTCTTGCCACAGCTACTGGTATACATGCGTGTGTTTACAGGTAGGCACTGTACCTCCGTACTTGTCGTACCTGTTTGCATCAGGACAGAAGAAGCCACGTTCATAAGCGACGCCCTTAGTTTGGGCGCAACCCACTTCACAACGGGCTGGCTGGACAACCAGGAGATGGTGTCCGCCAGATCCTGCACAGTCGAAGAGGACATAGTTAGCATATACCTCCAGCAAAGCCACGACTGCCTACCACGTACCGTACATACACACGTTTAAGCTTGTTAGGAAGTCAAAGAACCGGACATGCAGCACCGCGGCCGCCGCTCACCTGCTGGCAGACGTACACATGCACAACCGGGTTCATACTATTGGCCAGGTCCACCGCACTTCGCTGAGCCGCCTGAACCACGGGTCGGCACTCGCCCGCTGACTGCTGTCGCCCAGTGCTGCCATACCTGCCACCGCTGCTGCTGCTGCCACTGCCACTGCTGCTCTCACTGCTGGGATCGGTACTACTGCTGCCAGCATCAGTGCTATTGGACTCCTGCCGGGTGTTGCCTTTGCTGTTGCGGCCGACAGCTGCCTTATCCCTTAACGCCAGGTAAGTCGCCAGAGCCTCCGGCCAGTCCAGCTCTGCTGCTCTCAGCGCTGGCATCTGAAGCCCCGGAACCAAATCCACTCGCAGACCGTACAACGGCGGCGCCGTACTTTCCGTACCTGTTGCCGTACTACTGTCACCGCTGCGCGAGTTGTACGGATACTGACGGTTGTCACTGTTGCCATCTTGCTGTGATGTTTCCAGATCGTAGTCGGCATAGTCACTGGCTGCACCGCCGGGACCGTTTGAGAACAGCGACCTAAATGCAGCGGTCTCCATTGTCGTAGTTGACACGGCGGGATCGGTGGGTGGGCGCGGGGTCGTCTTGGCCGGCAGTGGAGACGATGTGGGCGTTGCGGATGAGGACTTGTAGTAGACACGCATGCGGTCCAGGAGGTCTGGTGCCGCGGCAGGTGGTGCGCGGCTCGTCTCTCCTGCAGCGCCACCACCTGGTGACGACCTGAAGCCCGTCACTGCCTCGGTGGGCGACGGCAGCAGCAGTGGGGAGAGCTCTGGGTCGACTGAGTGGCGCGGATCGTAGGGAGCCTGGAGGGTTGTGGCGGTGGACCGAGCGAGAGAGAGAGACCGATGGAGAGAGAGAGAAATCAGGAGGGAGAGGCCTATAGGAACGGCGGCATCGGCATACAGGGTAGGTAAGGGCATATTTAAGTACTTGCCTTTCTCTTTCCCAAATCTCACCTTCCCACCCAGTCTTCCAGCAGGAAGTCAGGAGGACGATCCCCGCAAAACAAGGTCCGCAAAACGACATTGTCATGGAGGAGGGTGCCGTGTTTCTAGCTACCGTAACTCACCGCATGACATCCCAAAGTCGCCGCCAAGGTCAACACCGTCTCGGGCTTGCCGAACACCAGCAACGTATTGGGCGGGAAGTACGACACTATCTGAACGCTACCGCCTTCGCCCACCGCATCATGGGTATTCGCTGCCGACGTGATGGCCGATCTCAGCCTTTCACTTGAGCACCCGGAGGCACGGGTAGCAGAGGCAGCCGCAACGCCTGCGGCATTGCTGGATCTCCAATCCACAGCAGAGGCAGCGTTGGCGGTGTTGTTGTACGACAGCAGAAACTTTCCAAGAGCTGGTGCAGTGCCCCATGCCTCAGCTGATCTGTACGGCAGGCCGCCTGCTGGATCTGCCGTACCAGTGGTACCCGCAGCCGCTGCAACATCGGATGCCCGTACTTGTCTGGCGGTTTGCCGGTATGTAGTACAACAGGGCGAGGTTTGGCGGCAGGAGGGAGGACGAAAACACACATTGTAGGTGTGGAGGGGCGGTTGTCACAGTGGGGCCATAGCCAGGAATGGTCAAATGGTGACAAGTGCTGGATCGCAGTTGAATCCAGCTCGTGAGGGCTCAAGTACAGGCCCGGCTTTCCCCTTAGCACCCTGCACGGCCCTTTCGTTGCTTCCCTCCCTCACTGCATGTGCCCTACCCCTCTCGTGCAGCATGGCCCTCAATCTCCCCGCGCTCGCCCCATGTGCTATTGTCCCATCCTCACCGCAGGGTGATGCCGCCGGTGCGCAGTGTCACAGTGCTGCTGGTGACGCCTCCTTCGCTTCCCCCTCCTCCTTGGAGCTGTCGCTGCTGCTGCTGCGGCTGCTCCGCGCCCTGCTGACAGACTGCGACACGTGAAGACGACAGCACAGCAAGAAGCACTGAGGCGGCCAGCAGGAGGTGTGTACGGCGACGTGGCATGCTGCTGTGCTGGTGGTGCGTGGATAACCTAGCGAGCTGGCTAGTGAGGAGGAGCGCTGGTGGCTGGCTAATCGCCTGCAGTTGGCAACTGCCCGTCGTCCCCACGGGCAAAGCGATGGGTAGCGTTGGATGGTAACGGTGGGTCAGAGGCCGGCAACCCACGTAAGCGCTTGGGAAGTGAGGACGGGGTAACAGGCTCAACCGGTAATCCTAGCTCAGTGTTTGTTGCAAACCGTGTTAAGCTAACTCAATACGGTTAGGTGTCAGGTAGATTGCACTCTAGGTCATGGCAACATAGGTGGATGAACGGATGGGCGCGCGTGCTGTGCACAATGTTTGCTAGTCAGGTAAATGCCGTCTCCGCGTGCAAGTGCTGTCTCCTTGTAACCATGCCCTATATAGCGGGATACGCAGTGGAACAAACGGCAATCCAAGGAGCCATTTCCAAGCACAGTGGGTCGTCCCAGTTCGTACATTCCCCGCACTTGGACCGACCCAACGGTCCAAGATCATGGATGGCTCCACCACGCATCAGGAGCTGCAAGGTGTACAGGTAATGACGTGTGCCCGGGCTTTTGTTGATGGTGGAATCACTGGAATGTAAATCCAAGCAGCAGCTTACATCAAGAAATGTTTACCGCCAGGTCACGGAAGGGCGAGGGACATAAGCAGCGGATAAGACGACATGCCCTACATGCGGCCGTCCTTAACTCCTTATGCCCATTGGACGCGCGTGTATACCGGTATCCAGGGGCTATGTCGCCATGTCGACTGATAGTATCGTGTTTTTGCACATTCGCCTGCGGCAAGGAGGACCACCTACCGCTACCTGCAGCCAACTGTGTCCGTTGGCTCCTAAATAACCTCTAACACATGACCGTTTCCGGTGGTAATTGCTACTGCCGCTGCAGCCCCTGCCAAGGCAGTGCCAAAACGGGCAAACGGGAGCAACGAAACCAGGACCACCCTTCGTGTCCTGCTGCCTGCCACGAACCCACGTACGACAGACCTTCACACACGTTTACCTCCCAGCAAACCACACGGCCAAACAGAACTGTTGAAACGTATGCGTTTGGAAGGACCAAGAACTTGGATTGACCAGATGTACTGATACAAGGAATTGCTCCGCCTTCCTTTCATAGCCTCTCTTCAGACGGCGATGGCCCTCACGACCCCCCTCCTCACGGCCTGCCAGCCACTGGCCCCAGGGGACCCAGACACCCAGTCACTCATACACCCCCTGGCTGTCGAGCTAACGTGCTGCCGAACTGGGAACCCGGGCACATAGCTAAGGCAGCACAAAGTGACATCAGCCGGACCAGGCAGCGCATACATATCGAACTGCATTCGGCAAGAGCAGGACACACCCAGGATCGTCACGTGGGTTCTCAAACACCATCGGAATGGCACCACCTGATACACACCGTACCCGGATTCCGGTTGCCTTTTCAAGTCATACATTTGTAATTGGGAAAATCCATTTCGTGGGAATAAAGAAACTGCTGCTCAAAGGCCGCAGCCAAACATGGTGTACTCCAAGCCCGAGACTACCGCCAAACACAACCTCGACGACGCGGCAACTTCACCCAACCAGACGCCAGCTGAACACATCGCACCACTTTCTTCCCTTCTAAATGACTGACATGCTCCTCTGACTGAGCCCTCTGAATCCAATGAGGAACGATTTCAGGCCATCGATGACCAGTTCGCCGCCACCGGCTGCTCTTGCGGCTTCGGCCTAGCTGGTGTTCTCTCTCTCTCCGTCTCTTATACTCTCTTCTTCGCTCAATCTTTTTCCCCATCGCTGCAAATGCTGCCAGGGGTCCGCCGCTTCATCCTCTTCCACACACCTGCCCCTGGCACACACATCCCCTCAATCAGCTCCAACATAGCCCCGCCAGGCAGCCTCTCAGTGCATACCTCGACACCCAAACGAACTCGGAAGGGAGCGCATACAGGGACGATGGGGGAACAGAAGGGGGGGCGGTGCAGGGGCAACTTGCGCCCCTACACAGCGCTCGCCAGAGCAGCAAACGCTGCTGGTGATGGTCATGTGGACCATTGTAAAAATGATGTGGACCGTGGGTTGAAGAATGATGATGGGGTTGCGGCTGCGGGTTTGCGGCTGCGGGTGGACGCGCTGTGTCGTGGCCGCTCTGTAGGCCACACTTGAGGCATGCGGCGCAGCAGGAGGAGGGCGGTGCCAGCAGGAGGAGGGCGGGCACAGGTACTGGATCATGCAGCAGCAGAAGCAGCAGCAGCAGCAGCAGCAGCAGGCTTACCGCTAGATGCGACCCGCTGCTGCTGCTGCTGCTGCAGCCGGTTGTGCCTTGGTTGTGGCAACAGCCGGATGTGTGCTGATGGAAGCGGAGTTCTGCCACTTGCACGCATGTCATTTGCTTGTGAGGCAAGCGCTGACAAGCAAGTCGCAGCAGCAGCAGCAGCAGCAGCAGCGGGTGCGGCGGTGGCGAGATAAGGTGCATGGTGATGGCGGGATGAAGGGAGCTGTGTGGGAGGAAGACGTCGGCAATGACGGTGGCGGCAGCGGTGACGACGACGGTCATGAATGCTGTGACGGCGGGGGTGACGCTGAGGGCGGCGTTGCGGCTCACGGTCGCCAAGCCGCTTAGGTCGCTCCGCAAACGGGTGGTGGTATGTGTGCCGGCGAGCATCGACTGTCGCGATGATCCCCGGAGAAGATCCGCGGTTTGAGGGCGTGCCTCCACAACCCGCCGCCGCCGAGTGCTAGCCTCCGAAACCAGCTGCAGCCCAATCCGTGTACCTAATCATTCCTTTCATGCGCGCCCGCCGCTGCTGAGAACTTGCATCATCCTTTCCCCTTTGCAATCTCCTTAACCTTGGTGCTAGAAACCTTAGCACCCTCCGAGTCCTCCCAATTGTGATAAAAGAAAGCGAAACACGGGCCGTTTGCGACCCATGGGCCATGTTGCTCCCTCACCCCTGGGCATCCGCTCCGCCACCGTTGCCGCCGGCATGCCGCTGTTGCTGCTGCTGCAGTTGTTGCGCCAAGAAAGACAAGCAGCTGAGATCCTCACCAAACATACCCGCCAAGCCGCCCCCGCCGCCCTGCTCCTCATTCCGCGAACCCCCTCGCGGGCCAATCTGCTGATTTGGCTGTCCAAACCAGTGCCGCTGCTGCATTGCTGCTTGCGACGGCGATGGCGCGTCTTCGCCGCCACCAACAACGCCGCCGCCATTACTCAGTCCGCTCGTACCCGCCCGCCGCAACATTCGATGGTAATCCGAGAGCTGCTCCGGCAACGCCGGGACCACACCCCATGAACCGAAGCCCTCCAGCGCTCCTAGAGTTGGCGGCTCCGTCGCCGCCGACGCGCCCCCAGCCCTAGCGGCGGCGCCGCCAGGCGCCGCCACCGCTTCCGTTGCAGCGGCCGCCATTCCCGCCGTCACCGTAAAGCCCTGGCCGCTGCCACGGCTTCCGCCACCTGCGCCGCCGTCTCCAGCGGCGCTGCCGCCACTGCCGCCGACAGTAAAGTGCAAAGCGGCACCAGCGGCGCCAATGGCAGCCGCGACGGCTCCCGACCCCGTGTGTCGTTGAGCGCTAGAAAAGAAGCCGCTGTTTGACGTCGCGCTGGATTCCCGTGTGATGGGACGGCGGCCAGGCGCCGAGTAGCTGGCGCCCCCCGCGGCGGCGACGGCGGGAGCAAACCGATCGTCAACATCCATGTAGTCCTCCTCCCCGGCTGTGCCACCGTACATGGGCACTCCAGCTGCAGCGGTGGCGGAGCCCCCCGCAGCAGCCGGGAAGTGCTGCCGGCCGCCGCCGGCACTGCTGCCGCCGCCGTCCAGGAAGGTAACGCCGCCGTAGCGGTCTTGGCGGCCGCCGCCGTCGCCGTCGGCATCATCCAGACCCTGAGGGAGAGAACAAGGTGGGAGCAGATCCGTTCAGGGGGTTGCGGTGGGGCGTAAAAGGGATGATGTACGGACCGGTTTGGACAACAGCAACAGCAGGAAACTCAAGAGAAGCAAGATAGGGATAAAATGTGAAAGCGCTCTCATGCAGCCGTACACGACAAGGCTTCCGAGGGAAAGGGCAGCGTCCTGCCCTGCATGGGTGCAAACCGGAACCAGCAGTAGCGGCGCACGTGTAAAGACCCCCTCACGACCCACCTGCAGTACATCATCTGCCATTGCCACGGCAGTCGCCTCCGCTGTGGCCTCCGCCAACGCTGCGGCGTGGTAGTTACCGGCGGCAGCAGTAAAGTACGAGACGTCCATGCCGCCGCCGCCGCCACCTCCGCCAGGCATACCTGGCAGCGGTGGCGTCGGTAGGCCGAAAAGAGTCCCGCCAGCAGCCCCAGCGGCGGCGCCGCCAAGGATCCCGCTGTACTGCAGTAGCTGTTGCTGCTGCGGACCTGCCGACTGCAGTAGCAATCGTCCTCCCGGAGCCGTACCTGCAGTACCACCAAGGCCCTCGGGAACCCCCATGCCGCCAAAGCGTTGTTGTACGACACCCAAGGCATCGCGCCCATGCACGTGCGAAAAGCCGCCATGATCACCGCCAGGAAACAAAAGCGATTGTTGTGGCGGCTGCAGTTGCTGTTGTGCTTGCGCCCGCATCTGCAAAGACGCTGGAAGGCCGACAAACGGCGCCGCGGAAGCAGACGGTGTGCGTCCTGCGTCCGGTAACGCCTGCGGCGGTTGTGCTGGAGGCTCTGCATGCTGAGGGTGCTGTGACGGCGGTGGGTGTAGCATGGAAGTTGTTGGCGCCGCTGCCGTAGCTGGCGGCGGCGAACGTGATGCTGACATCACACCAGGGACCCCCAGAGAGGCCCCGGCGGCGGCGGGAGTGTGAGCTTGTCCCCGCGCCGCTGCCACGATGCTACCATCACCGCTGCTGCTAATCCTGCCGCTGCCGACGGTGGCAGTCACGCTGGAAGGAGGAGGAGCAGCGCCGCCGCCCCCGGTAGCGCTGGATGGCCGCCGAACTGCGCCGGCACCTGCCGTACCTCCACCTCCGCTGCCGTACACTCCGCCAGCCGCCGCAGTAATCCCACCGCTGCCGGTGCCATGCAACAAATGCTGTAGGAGGCCTATTGATCCGGCACCCGGCAAGTCTCCAGCCGCCGGCGACGGCGGCCGCGGAATAGCCGTACTTCCCGCCGCCGCCGCCGCTGACGTCACCATGCCTGATCCGGACGCTCCGCGTCCCCCAGCGGAACCACCACCGCCACCGCCACCGCCGCAAGCGCCAAGCTCCCACCCCACCAACCGCGGCGAGGTGTTGCTGTTGGTGGTGTTAATGCCGTACAGCGACCCCGGGCTCGCAACTCCGCTACTGCTGGGACCCCTGCCGCCGCAAACAATGGACAGGCCTCCAAGCCCTCCACCGCCGCCGCTACCAGTGATGTGGAGGGCAACAGCGGCGGCGGCCGCACCGCCGCCGCTGGAGGTGTTGAAGTCTCCAGTGCTCAGCACGGAGGGCGAGCGGGTGAGCAGTCCTGAGCCGTCGCGCGAGGGGTCGCGGCTGTGGTGGTAGTGCGAGAGGGTGCCGCTGGTGGGGAGCCCGGTCAGGCCTGTGAGGGGAGCGGGGTGGCGAGGGCGGGTGCCAAGGGGGTTCAGGTGTGTGGACCTGTGTGGTCCGTGTGGACCGTGTGGTGGTTTGAACGAACACAGCCATCAAGCAGAGCTCCTGGGAGAACACGAGAATGATGACTAGCAGCACATGCATCAATTCAGGAAAGGTGCAACCATTCGAAGGGTGTCACGGTACGACGCACACCGCACCGCACCACACCGTACCTCGCAGCAGCTCCCCGCCAAGCATCTGAGCCGCCCCCTGCCCGCCTCCACCTCCGCCACCACCTCCTCCACCTCCGCCACTGTACACCCCACCCGCACCACCGCTCGCACCGCCTCCGCTGCTGCTCCTCCTGTGCAGGTGATGCAGGGCAGTGCCAACACTGGCCGGCCGCGTCATGCCGCTGGAGCCGGGACGTGGCGGCTGATACACGATCTCATCCTCCTCCGCATTCTCATCCTCGTCAACCGCCACCGAACGGGAAGGAGCGGTGTTTGCATGAGCGCCGTTGCCGCCGTTGATGTGGTCAGTGGCACCGGCGCCGGCAGCAGCAGCGGTGGCGGAAGCCATGTGCATAGCGGCGGCAGCGGCGGAGACGGAGACAGCAGCAACAGCAGCCGGGCTGCTGCCGGAAGGGGCACTGCCACCGACGCCCATGCCGGCGTTGACGTGGAGTGCACGTGGCATGGGCGGCTGCTGCGCGTGCTGCTGCTGGGGGTGCGGATGTGCCGAGGAGGAGGCGTTGTGGGGTGCAACAGGGGGCAGGGGGAGCCCAGGTAGGATGTACTGCGGGTGTTGCTGCTGCTGCTGCTGGTGCAGTTGGGGGTGGGCAGGAAGGTGTTGTGGATGCTGCTGCTGCTGCTGCTGCTGCTGGGCATGGGGAGGATGCTGGGAATGCAGATGGGGATGAGAGGTGGCATGCGCGGTATGTGGAAGGTGCGGATGCGCCGGGCCTTGCATGGCCGCTTGAAGCTGCTGGTGCTGCTGCTGGTGTCCGCCCGCAAGCGTCGCCAGCTGCACGGCATGCTTGAAGCTCCGTACCGCCGCCGCCAGCTCCCGGGCCGCCGAGGCGGCTGGCGGCGGCAGGGCTGCATGTGCCGCGGCCCCGGCGGGCGCTGCCCCCCCGCGCTGTGGCCCTAACGCTTCATCCAGGTGTCTCAGCGCCTGCAACATCCTGGCCACGCGCACCGCCACCACTGCGGCGCTGCTGCCGGGCGCCTCCGTCGCCGCCGGCCAGCCCGCCGCCACCGCCACCACAGGTGCCAGCGGAGCGAACCCGGCTAGCTCCGTGTCCTCAGGCAGGCTGCGGTGCCGTACGGTGGGATCCTGGGAGCAGCCATGCATGGGGAAGGGAAAGCGTGGTGCCGGGAAGTTGAATGTAAGTGTGAGAGTGTAGGAACGAGTAACGACGAAGAGGCGGCGGCGGTCAGGTGCCAACTGTATGTCTGTATCGGATGAACCGGTACACACACAATTCACACATCTCAAGCTGCAACCTACAGTTTCATTCGGAACGGTTGGTTGTCATCCGACCCCTTCCCAGCCTCCTACCTGCCAGTCCTGGTCATGCGCACGCCTCCGGGTGAGGTCCGACAGGTGCGCTGCCAGCCTCGACGCCGCCACCAGGAATGCAGCCCGCGCCGCCACCTCTGCCACCACCGCCGCCGCCGCAGCGTCCAGCGAAACAGAAGCCGCGGCGGCGGCGGCGGCGCTGCCCCCGCCAGCCGTCGCACTTGGCCCCACCGCCGGCGCTGGCTCGGCCGACAGCACACTCGGGTTCGAAACCATCCACGCCAGCATGACATGGCAAGCCGTGGAAACCGCTCCGAAACCAGTACCGACGTCGCCGACGCCTCCGCCGGCAGCGGCCGCCTCCGCCATGCCTGCCGTACAGCTCGTAACCGCCGCTGCGAACCGAAGCGCCACCGCCAGTGCATGGCAGCGCAGCTCGGCGCGCTGGGCCGCGGCGACGTAGCTGCTGCCGCCGCCGTACGCAGACGCGGCGGCGCCACTGCCGTACGGTACGGCAGACACGTTGTGTACAGCAAATATGTTCATAATGGCGAGGAGGAAGAGGAGCTGCTCGGTGTCGGGGGCCTTTTGCAGGATGGCGCGGCAGCCGGGGTGGCCTGCGGGATGGAGGAAAAGGAACCGGGACGATTGTCAAGTAGGGGTAGCCAATAATGAAGCCAACGGTTCCTACATCATCATTCCATTCAATTCATTCCTCCTCCCACTCACCCCACTCAACACCTCCCTAACCTGTGGTATTGGTATATCTCTGTCTCCCTGGTTTCCTATGGTTCGATATGGCCCCCCCCCCTCACCCAGCACCAGCTCCAGGTCCCTGCCCGCCTCCGCCAGCACCCCCGGCAGGCTGTCCAGGTTGATGCGGTCGAACAGCAGCCCATGCAGCCGCACGAAGCGAGTGCACACGTCGGTCAGGTGGCCCGAGGCGGCGCGAGCGTCCGCGTCGCGACCGCCCTGCAGCGCCGCTGAGGCATGCGAGGCGGCGAGGTTGCCGTACCTGCGGGAGGGTAAGAGGGTGCATGCATGCGGGAGGTGAAGATGGCGGAGGAGGAGGCGGTACGGAGTAAAAGGGTGATGAGAGGGTATGACAGGTATGACGACTTGCTAGTCGCCAGCAACGGTAAAGCACTCGCATTCATGAGTGCAAAACCCATACACCATCAAAGCCAGATAAGCTATTACTTAACAAACCCCATGCCACCCACCCTTCCCCCACATATGCTTACTTGCTCCTGTTCTTCTCAAACAGCAGCAGCAAGTTCTCACGCGCCGTGGCGAAGGGCATCGCCACCGCCAAACTGCGGAAGTAGTAATACACGGCACGCAGCTCGTCGCCCGTGTAGTACGACATAACCGCCATTTGGTTGTACGGATTGCCGGACGCCGGCAGTACACGTGCGGCCTGGCGGTAGTACGACATGGCTCGCTCCCACAGGGGCCGTGCCGAGGTGGGGCGCTCCTTGAGAGCCATGCTTTGGTACCTGCATGTGTTGGCGAGTGCGAGGGTTTAGTGAGAGGGAAGAAGGAAATGGAAGGTGCATGGACCTCGTGAGGAAGAGACTGTTCGGGAAAGAAACATGCAGAGGGGTTGCACGGACAGGTGCGCGCTCGTTGCAAAACTTCAAGCCTGCGGGCAGCAAGGGCTGAAGTCGGAGGCGCAGGGTGGGAGGAAGCACCAGGCAGACGTGCTGGCGCTCCTAGCAAATCCGTGCTTACGATAGCGACTGCATCGTGGCCGTCAGCACACGGGTAATGGGGCGTCCAAACCCTCCAAGTCGTGTCCACTGAAATTGCCCCGCAGCAAGCCCCCCGTCGCTCTCACTCGGTCCTCCGCTCCCTACATACATCTCGATATGGTACCCCTTCCACACGCCCACACCCCCACACTCCTCCATCCTGCCTACCCCGCCTCACCTGCACAGATCCCCCAAGTAGATCAGGCAGCGATGCACCGACGCCCGGGCATCAGGCACCCGCCCACCTCCCGCTGCTCCTCCTCCCGACCCGCCTCCTCCCCCTCCTCCGCCGTCCCCCACCAGCCTGGGCACGCAGTTCTGGATCTCATTCTGCAGCGCCGCGTCCAGATCCACTGCCGCCCCCACGCTGCCGTACACCCACTGCAGCTTCCAAACCGTCTTCCGGTAGAACGCAAGTGCTTCGTCCAGGAAGCGCAGGTAGGCACCCGTGGTGCGAGCCAGCTGCGCACGAGCCTCCTCGGGGCTCGCCAGCTGAACATGTGGGGCCGGAGGCGGCGCCGAAGGCGCCGCCGCGCCGCCGCCTGCGGCGGCGGCGGAGCCGCCGCTGCCCCCTGCTGGCGCCCCCTTTGCCAGCGCCTCCAGCGCCCGCACCCTGCTCCTGAACTCCTCAATAGGTTTGTAGAACACCGCCTTCCACAGGCACGGCTCCACCTCGTGCGCCGCGCTGAACTCGTAGTGCCCAAACACCAGCGCCTCGTAGGTGCCCTGCAGTGCGGCACGCAGCCGCCGTACATCGGGGTCCCAGAAGCTCTTCTTCCGCAGCTCCGCTCGCAGCCGCTTCTCCTGCTCTAGGGCCTGGTCCCAGAGCGGCGGCGCAGGGCCGCGGTAGCCGCCGCCGGCGCCCGCTCCGGCAGCCACACTGCCGCCGGCGCCCATGGCGGCGGCCGCCGCAGCGGTGGTGGTGGTTGTAATGGAGTTTGTGGTGTTGTTGGTTCCGGATGCGGATGCGCTGATGGGCGGGGCGGTGCCGCGGTAGGGGGTCAGAGGAGGGGGCTTGCTGATGGCGTTGGCGGCAGCTGCGGTGGCGGCAGCTGTGGGTGAGGAAGGTGTGGTGGTGTGCATGGTTGCTGGATTGAGGGGCTGTGCTGAAATTCTTGGTGGCTCTTGGCTCCTGCTAAGCGGTTGCTAGGCTCCTAGGGCTGCTACTGCTGTGGTGCTAACCTTTTACTGACTGCCTATAGTGGTCGTTGCTGCTGCTACTGCGAGGTGGTCCTGATATCGTCCTTATCTGTCCTGCGCCTGTTCTGCTTCCTGCCGAAGAAGGGAACTGTTCTGAAAGCTATGGCTGGTGCTACTGCTGGCTAGCACGGGCTACTGCCCTATAAGAAAAATCGTCTACGAGCAGGCGAAGTGATTTCGCACGGGGGGAAGGGACGTGGCGTTGCCACACAGCTGCTCGACAGACGCCCTCGCAAAAAAACTCTGGGGTGTTACGCCTGCGAGTCCCACGCGGCTGCTTGTATGCTGTGCGCCGATGGTGGTCCGCGCTGGCCCGCTTTGGCGAAATTTATCAGTGTTACTTGATGCAAAGAAGGTCCCCTGCGTATGCGGCTGTGCAGCCGCGCTGCGCTCCACCTTAGGCCACCATCGCCACTGCCAAACCCACCGACAACAGTCGGTGATCAAACTGTTATATTGCTGGCCCTGAACGCTTTCGAATTGTACGAATACGCTGGTATTGCTGGATAAATGGCTTGGATACGCCGCTGCCCGTCGCGCCGGATACGGAGGCGCCACAAAGGAACTGCTCCTTTTCCTTGAAAGCGCCTATTCCAATATGTTTAGGCCTATAGAGAGAACATGACTTTCAGTATATACAAAGCCAGCAGCGGAGAAAAAGCGTTGTTGTGTAGCCCCGACGAAGACCTTTACCCTGTGCATTTGGGCAGGTTCTATATGCATAGATCTTCCTAAACTACAATAGCATGATGTGACATGTTATCCCAGCGCTGGCTGCCCAGTACTCACTCTCAATTGAACGCAGGCGCCAAAACAATCATTCGAGAGCTCCTGTTGCCTACTCCTAACTTTTATAAAGCTCGGCTTCCTACCTACACAAGGTTGGGGTGCCGCCGCATACTAAAAGCGAGCTCTAGGGAGAGGTTTTGCTCAAAGAACCGGTCTATGCGTTATTGCATATGTATTACTCTGCATTATTGTAGTGAAAATATCTTAATAGCTGTGATAACTTCCTCTGTTTCCGTTAGCATTGCCAAGGCCGCATGGTGGCATGGATGACAGATGCTCGTCAGCGTGATCTCTCGCGGGAACGACAAGACACGGCATACAGTATTTGTTAAGGTCCAGTATAGACAGTGTAGTAACCCATCTCACATTAAGGCTGCTCTTCGGCGACCCTGGACATTGAACGTCCAGAATCTTGACGAGAGTTCCACGTTAGGTCCCTGTGTTTTGCTGCCAAGAACGTGACGGTTCGCAGATTGGAAATGTAACTAGAGGTGCCCTTATGCAAAGCCAAAGCACTAAGTTTCAGCATTTGCGGTCAGTTAGCCGTTTGCGTCTTAACAAGCAGTGCTGCGACATAGGTATCACAAATTCTGATTGGCTTCTTTGACTACCTCTGCATACCTCTATCCTGTTGCAAGGCGGGATATAAGACGCCTGCCGTTTGGTGGGCACTGTGCGACGACCGGCCGACTTCCATCCCCATTGGGTTTGACACCACAACCCGCCAAAGCAGCAAAAGCAACGGGCAACCGTAACCACCATGCCAACAATGCCGTTCGCATTTGCGTGGTATTGGGGGTTGATACGCATTACACAACATCTGCCCTCCAGCTGGGGGGGGCACTTCCCATCGGCACCTGCACGGTCTTATCGTCTGCTAACTCTGGGTCAATCGTCACGAAGCCCTTCGGGACAGCCAGTCAAAGTCAGCGTTCCATCGGCGGCAGCAGGATAGCTGCGTTCACCATAGAAGCTGGCGCAGGCACCTGTTCGCCCGCTTCACACAGGTATTGCAAGCCAATAGCCAAGGTATAGGCAGCATCAGCAACAGCCTTCTCAGAAGTCTCTCAAAAGCCGATGCCGGTGGTGAACTCTGCGCAAATACCGGTAGAAGGCTCCGAGACCTCCCCATGTACACCTGGACACAGGCAGGGTAATGCGGGGTACCACGTGTAAACCTCTGAAGACGCTTGGAGCGTCTTTCAAGCTCCTTCGCCAGAACTCCTTTCCTAACATCATGGCTGGCGCCTGAGGGCCTGGCCGGACTGTGGGGCAGTAGGGGAGGAGTGACGGTCGTCCATACCGGAGGAGTGACGGTCGTCCATACCCCGGACGACCGTGCAGGTACCTCCACGAGCCCCCGCTGCCCCTGCCCCGCACCACCGCCCCTCCCCTCCTCTACACGTGACAGCGGCCGCACCTGCCCGGGTGGGGCACTGCCGAGTGGGCTTCACGGACGAAGTGCGGCAAGCAGGTGTTTGTGACAGGCCTGGTTGTGGCAGGTCTGGACGGAGGTCTGCGGTTTGGGGCTTTCTTAAGCTACCACTCTGGTCATCTCTATTTTGTGTGCCTGCGTCAGCGTAACTTCAAAAGGTTACCGGTAGTGTCGAATGGAGGAGTCAGGTATGTGGACTCAGACCACCGACTAGATCCGATCTTTGGGTGTCTTGAGGGACGCACGTCGGTACATGGGAGCCGTACAATACGCCCGAGAAGGTAGCCGAAGTGGAATTACCTTAACTGCACGAGGTAATGAATCAACTGGGTGTGTGCGGCAAGGCCTATAGGAAGTAAAACGTACCCTGCGGCCTGTATATGGCTGATCCTGTGGCCTGTATGGCTGATCGGCCGGCTTCTGGTGGCCCCTTGGCTTTGCAATGTCTCGGCTTAGTTGCTCTTTGTAATGCTCTATGGGCGACCTGCCTAGGATTTCTTGTTCTAGCTGCTGATGCGTTACAGCAGAACATGTAAGCCGAAGCCAACCAACCGTACGTCGCCTCCACGCCAAGAACTCCAACCCTATTAACCCACACATCCCGGCGGCCCAACCCATGTTTAAGATGCACTAGTGGCCAATTGTGCTGACAGCAGCCAGTGTTGCACCTCGATTGCCGATTAACCCCTTAATTGAGAGACCGGCATCCAAGAAGCCCCTCCTACTCCTACGAAACACCCCAAACACCCCACTCGCTAGACGAAAGGGGTCATCATACGTTCCAATCCGCCCTTTTCAAGCGGTGAGGAAGCCCTTGTCAGCAAACGTTTGAGCTTACCCGACTGCCATTCATTCCTCGACCTACGTTGTCTACCCCGACCCGATGAGACCCGGCGATGAGACGCGCCATGGTAGCAGACCCCTCCTGCACGCTCGGCACACTCGCGGCTCGCACCCCATGTGGGTTGGCCAACCAATCGCGGTTCTAATTATCTGTACCGCACTCCACATCGCAAACTCGTGCTTCTCGATAATTGTCGTCGTGCCAGCCATTGTCGTACACCTCCCAGTACGCCGCACACATGGAAGGGGCCTTGTCCTTCAGGAGGGCCCGACGCGCCATGGTAGCAGCACACCACACACCCGCGACCCCACAGCCAGGTCAATACTGCTGACAGTGATGCATGATAAGCTGAACTGACACTCGCTTGTATTGTTGGGTCTGACAAGCATGTTGCAGTGACCACGACCATCTTCTATCCACTAGATAAGAGTCCTCAGGAAATTACAATGACCGGACTAGCACATGCACCTGCTGCCTGTGCGATCCTTCACTCGTGAAGAGGTGCCTCGCACGCATGACACTAGCGGCAGTACGGCACTCGTGCTGGCGAAACGTACGGCACTAGCAGCAGGGCGGCACTACGGCACGATCGGCCGCCCTTGTTGCAGGTCTCACACACTGCTCCTGGTGGCGGGTCCACGGATCGCAAAGCGCAACCGGTTGAGCTGGCCAGACGGACAAACTCCAGAGCAAAACCAAGCGCACTGCGGACCTTTATACCTTTGCCTGTGGGGTGCGGATGCTTCTCGCGCCCCAACTTGACGGACCCGTGGGTCACTAAGGGTATTCATAGCTATTGAAGATAAGGAGCTGTGGGGAGGAAGAAGAGTACTCAGAATGGAACAGTAAGGAGGGGTGGGAACGAGGGAAACGGATTGCCGTACGGTATATGCATGGAAGCCGCTGTCTACATGTAGGTGTGCATGGTGGCAGCGACGGCGGGCTTGACGGCGGCGGTCTTCCGGCAGCTGCCCTCGGAGGGGGACGTGCGGCAATGGCGTCACAGAGAGCGGCATCTTGGCGCCGTCGCACAAACCTGGCAGGCTGCTAGACGTTGACGGAGGGACGGGAGGAGGTAGCGGAACAGGTGGCGGGGGGGGCTGGCGACGACTTGGCGGGCGGGAGTGGGGCGGGGAGGTGGTGGGGATGAGGCGATGGAGGACAGCGACAGTGGAGCGAAGAGTGGAGGGGGACATGTGCCGGCGGCGCTGGCCTAGATTGGGTGAGGGATGCCAACTATGAAGAGGGAGGTGGCGGAGGCGGGCTGGGGCTTACGTTGGTAAGCGAAGGGGGCTGAAAGAGAACATCATGTCCGCGTTGTGGTCGCGGCGGTAGGGGCGGGGAAGGCTGACGGATGGCGATGCTGTCAGAAGAGCGGAAGGTCCAAGCAGGGATAGCAAGGCGAGGACAAGAAGAGGTCGCAGAGGGGAGGGGAGGGGAGGAAAAGATGCGCCAACGACAGGGTGTTGGGCAATCAGGAGTTGGCAAACCCTCGCATGCAGCACACAGCGTGCAGTATCGCGATTGTACATGCGAGGCGGGCGGTACGATCTTTTGCTCTTGTGTCCTCACCCTACTACTGGCATAGAACAGAGCCTGTACGGCGGGTGAGGACGGCAGGCCCGGGGGTGAGTAGGCGGCGTAAGGTTAAGAGGTACCCTACCGGTGCGTGAAGGCGTTGGGAACGTAGGATCATTATTCGGTGGAGACCGAATGGAAAGGTTGAACTACGCAGAAGGGAAGATGTCAGGTTTGCACAGGTGGCGATTAGGAAAGCACGCACTGGTTCGGCAAGCACCTTCACTCGGAGGGATGAGGGTGGAAGAAGGCGTATGTATGCGCGCATGGGTAACATTGTACCGAAGAAGCCACATGAAAGGAGACATAATGTCGAATCGCCTAGGAGTACGCCAAAAGCTGCTCAACTTGTTGGCACTCGTATGCAAGGGGTCGCATGGGCCGAATGCTGTTGTCTAGCCAAACTAACCTGCAATGCTTTAAGGGGCCACCTTAAAAGGAGCCGTCTTACAAAAGGAAAACGATAGCCCCGCCTGCAGTAACAGTACCAGACAAGCGTAACGTGACATCCGCACATGGCGAGGTCGACTGTCCAGCTCGTCAGGGAATTCCACTTCGCAATGGAATACAAACCAAAGGTTCTGGTAAATGAAAGCTTCGTAAATAGAGTATAGCTCTACCCCATTTTTTGATGACCCGCGAAGGAGGATAGGCGTAGTCACGCAATAAGGGACGGACGAGTGGCAGTGAGGCTAACATGAAACGCATTTGGAAAGGGTTGTGGGTATGGCATTGCCTCTGTGTGCTGAAATAGAAGGATGTGTAGCGCCGTACATTGGCGGTTACCGCGCACATTGCCCTGTTGCGGCTGCGTAATCGGCGCATTGTCAGACATACGTATTTCATCTAAGAAACAACAGATTGGCGACATGTATAAATTGCTAGATCGCCCATGACACAAGCAACATACCGGTACGCCTTGGCCCTTTTCATTCCTTACCGCTACAATAGCCCGACTTCCTTACCGGTACAATAGTCTTGTGCTACATCACGTTACTTGCGGCATCACGCGTCATTTTTCCTCAGACGAGATATCTGATGGCCCCTTTGCATCCCGATGAGGAGGTGAGTTAGACAACTGTAGTCGATTGATGCGAACGCTTGCGGATGCTTGTGAACTGGTTTCAGCATAATCCTAGGGCACATGCCGACATGCCTTCATGGTGTGCACCTCTTTTTTGCATCCATGCGTCAACGCGACTTGCTACTTAATGTCCACATGTGCGCGCTGTCCCCCTTCCTTCTTCCAATGCGCATCCCCACCAAATTGACATCACCGTTCAAATCTTCCTTCTCCTCCTCTTTCTCCCTAACCAGGCTTGGCAATCTTTTCCTCTGGCCAAGCCTGACAGCCAAGTGGCCACGAAGTCAAGTCCCAAGACACTTCCGTTGTACGTCCTGTTACGTATGGAGCAGTGCAGTTTGCATGGAGATGACCGTGATGCCCGCCCAGCCCCGCCCCAATACCACCTGCTCCCGCCTGGCGTGCCGCCTCCTTCACCGGAGCCGCCGAGCCATCCGTCAATACCCACACCCGCCCAGCCCGTCACCTTCTCCTTCACCTTCCGTCTCTACCACCGCCAGCATTAACACAGCTGGTGTTAGGGGCTTACAAGGCTACAGGGCTACTTTGTCGGCGGCGACTAGGAGACCCATGCAGCCACGAGACTGCGTTGGGCCCCGCCATGGGCATGAACGATGGAGGTGGGTGCGAGTGATCTGGCTAGTGGTGTGCATGTTGCATTGGGATAGTGGGCGTGTTCGTGGCACGTGTCTGCTTTGCCTACGAGATCTGGATGACGCTCAGCTGCATCCGAGGTACCCCCAGCGGCAGCCAGTGCCACTCTCAGTCAGCTCAGAACAGAATTCAGCAGTCTTAACAGCAGCAGCAGCGGCAGCCAGTGCCACTCTCAGTCAGCTCAGAACAGCCAGCAGTTTCAGCAGCAGCAGCAGCAGCAGTAGGGTCAGCTGAGTCGACAGCTTTCCAAGGTCGAACACACGTGTCTTGCTGTACTTCCTTTGCCTATCCGGTACTTCTTTGCAGAGTCTAACCCAACACCCCCAATGCCTTTCCTTCCTACGCATGTACCTCTTTGCGAGACCATGGTAGCGAGGCCATGTCGTGCTACCTTGAACAACGGTCCCTCTGTGGCTTACGACAGGAGGGCCTCGCTGCCGCCGCCGCCGCCGCCTCCAACACTTCACCTTCACCTCCGCCATTACCGCCGGTCTACTGTACTGCGGTCAGTGATGACAACGTCGGGCCCCTTCCCACAGCCGCCCAGTCCGGCACATTCACCTCCTCCGTCGCCGTCACCACCTACAGTGATGACACCGTCGCCCTCCCCACAGCCGCCCAGCCCGTCGCCTTCACCTCCTCCGTCGCCCTCCCCACACCCGCCCAGCCCGTCGCCCTCCCCACAGCCGCCCAGCCCGTCGCCTTCACCTCCTCCGTCGCCCTCCCCACACCCGCCCAGCCCGTCGCCCTCCCCACAGCCGCCCAGCCCGTCGCCTTCACCTCCTCCGTCGCCCTCCCCACACCCGCCCAGCCCGTCGCCCTCCCCACAGCCGCCCAGCCCGTCGCCTTCACCTCCTCCGTCGCCCTCCCCACACCCGCCCCCGCCCCGCCCCGCCCCGCCCCTGCACCGCTCCCGCCTGGCGTGCCGCCACCTTCGCCGAAGCCGCCCAGACCCGCACCGCCATCTCCTGCACCGCTCCCGCCTGGTGTGCCGCCACCCTCGCCGGAGCCGCCCAGCCCCGCACCGCCATCTCCTGCACCGCTCCCGCCTGGCGTGCCGCCACCTTCGCCGGAGCCGCCCAGCCCCGCACCGCCATCTCCTGCACCGCTCCCGCCTGGCGTGCCGCCACCTTCGCCGGAGCCGCCCAGCCCCGCACCGCCATCTCCTTCACCGCTCCCGCCTGGCGTGCCGCCACCTTCGCCGGAACCGCCCAGCCCCGCACCGCCATCTCCTGCACCGCTCCCGCCTGGCGTGCCGCCACCTTCGCCGGAGCCGCCCAGCCCCGCACCGCCATCTCCTGCACCGCTCCCGCCTGGCGTGCCGCCACCTTCGCCGGAGCCGCCCAGCCCCGCACCGCCATCTCCTGCACCGCTCCCGCCTGGCGTGCCGCCTCCTTCGCCGAAGCCGCCTAGCCCCGCACCGCCATCTCCTGCACCGCCATCTCCTGCACCGCTCCCGCCTGGCGTGCCGCCTCCCTCACCAGGAGGCAGGTAGGGCAGTGGCGGGGGCCGCGAAGCGGCTGCTGCTGCTGCTGCATGACGTAGACGTGGAATAATCCATGATGACGTGGAATACGTCGCAGCGGCGGTGACGATCACGGTGCGTCCCCCAGACACCGGCCACCCAACACCATAATCCCACCGCCGAGCTACCAACCGCCCGGCGGCGGGGAGGTTGTGAGGGCGCCGCCTCTCCTCCCTCTATCTCCTCCCTCGGCCACCCGGCCCCTGGCAGCAGCATCTGGACCTCCTAGCGACCTGTACGCGGCTGCGGCGGGAGGGTGCGCCTCGTCGGAGGTGGTGTTGGATGGCTGCTTGGCGGCGTTTGTAGATGGGGTCACCCCCGCCGCTGCGTCGTCGCCAGCCGTCCCGTTCGCCGTCGCCATCCGGAGCCTGGGGCGATGCAGCAGCAGCCCGAGAGCAGCCTAGTAGCAGCGGACCGCCCTGCCATTGGGGACGCTGGTGGCGGCCACCACCGCGGCGGCGGCGGCGGAGGTGGCGGCGGTGGCGGCGGTGGTGGCGGCGGTGGCGGCGGTGGCCGCGAAGGTGGCGGCGGCGGTGGCGGCGGAGGCCGCAACGGAGGTGGCGGCGGTGGCGGCGGAGGCCGCAGCGGCGGTGGAGGCGGCGGAGGCGACCTTGGGGGATGCGGCGAGTGGCGGCGGCGTTGCACATCCGCTGCAACCGACATGGTGCCGTACTGGCATGGGTGCATGTTGGTCTCGGGCGTCTGGTGCCTCTGTGACCGGCAGCGCTGGGCTGCTGAAAGCACTGGCGGCGGCGGAAAGGGCGGCGGCGGCAGGGCAGTGGCAGCTGCAGGGGCGGCAGCAGCGGTGGCAGCAGCAGGGCCAGATGCCGCTGCAGGGGCGGTGAACAGGGCGGCGGCGGGAGGGGTGGCGGAGGCGGAGGCGGCAGCAGCAGGGGTAGCGGAAGGGGCGGCGCTAGCAGCGGCGGCAGCAGAGTGGACCGCCCGCCCTTCTTGCACCTCGTCGGGATGCATGCGGTTTGGGTTTGGAGCGCCGCCGCCCGCTTACAGTGGCGGCCCGTACTGCATCACGGTGGCTGCGTCCACCGTGCCGCCGCTGTACGTCCCATGGGTCGCCCCCGCCGCTGCCTGACCCACATCCCTCCTCCCCGGGATGTGAGCTCCATCACAACAGCCCCACATCCACTGCTGCCTAGCCATGCACCGCCGGAGGGCAACCTGGCGAACCGCATGCCGCCGCCCTGCTGCCCTTCGCCAGCTAGTGTCCCATGGGTCGCCCTGCCCCCGCCGCCCTTCCGCTGCTGCTGGCGACGCGGCCGCGCCTCCTGCAACTCGCCCGTGCAGCCCCTCCGCCTGCTGACCACCGCCCCGGCAGCCCCGCGCCTTCATGTCGCCACCACACGACATGCACCGCCTGCCGCCCAAGCTGCTATTAACCCGATCCGCGCGTTGGGGGTGGCAGCCTACTGCCGCCGTTGCGACGTGGGTTTCGGAGCTGGTTTCGGGCCCTCACCGCAGCCGCCTAGCCCTGCACCGCCATCTCCTGCACCGCTCCCGCCTGGTGTGCCGCCGCCCCATCACACCCTCTCAGCCCCTTCCGTCTATCACTCCCCCGCTCGCATACCCCTCCGTACCTCGTGGTACGGCAGCTGCAGCAGCGCCTTCACGACCTGCGCGGCGGTCAGGGGTAGGAAGGGAGGAAGGAAGAGGAAGGAACGTAACCAACTAATAAAGTGGCGGCGGAGGCGGTGGCGGAGGTGGCGGAGGAGGTGGCGGCGGAGGCGGAGGCGGCGGCGGCAGTGGCGGAGGCAGCGTATTAGAATTGAAACCAGCGTGGTCCAGGGGGGGTTAGCGTGGGTCAAGACAAGCAACTATCGCGATCGCAATCTGTGGGTCATTTGGATTGTTTGTAGCAGGTGGCGGTATGGTAGTACTACTCAAGGTGGCTGCGGGTGGGACTGAGCTGCATGCAACAACAAGGTGTGTATGGTCGCAACGGCGTGTCAGGGCTAGTTGCCCTTGCCGTCGTGCAGTTAGGGCTTGGTGTGGTTGCTTGCGTGGTTTGCTTGCCATATGGACATCTTGTATGACGAGATCTGTCTGTGCTTTTGAGCCGCGCTTTAGGCTCGCGCGCTTGTGCATGCACGTTGGCACTGCTTGTGTTATTGCGGCTCTGTAGAACGTACCCTGCGGCCTGTATGGCTGATCGGCCGGCTTCATTGCTCTCGGCTTAATTGCTCTTTGTAATGCTCTATGGGCGACCATAGATCCTGCCTAGGCAAGCCGAAGCCATCCGTACGTCGCCTCCACACCAAGAACCCCAACCCTAACCCACACATCCCGACGCCCCAACCCATATTTAAGATGCACTAGTGGCCGATTGTGCTGACAGCACCCAGTGTTGCAACTCGATTGCCGATTGAACCCTTGATTGAGGGACCGGCATCCAGGAAGCTCCTCTCCTACTCCTACGAAACACCCCAAACAACCTACTCGCTAGACGAAACAGGGGTCATTATACGTTCCTATCCTAACCAAAGGGGCTCCGCCCTTTTCCAGCGATGAGGAAGCTGAACCCCCTTGTCAGCAAACGTTTGAGCTTACCCGATTGCCATTCATTCCTCGACCTACGTTGTCTACCCCGACCCGATGAGACCCGGACCCGGATGTTGTCTACCCCGACCCGGATGCATCCTTTGCATGCCCCCCTATCTGCGGGTGCGAAGCATGTGCACGATGAACGATGAACGCGGCAGAAAGCCACCAGGTCCCCTGGTGAACCACCCAGCCTGCCACACACACACACCTACACACAACGCTGCGCCACTCAAGACGCTGACCCGGCCATGTGTGTTTCAGGCTTTCAAGCAGCTGAGCCGCACATCGGGTGCGTGTGTGTCGTAGCGCTGCCCTGCAGCCGCGCTTACCCCGAACCCGTCGAGACCTGCATGAGGTCACACCCTCCGTTGTGGACTGCTGTTGGGGGAACAAGGAGCTGGATCAGCCGAAACAGAGAAGCACGATTACGATTACACGGTACGGTATAGGACCCTCCAGGCCTGCCTCACAACTTTCACAAACCATTTCGGTCAAGAGGCGCATGAGGGGCCACTTCGTACTGTGCACACAAGCGACACCCGGACGTGCAAGCTGCCCGCCACCACTCCTCACCAACACCGCCGGGTGGAAACCAAATGATATGAAATGTTTAACCCCAGATAACTAACGTCAATACGAGCATACAGAAGTGCGGCTCAGGTTTATAAACACGGCCTAGTAAACATGCCCTTCCTTGGTAAATCTTTCCTTTGTAAGGGGGGGTCATTCAGGACTGCATAGCTGTTGTAACAGTAGCAGCGGCAATAACATTACTCCCACACTTCTCGGGCAAGCGCAGCGCTTTGTTGTAGTACGCATTATAGCACGGGGCTAGGGCAGAGCCCGAAATGGCAGGATTGCTGCACAGAAAGCGCGATCAGGTATGTACTTCGGAGCATCACATCCCATCCCCCACTCGAGCCAACAAGTTCACCTGCGAGTGAACACCCCCCCTCACGCAGTACCCGCCTGTCTACCCACCCCCACCCCCAACTATCGACACACACAACGGGCACGCGGGCAATCAGGCACGCACATGCATGCAGTAACCCGAAACCGGTGGAGCTCCGGCTCCTGCGCTCTTGGTCTGCAGGAAACAGAACCCCCCAATAACAGCACCCCCGGCCCGAACGCTCACTCCTCCTCCTGCTCCTTCCATCTCCTGCTCGCGTCCAAGTGCGGATGCAACCCACCACATGCCTCGAGCCACACCGCCCCGTCACCCCGCCATTAAAGCACTCTCGTCCACCTCAAAAGAAAAAAGTGCTCATTCACCCCTCGCCCGTCCCGAACACTCATTCCCTCATAATACCGCTCGTTTCACCCCTTTCTCCTCCCTCCCTCCCTCCTCAACCGCTGTACAAGAGGCCGCAGGTGCACCCACCTACCTCATCACAGTGCCGCCCCGGAACCACCACTCTTCCCTGCTGCTTAGAACAGGCCAAACAATTATCAAACAAGTGCGCCTTGTCAACGAAGTGCGCAGGACTAAGAAAGACATGCGGAGGCAGTGCGGTTGATGACGGCTAGGAAGTCGCCACAACCGCCACCCGCACACAGCCACCACAGTAGCAGCAGCAGCAGCAAAGCAAAGTTGAAAGTTACGAAATACCATGTATGAAACAACAGACCCCCTCGCGACGAGGAAGAGAACCACCACCCCACATTAAAGCATGAAAGAAACCATCCGCGTCCGACCTCCGTCGGCTGCAGATGGCCGGGGGCTGACTGACTCTCGTACAGCAACGTCAGCCCCTAAAACCTACACACACATCCGCGCTCAAGCACGCAATCTCTCCTCGCCCTCACTCACACAAACAAAATGTTGAAGTCCACCATTTCGCGCCCCACCAAGCCCGTGAATACTCTCGCTGCAAAGCGACACGGGTCCCTCTCGCATCGCCCCCTCTCCCTCATGTCAGCTGTGCCGTGCCGGGCGCAAACGCGCCCTGCAAGGCAGCCCGCACCGCACCGCTTCCTTCCTTCCATCTCCTAGGTAGGTGGAAACGTCAGAAGGAGGCAACGCCGCCGGCCTGCCGTCAACCTGACGGCTGAGCTGGCTGATGAAATGGGTCATACAAAGTAAGTTGTAATCGAGGACGCCTGTGCAGCCGCAGGAGCGCGCCCCGCCCTCACCAACCCAAGGAAGGACAAGGCTTCATGCACTTGCATCCGTGCGCGCGCATCACAAACGCATGCATGCATGGTTAAGCCAACCACAAACCACAGCATGCTCTCCCCTTTCCAGGCGCCTCGTGTAGCACCCGCCGCACCCGATTGCGAAACACCCCCTCCAGGAGGCCCCGACACGAGGAGCCCAATGCCCTGCTGCCACCATACCCTCCCAGGTACCTCGCCCCCTCTCTCCACCTACGGCTCCCCTGCCGACTCATCATCCTCCGTCCCCGGCTCGTAATCCTCACTGTCATAACCCCTCCCTGTTCCTCCGGAGCTGTGCCGTGCCCCCGCCCCATCCCGCCGCCTCTCCACACCCGCCCCTCCTACCCCTCCGCCCGACCGCCCGCCACCCTGTGCTGCTGCTCCGGCCACAGCGGCAGCCGCCAGCAGCGCCTCCGCGGCAGGGAATGCAGCAGCAGAGTCGCCCGCAGGAGCCGTCTTGGCAGCAGGTCGGGCAGCAAATGGCCCCTCCGCAGCACCAACAGCACCAGCGGTAGTGTCGGAGTCAGCAGCGGCGGGAGGGGCGGTTGCACTGCCCGCCTTGACAAACTGGCCGCGCACGCGAGGACGTGCCTCGGCTAGGCGCTTGCGACTCTCATAGCGCACCTGCTCGGGAGGTGCGGATTGGGGACAAAGTGGATTAGCTGCGCAGGTTGGCGCGGGGCACTGTAATGACGTGCACAGCTGCGTACCCGTAGCCGTACCAGGATGCATCAGGACGCACCATCCCCAGGAACCGTAGCGTCCCTCCGTGTAGCATCGCCTCAAGTCGTGGTGGTAAGGTAACAGCATTCATTCCCTGCCCTACTCATCGCCCATCAATTTCTCACCAAGCCAGCAAGCATGCACCAGCCGCTTACCTTCTTCTGAAAGTTCCGATGCTTGCGCTTCTCCAGATACTTTGCAACCGCCGCCAGCCGAGCTGCCGAGGAGGCCGCTCCCCCTCCTCCTCCTCCCCCTCCTCCAACTGCGCCCCCAACGCTGGGAGCCTTGGGAACCACCACCACCGGCGGCCCCTGCGTGACGGCCTCCGGCACCGGGATCTCCGCTGCCGCCCGCCCGGATAGGTGCGCAATCAACTGCAACACAGACTCGGGAACAAACACGTGCGGCGGAGGGGGAGGCGGCGGCGCCCCGGAAGGCTGGTTATGCTGCTGCGTTTGCTGTTGCTGATGGGGCGGCGGCGGCGCGGAAGCGTAATGCGGCGGCGGCCGAGGGTGTTGCATGCCCTGATACGACGCGTGACCGACGGCTATGGCAGCGGCTATGGCTGCCGCGCCGGGGCCTAAATAGGAAGCAGCTGTGGCGGCGGTGTTTGCGGAATCGAGTGGAAGGTGCGGGTTATGACCCCTCTGAGCAGCGGCGGCAGCAGCGGCAGCGGCGGGGTGCAGCGGATGCAGCACTGGCTGCAGCATCGTCGGCAGCGTCGCCGCTGCCGTTGCCGGCGTGTGTTGCAAGTGCGGGGCATGTGAGTGCGGGTTAAGGAAGGCGGGAGACACTCCATGCGCTAATAAGAGGTGTGGCGGAGGCGGCGGAGGCGCGGAACGCACCGCCGTCGAGGATGTGGTTGACGACGACGGCGGCGGCGTGGCCGCCGTTCCAGTTCGATGTACGGCAGCGCTGCCGGCGGCATGTAGCGCTGAGGCCCCTAGCGCCGCCGGCGAGGCCGCCGCCTGCGCTGCTAGCTTGCTTGGTAGGAAAACGGTGAAGGCGGTGAAGGCCGATCGCTCGCTGTGACGTAACCGACTGCCCGAGGGCGATGGCGACAACGGTGGCGGCGTCGGCGCTCGCGGTCCCCCACCGGCGCTGCCGCCGCCACCAGCATCCCCAGCGGCTGTGGATGGCGCTGCCTCCGCTGCCACAGCCTCGCCCGCTCCAGCTCCGAGAGCACCGAGAGCTCCCGACGCAGCGGCGACCTCGACCTTGCTGCCAACATCCGCGACCGCGTAGCTGCTGGTTCCGGAGGCATGTAACCCTCTCCCAGGCTCCTGCCCCACCTCACATGCGCCCGCAGCATCGCCGTCGCCAGCACCTCCAAGAGCCGCATCAGCAGCAGCACGCCCTCCCACAGCCCCAAGCGACACCCTCGCCGCTCCCCCTCTCCACCCCGGCTCCGCCCGCTGCTGCTGCTCACCCCCCCGGTGCACCTCTGCCTGCGCCCCGTCCGCCTTCTGCTGCTGCTCGTGCTGCTGCTGCTGCTGCTGTCGCTGCAGCATCAGCGCCCGCTGCGTCCACAGCCCCTCCCGGCTTCTCATCGCCCCCAGCGCCGCCAGCTCCTGAAGCCCCGGCGGCAGCAGCACCGAGTGGCCTGGGGCCGCGGGGCCCGGAGCAGCAGCAGCCGGGTGGGGCAGACCGCATGAAACTGCCGCCGTCGCTGCTACCGCATCACCCAACCCACCTTGCTTCAGGACCCGGTCAGGTAGGGCAGCGGCAGCGGCTGCCAAGGTGCCGGTGCCCGTGTTTACCGCGTGGCTGACGTCAGCCGGCACGGGTAGGGGCCCCGCGGAGGTGGCAGTGTGTCGTACGATAACGCTACTGCCGTACGACCGACCGCCTCCGCCACCGGCGCCTGAACAGGGGCTATGACCCGCCAAGCACTCTCCTGCAGCAGCAGTGGCAGCTGCTGCCCCTGACGTGCCTGCTTTGTCTTGCTCACGCTGCTGGTGCTGCTGCTCCTGTTGCTGCTGCTGGTGCGAGTATACCCGGTGAGGGTGCGGCTGCTGCTGCGGGTGCTCCTCCGCCTCGCTGCCCGCCCCCGTGCTGCTGGTTGTCGTACCGCTGCTGGTCGGAGTGGCGGTGGCGGAGGTGTGCGAGGAGGGGCTGTCCGTAACCAAAGTGTCGCCGCTGGGGTTGGCGGCGTCCCCGCGGACCGCTTCCGCCAGGCCGCCAGCGGAGGCGCCCGCCGTCGCCGTCGCCGCCGTCGCCGCCGACGCTGACGCGGCGCGCGATCCCTGGGACGCCTCCGCCGCTGTACGACGAGCCACCGCCGCCGGCGGAACCTCGCCGAACCGCCGTCGTTTCCGCGGGGCCTCCTCCGCTGCCGTACCTTCCCCAGCCGCCGCCGCCGCCGCTGCCTCACGTATCCGATCCGCATGCGACCAGCTGATAACGGTGGCGGAGGTGCCGCCGCCGCGAGGAAGCTCCGCCGCCGCCGCCTCCGTCACGGCCGCGGCGGCACCAGCGGACCCCGCTGCTGCGACTGCTGAAGCAGCCGACGCATCGCGGGGCATGGCGTCGCGTGCAGCGGATGAGCGGCGGAGCAGGTGGCTTGCTTGGGGCGGCGGATTGAGGTCAAAGTGCACCGCGACCGAGGTATTGAAGCCGCGCGCATGTCCGCTGACGCCAGCGCTGCCACTACCGCTATCCCCAACTGCAGCAGCACCAGCGGTAGCAGCAGTAGCAGCAGTAGTCGTAGCCGCTTGATGTGCGAGCTCCTCACAACTAAGGCTGCTTACTAAGCCCTGCACACTGCTATCATGCGGCACAGTGGCCGTGCCTCCTGCAGTTGCCGACGCAGGCTGCGGATGTAGTTGTGACCCTTGCTGGTTGCCCTGTTCACGACGCCTCACCAGCGGGTGGGGTTCACTGGCTGGATTCTTCTCCTCCTCAGCGAGTTGTGCTTTGTGCGAGTGATGGTGGAGGTGGTGATGTGGGTGAGGGCGAAGATGATCGTGCACGGAGGGCCCGCTGGCGTTTGTGGGCAGCGATGAGGAAGGAGGATGTCGGGCGGTAGCAGCGCGGGAGGGGAGCGCGGTGGCCCCCGTGGACTGCAGTACAGAGGTAGCTGCACCGCTGCTGCTACCGCCGCTGCTGTTCTTGACGTTTGCGGTACCGCCGCCGTCACCGGGTTCGCTGCAGCCGGCACCTCGCGCCTTGTTGGCGCGCCAGACGTGTTGCCAAAGAGTGGCAAGTTCGTTTTTGCGGATGGGTTTGATGAGGTAGTCCGCGGCGCCGGCTTGGAAGGCTTGCAAGACGCTTTCCTGTGAATCTTGAGATGACATGACGACTACCGGGACGTCGCAAAACGCCTCGCCGTGCACGACTTCGTTTATGAGGTCGAAGCCGGTGACCTGCATTAGCAGCATTCCATGGCAACCGTTAACGAATAGTTCGCGACAGTCTGAAAACGTTGACCTATCGCAACTACCAGCTAAGGCGACTGGCCTTTAAGTCGCTTACGCGTTCCTGGTGTACAGAGTCACCGCGAGAGCGTGCAAGCTTATCCCGACATGCCGAGCAGCCGAGGCAAGGCATATGTGGTGAAATGCATGACAAGCTATGCGGGATGTTCTAGCAGCAGGATAGGATGCCATCGAATGCACAGCGATGGTCCAAGCATGGACGGTAGGCTGTGACTTACCCAAACTCGTCGGAGCCACGGTCACTTCTACAAGTGGCAAACCCCGCTTACCTCTGGCATAAGGATATCGGTAAGGATAAGGTCCACCTTGACCCCTTCTTGTCGACAGGCGGTCAGCAAGGCAATAGCCTCGCGGCCGTTTGCTGCACAGGTGACCTTGTAGTTGCATTTCCGCAAAAGCTGCTCCACCGTCTTTAAGGTGACTAAATCATCTTCAACCAGCAGCACATGGAACTCCATCGCTGCCGGCAAGCGAACCTCCACCGATTCAATAAGTGGAAAAGGTGGCCATGCGACTACGCACCACGACGGCTTCTAAAACTATCCATAACGACCTGCTATGGAAGGCTTGTGGCGTCTATAGATGTGAACTGCGTCGCCCTTGAGTATGGTATGGCCTCGGACAGGCCACTCACAGCAGGGCCTCCATAAATCTCATTATGTGTGCGAGTTAATGCCTGATACATAAAATATCTTCTCCAGCGCAAAGATGGGTGGACGCTATTCCCAAGTATCTTGGTAGATATTAAAGGTATGTACGACATGACATTTGGGCCACAGGAGTCGGCGCCTTGGCGGGGAGGCCACCACCGGTATGCGTAGTAAGGGCTGTGGCATTCTGGCAAGCGTGTACTTTAACAGTGCATCCTCTTTGTATCCTGCAAAATATCTAACAACGAGGCAACACAAATCTTTACTTCTTGCACCAGGCCATACGCTGGAATGCGTGACAAACCATACACAAAAGACGAACAATTCATCTGTTCATCGGATGCATGCAGTCCCGGCCGCCTTTGCAAACATCCCCGGCATGACCTGTTGCGATGATGGAACGCCCTTGCCTGGCCTTACCACGGTACAGCCTACGCATGTTATTTTGTTTCCGCCTCATGTCTCCTTAGGTTTGTACTCAACTGCTTCGATGTTGGCTGTTCCCGGGTGGTCGATTAGCTCGTTCCGTCCTTTACCGATACCAATACTCAATACAAGTAGACCATTACAGCCAATACACCCAGACCATTACAGCCAGTACACCCAGTTAAGTATAGTTGTGGGTACTGGACATTTTGCCAGAGCCAAGTAGCTGTGCCCACGCTGCTGCGTACTCTTTAAAGCCAAACCCCAGGGCGCTCACCCACAGTCAACTGCTCTGGCATCGCAGTCCCGTCAGCCGCCCAAAGCCTTACATGACAGCCAAACCATGAGACGCCAGACAGCCCACATCTCTACTACTGCACATCCGAAATGCATTCTTTCTCGGTTGGCGGACCGAATGTTGCAGCAAAGCTACAGCACGAGCATGCATCCGCCTTGATGCACATTGCGGCAATCACCCTGCGATCTTCCGAACGTGCTGTAGCCGCACATTACATCGCAAAGCCCCACCTGCCCAAACACCGTCGCATCCAACAACACAACATCCACACGGCCACACAGCCCGTTTCCCTCACTTCGTCTAAAGCGACGACTCAACACGTACGGGTTAAGACCCATGGGTCGTACGTGCAACCGTGCACCCAACCTCTCCTGCGAACCGTGCAGCATCAACACGTGGGCCTCCAGGTCTTACGTAAACCGACAACCGCGCACCCCCCCCACGCCACTCCCCTACCTACCCGGCACTCCTTGTGGCACTCCTTGTGAACCCAATGAACACGGTTAATGATTGCAGTCAGCCTGCTAGGATGGAACTTCTCTGCACAGTGTTCGTGCCCTTCTTCACCTGACCATCTACTTCTCTACTACCTGCAGGACTATTCAACAGCACCTCTCTAAACTCCCATCCCATCCCATCCCACCCAGCCGCTACCCGATCTTGTACTTGGCCTGCATGGAAGCAACGGCGGTCTGCACGGGTGCCACCACCTCGCTCCGCAGCGAGCCAAGGAGCTCCGACCGGCCGCGCTCCACCTCCTCCAACAACTGAAGGAGGGGGGAGAGGGAGGGAGAGGGGATCGGAGGGAAAGGGAGGGGCGGGATAAATAGGGATACATCTGGATACATACTACACATTTGGCGGGATTATAGGGGGAGAGCGAAGGGAGGGAGGAAGGGGGGGAAATTATAAGTGAAACAACGAATCCCAATCCCATATCCCGACTCATGCAGTGAGCGCATGGGAGGGGAGGGCTTAATAGGGATACATATGCCTCATTAGGCTGGATGATAGAGGGAGTGCGGAGGGGGGGGAAGGGCGGGTGAGGAGGACATGGTTTCAAGTATGGCGGGCGTTGGGGCGGGCGTAGGGGAGTGAGTCTACTACTCCCGGCAGGCCTGCCTCCCCCGGCAGCAACGTGTTTCAAACCGCCAACACGCTCACCGCCACCCCGCCGCCGTCCCTCAAACCCACACGCGACCAAGCCCATAACTAGAACACAATACACAACGCACGCAGCCCCACCCCCCACCCCCACACTACCAACCCACATCCCCCCACCAACCCACATCCCCCACCCACATCCCCCACCCACCCCATCTCTCAGCCCCGCCAGATCGCCAATCACCGCCGCGTGCTGCCCCCGCGCCGCCTCCAGCGCCTCGCTGCTGCTGGTCAGCATGGACGACACCGCGGAGTGGTGCTGGCGGGCCGCGGAGTTGACACGCTGGGAGCCATCCTGCGGGGGGTCAATTTTTGGACCAATTAAAACCAAAGAAAAACCAAAAAAAAGAAAAAAGCAGGCATTCACAAGGCAGAGGGAGGGTTAGTGGTCCCTATCCGAAACCGCGTCCGTCTTGGTGATGTACAGTTGAGTAGCCATCGTGATGCAGGAGGCTGACTACGTAGTTGTCTACTTAGATGAGGTGATCCATCGCTCGAGACGGTCACCAAGGCCCCACAAGTGCTCGTGCATGGCAGGCAAAAAACAGGTAGAAAGGCAGAGACGAGGTGTAAGCAAATGAAAAAGAAAAACAAGGAACGAGCCATCCTGCGGGGGGGGGGGGAGGGGAGGGGAGGAAGGGGAGGAAGAAGGGGAGGGGAGAAAAGAATAAGGGAGATGAGAGGAGGGGGCACTTCCCACGCAACCCCAGGCACCTTCCCCGCTCCTCGACCCCCCCTACCTCGATCGCCTTGTTGACCAGCTGCCCAAGCCCCCCCAGCGCCCGCTCCTGCAGCGCCGCCAGCCGCCCAGCCGCCCAGCCGCGGAGACCCTCCAGGGTGGGGACACCGTCGCGGTCGGTGGGGATGGGCGCGTCGGCGGCGGCGGCAGCGGCGGCGGCGACGGTCCCTCCCGTGCCGGTCCTGGTGGGAAACGAGGGGAGCGACAGCAGAGGGAGGTGGGTGGCAATGGAGGAACGGGATTTTTTAGTCGAATTGATTGGGACAGGTGTAGAGAGGTGAACATTTTGCGAGGAAGCAGTGTAATGTTGTTTGTGCGGAGATCGCTGAGATCGCTATCCATCGGGAAAGCGGCTCCGTGCACATGACCCATGGGTCACCACAACTTTTGCGCTTCACTACCCTGGGTAGCGGGTATGAAATGGCAAGAAAGATTAGGCTGACTCCGTGATCTGGGTCGTGATCTGGGTCAGCGAAAGGAGTCAGGTGCTCGCTGACCCAGATCACCCGTCAGCGTCTTCTCGTCGTATATCAAACCCGCCACCCAGGGTGATGTAGGCCATGCAAGCGAGCGTCAAGGCGAAACCGCCCAAAGCCTGTTATGCTTACGTACGTTCTTCCTTTTCGCATATGTTACGCCATAATTATTTGCTGCTCAGCTTTGGCCCAAGATACCGCAGCAGCTATATCTTAATTTTGGCATCGGCTTACAGAGGCATCAACACATCGAGGCATCAGCACATCGAGCCAAAGCCAATATAATTCAAACCCCCAGGAAAAGATATTGCCGCAGCTCACCTTGCTTGCTTCCGCGCGCCTCCTGCCGCACCCGCGCTTGCCTCGAGCTTACGCTTCGCGGCAGCAGCCGCGCCTCGCGAGCTGCCTCCTGCTCCTCCTCCTGTTGTTGTACCTCCTAATAACGAGGGAAGGCCCTCAACGCCGCCTGCCTGGGCCTGCCTTCCGGAAGCTGGCGCTCGCTGGGCTGGAGCAGCGCTTGTCGGACCCGCAGCAGCAGCAGCAGTCGGAGCCCCACCAGGAGTAATTTTCTTTAGGGGCAGCGCTCCGGGCTGAGCCGCAGGAAGAGGCGTGGTCTTGGCTTTGGCGTTGTTGGAAGCCGGAGCAGCAGCTGCCTTGGAACCTGAACCAGCTAAGAAGTCAAAAATATTTTGGTCGCGGGCGTCAAAGGCTGCATCATCAGCCTCTCCATCGTCTGGCAAGCTGGGAGGCGGTGCTGCAGGAACAGCAGCAGCAGGAGCCTTCCTTGGCCTTCCCATTACGCTTCTGTCCTTTTGGCTCTTGCTTTCGTGTATTGCAATGTAATAAGATGCGTTTGGATAGGCAGGGCACACAGTAAAGGAGTTGCGGATTACACTTAACAGCTAGGTGACTGTGACCCAAATCTCGGACAGTTGGACTCCATGCCGTACAGGAGTACCGAAACAACAAGCGTGACAGTTACACAGAGACTCAACACAACTGCAGAAGCCATGCCTCACGGCTGGGTTGGAAAGAAGGACCACCCAATCAAACGATTACACCGCCTGGTTATAATTTCCGCAGAGCTCAGCTCCGAAAGCGACATTTCAGTCGTGACAGCCTTTCGGTCGCAAAAGTCCTTACAGTGCACGCAGCCGTTGCCTTCACGGGCATCTCAGTCAAAACGCTGCAGCACTCTCAGTAGTAACACTTGCCAGGTACCGGTAAACGGCAAGCAAACAACCTCATATGCGACAGGGCAGGCCAGAGCCACTCCAGAGCCGCACCCGCTTCGTCGAGCACTGCATCATCCGACCCAACCTCGCCTCCGCTGCTACTGCTACTGGTACCCCCCTGCGCCGCCGTCAGTGCTGTGCTGCGTAACATTCCCCCCCGACTGCGGAATTGCTCCTCCAAGTGATATCCCGGTAGCGCGGCAGTCAATCTAATAGCCGGCAGCCGGTGTTCCGCAACCTTTAATAAGAGACATCATGCTCACATGCAGCATGCGGGGCTCCGTACATGTACTTCAAACACAAACCCTGAAAGCACATTCGAAATCCCCACGCATCCCCGCGTAACGCTCCTTGCGATTATGGATCCCTGCATTTCATAGCCCCCCCCCCCACTGCACAGCCCTTACCTCTGCATGATGGCTACTGCCACCTGCCAACAGCCCCATACCACAGCCCACCGGTACCCTCCCCCCCGCATCACCCCACCGGCGCGATGCTGCTGTTGACAGCGCTCACACACGTGTTCGCACTCCTGGCCGTGTTGAAACCACTCGAGCCCACCATCGTAGACCGCTGCGAACCGCCTCCTCCTCCTCCGCCTCCTCCCGCTCCCGCTGCTGCGATCCTGGCGGCGGCGCTGCTGCTAGCGGTGGGCGCCACCGAGCTCTCCGCGCTGACCGCGCTGAGGGCGGAAGGGCCCCCGGTGAGCCCGGTGGCGGTGGTGGTGGTCTGCTCCTGACCCAGACTGGCCATGATCTCCGGCCTGGGTGGGTGGAGGGGAGGGGAGGGGAGGCAGCAAAGGGAAGCGGGAATGTGTTGCGAAGGGTTCGCAGGTGGGCAGGAAGGGCGCGAAGTGGGTTGTGCGCGCTGGGTCCTGGACTCGTGCCCCCAACCCCAACACACACACACACACACGCGTTGGTTCATTGTCCGGGGATCTGGGGCATCTCCTCCCCGGCCCCCCGCACAGCACTACATCACCCCCACGCAACCCATACACACCCACCACCCACCACCCGTCACCCCACCAGCTCACGCCACCTTGACACATCTGCGGCAACACCTCCGCTCTCCCTACTCCCATTCCTCCATCACCTCCCCCCCCACCCCTCAGTTCGTCAGTTTTCCTTGTTTTTACCCCCCCACCCACCCCACCTCCCACCTCCCACCTCCCCCCCCCTCCCACCTGCTGCGGTACTTCTTGCGGTACAGCCACTCCGCCGCCCAGCCCGCCCCCTGCGGCGTGGCAATGCGCTCCGGACTGGCAATGGGGTTCTCCTCCAGCGACAGCAGCTGCAGGTGGCTCAGCAGCCGCAGCTCCCCGGGCAGCGCCTCCAGCCGGTTGGTGTGCAGCTTGAGGACGGTCAGGCTGGGCGCCAGGCGGCGACACAGCCAGGAGGGCAGGCGGCGTAGGTTGTTGCGACTGAGGTCCAGGACTTGCAGGCCGGCGGGCAGCCAGGAGGGGACTTGGAGGAGCTGGACGGCGGAGAGGGAGAGGGTGCGGAGCGCAGGGAGGTGTGGGAGGGGGGGTGGCTGGGGGGTTTGGGAGGGGGGCTGGGAGTGGAAGGTGGTGGAGGGAGGGGTGGGAGGAGGGAGACCGGATTGGGAGGTGTGCGTGGAGGCAGCAGCTGGGGTGGTGGAGGTGGGGGTGGAGGTGGAGGGAAGGGTGAGGGGAGGAGGCATGGACGGCTTAGGGGCCGCCGGAGCTGCTGCCGTGGTCGCCGCCAGACCAGCGGGAGGCTGCTGCTGCTGCTGGGAGAGGGTGGGTGCTGCGAGGGGCGTTTGGCTGACGGCGCCGCCGACTGTGTCGCTCGTTGCGGTGGTGGGCCCCTGCGTCGACGTCGACGTAGATGTCAGTGGCGGCGGCGGCGGCACCTCCGTAGCAGCGGCACCACTCACACCCGCCCCGCCTGCTCCTCCGCCGCCGCTGGCCTCGCCCCCTCCCCCACCACCACCCACGCCGCTCCCAGCACCCCCAGCAGCCGCCGCCGCCGGTGACTCCGGCATCCCGCCCTTATTACTCAGCGCGACAACAGCCGCAGCCGCCGCCGCCGCTGCTGCCGCCGCCGCCGCGGCGCCGCCCCCCCGCCCGCCTCCTATCTGCGCACATGCCGCTAGCTGCGGATTGAAGTCCAGTATGAGCACCTGCAGCCGCGTCATGGAGGTCATGAAACCGGGTGGAAGGTCCTGCAGCTGGTTGTACGGCATGCAGAGGCGCGTGAGGCAGCCGCCCAGACTGGTGGTGGAGGCGGGCAGGCAGGCAACCTGGTTGAAGCCCAGGTCTAGGGTCTGCGGGAGGGGGAGGGTGCGGGGGGGAGGTGCGGGGGCGGGAAAGGAGGATGAATGGAACTCCAGCGGAGGGGGGTTTGCGGGAATGGAGCAGAAGGGGAGAGGCATGTAAGCAGAGAGGAACTGGCCAGGAAACAAGCTGTACGAGGTACGAGGACTCTCGGGTCTCCATTACAGAGACATCGCCTCCGTGTAACGTCGTCCCTCCCTCCTTCCTTCCTTCCCCGGCCCCCTCCCCCTACCTGCCGCCTCCTATCCCCATTGCTTTGCCCAAATCTTTGTTTCCCAATACTTTGCTCTAAGGCTCACTGCATGAGTCGGGATTCGGGAGTGGGACTGCGTTGTTGCACTTATTTATAATTTTCCCCTCTGCAGCTGGTATCCATCTTCACCCACCGCCCATCCCTCCCCCCACCTGCAGCTCCCTCAGCTGTCCCAGCCCCTCTTCCAGGCAGGTCAGTCGGTTGTGCGGCAGCAGCAGGTGCTGCAGGCAAGTCATGCTCCACAGGCAGTCGGGCAGGGCGGCCAGCTGGTTGTGCGCCGCAGACAGCGAGTGCAACCGCGTCATGCAGCCCAGACTGGCGGGCAGGCGGGTCAGGCGGTTGCTGGATGGGCAGGGTGGGTGGGTGGGAGGGAAGGTAAGGAGGAGGAGGGTGCGGCAGGTGTTATTGAGGATAGACTGGATAGGGGCGGGGAGGACTCCTCGCCTCCTAGGGTGCGGCAGGTCAATTCCCCTCTCCCCCCCTGTTTCTGCGGCACAGTTTGCGGCACACCTAATCCCCCCTCCCCCCCCCCACCTGCACAGGTTGAGCTCCTTGAGCCCCGGCAGCAGCGAACCGAAGTCCGGGGGGAGCTCGTCCAGGTCCGCGGACACCAGCGTCAGCACCTGGAGGGGGGAGGCAGGGAAGGGGGGAGGTGTGAGAAAGTGTGGGGTTGGGGAAGTGTGTGGAGGTGGGGAGGAGGAGGGGCGCAGCTCCAGGATCGCCGAGGGGCCAGCTCCAGCTGCGCATGTCCCCGCACCGCACCTCACCGCACCCGCCACACCACACTAGAAGTGGCTGGAATGCGGCGACGGTGGCAGCGGCGGTGTGCTGCAAGGGGACTGCTTGAGGTGCTTGAGGAACACCGGTCGTCGACGACGATGACGACGATCACTTACATGAGAGGTCGCCCATGCCGTAGTACGGCACATGCAGCATCCCCGTTCGGCTTTCATTCATACACACACGCGATGCCCTCGGCCGTACCTTTAGGTTCGGGCTGAGGCCCATGAGCTGCTCCGAAGCCAGCCCCACGAGGCGGTTGTACGACAGCGCCAACGACTCCAGGTACAGCAACCGCTGCAGCGGCGGCACGCGACTGAGCCCCGCCGTGGAGAAGGACACGCTGAGCAGCCCCAGCGGCAGGCTGGCGGCGTATTGCTCCGCGGCGCGTTGGCTGCCCAGATCTTGCCAGGAAGCAGCTCGGCGGCCGCCGCAGACGCTGCGACGACAGCCACCATTGGCGCCGGAGACGGCGTTGCCGCCGGCATTGCCGCCGCCGCCGGAGGTAGCAGCACCGGCGGCGGCGGCTGCGCCGCCGCCGCCGCTCCGCTGGGGCGACCTGGGCGGACTGGAGGTTGTACGGCCACGTGACGGCGCCCTGCCGTACCCGTACGGGTGTGAATACGCATGCGAGTGCGTGTGCACATCGGTCTTCTCCGCCGCTGCCGCCGCCGCCACCCCCGCCCCCGCCGCCGCCCCCGCCGCCGCTGCTGCTGCTGCTGTCGACGGCGGACGGTCCTCCTCGTCAGCAGCCGTGATGCCGCCGCTGCTCGCCAGGCCATTCACGAGAGCGAATGTGGCGGGTCGCGAGGGGTTGCAGTACACAATGGGCGGGTTCTGGGGGTTGGCGGCGGCGGCGGCGCTCAAGCTGCGACCCGCCAGGACGACCTCCGCACCCGCGGCGCCGCCGCCGACGCCGCCAATCGGGCCGGCGTCACTGCTCCGCCGCGACCGGGGCTTCAGCTGCAGGTACCCGTGGTTACTTGCGACCAGCTTGGGGATGACGTTGACGGATCCGGCGGCGCCGGGGGGACCCGGGTGGGGCGGCGGGCTGCCGCCGCGGGCCACCACAGCGGCGTCGGAGCTCGGGTCGACGGCGGAGAAGGGAATGTACGGCGAAACGGGACGCAGGAAGCCCAGTGGCGCGCGCCGGGGCGGCACGCCGACAGGACGCCCGACGAAGGCGCCACCGTTGAGGCCGATGGAGAGTACGGCAGCGGGGGTGCCGCCGCCGCCGCCGGCTCCGCCGCCGCTGCCGTCAGGAGTTGGACGTACGACAGTGTACGGTGACGTCAACCGGCCGGCGGCGGCGGCATTGTGAGGAGGAGCTCCATGGGCACTTCGCCAGGAGCTGAAGAACACGTCTGCTGGCTCAGGACTGCTGCCGTGGAATGTGTTGTTCGGAAGGGTGCTGCCCAGCCGACTGGATGTCGTTGCAGCGCCACCGCCGCCGCCGCCACCGCCGCGGCTTCCGTTCAGCCGGGTGGTCGGAACACCCTCCGCTGCAGCTGTGGGCGGCGGCGAGGCTGCGGCTCCCCCCTGGTGGTGGGGGGTCTGCTGCTGCTGCTGCTGCGGCGGCGGCTGGTGAACGTCACCCGATGCGGCTGCAAGGGCTGCCGCGACATGGGGAGGCGCATGCGGCCACATCGGGGGGTGGGGCTCCGAGCCATTCGAGTGGCCGCGGCTGTGGGGCCGACCCAGGTTGGGTTGTAAGGGCTGCTGGTGCTGCTGGTGCTGCTGCTGGTGGTGCATGCCATGGTGCTCGGGCTGCAGGTCACCGAACCACTGAGCATCGTACTCGTGAAGGACATGCGACAGCGGGTGTTGGGGGCCGGCGTGCTGCTGGTCCTGCGGGTGTTGCTGCAGCTGCTGATACTCCAGGGGGAAGCGGGGGAGGTGCGGGTGGTGGTGACCCATGGGTCCGCGATGGTACTGCTGTTGCTGCTGCTGCTGGTAGTACTGCTGCCGCAACTGCTGTTGTTGTTGTTGTTGTTGTTGCTGGTGCTGGTGCTGCTGCCGCAGCTCCGTCACCTCCTGCATCAGCTGCTGACGTAGCGAGATGCAGCTCAATGACGCCACTCGCTCGCGACGTTTCGCATTCGCCGTCAAGTGCCGACTCCCGCCTGCCCCATTGCGGCGACCGCGCTCCAGCCCCTCCGCTCCCCCTCCCGCCCCCGCTCCACCCACCATCCCAAGCGGCCCGGTCACCGAAGTAGTTGGGGACTCAGGCGCTGCACCCTCACCGCCTCCACCGCCTAGGCTGCTGCTGCTGCTAGTGCGATGTGTGACTCCGCCCCCGCCTCCACCTCCCTCCGAGCTTCCTACATTCTGCTGCTGCTGCTGCTGGGGGTGGGGTTGGTGGGGGTGGGGTCTGATGGCAGCGTTCGCATGGTAGCCGCCGTCTGTGTGCCCCTCTTGCAGCGGCGGCAGCGGCGGCGCGGCCGACAGCGATCCCAAGCTGTTCCTCCAGGGCGGCCGCTGCTGCTGCTGCAAGGCGGCAGCAGCGGCGGACGTGGGGGACAGCATGACGGGGGATGAGTGGGCGACGGGCGAGTGTTGAACCGGCGAGTGTTGCGCGGAGGAGGAGGAGGGGTTCAGGACGGTGCTGTTGGTAGCGGGGATGGCGAGGTGGGGTAGCGAGCGACGGTACCCGCCGTTAGCCGTTGCTGCCGCTGCTGCTCCCGTTGCGGCGGCGGTTGTGTTGCCAGCGATGTTGTTGTTGCTGTTGCTGTTTGCGCCGGTGTTGGCATTGTTGGCATTGGTGTAGGTATTGAGGGAGATGTTGGAGGCCGGGAAGACGGTTGTGGTGTACGGCACCCCCGGTTGGTCGTCCAACGGTGCCCCCAGCGCGCCGCAGGACAGGAAGTGTGAGGAGCGGCTGGTTGCCACATAGCCGCCCCCGCCACAGCCGCCCCCTGCATTGCCGCGACGCTTGAAGAAGGGCCGAGTGCCGGGTGACACCGGCTCATCCTCCTCATCCACCACCATCATACCCACCACCCCACCCTCCCCTCCACTCTCCCCGCCCGACTCCCAACCCACACTTCTAGGCGTTCCCGCCCCTCCTCCTCCCGTCCCTCCTCCTCCTGCAGCCGTCACCGCCGCCGCCGCCGCCTTCTTCCACCTCCCCCTCGCTGTCTGCTGCTGCTGCTGCCTGCTCGCGGGCCGCGGGCAGCCCGGCGCCGCCCCCACCGCCCCCACCAGAACACTCCCCCCCGCTGCGAACGCCAATGCATGGGTTCGTGACAGCGCCTGAGCCGCACTGTCCGCCACCAGGATGACACCGCACCAGTGGTTTTCCTCGCATGCCAGCCTGCAGAGGTGCTGTGCGGCTGCGGCCGCCTGGCCCGAGCAGCGGACCAGGAAGTGGCCCGAGTCGTAGGAGTTGAAGAGGCCGCCGATGGCCAGGCCGGCGGACATGGAGAGGTGGGGGATCTCGTTCTGGGCGATGATGCGCCTGGGGGGAGCGGGGGGAGGGTGGGGGGGGATGGAGGGGGGAAGGGGGGGAGGAGCGGGTAGGGCTGCATGGGTTGGCAGCAGCAGAGAGCCTGCGAGACACCGCAGGCACAGACCCAAGCAGCCCAGCTACAGCAACTCCCCATGCCTCCTCCTCACCCAGGGAAGCTCCAGCCCAACCCCTGGCTCCAAACCCAGGCTCCACCTCCTACACGGAACTCCCTAGAAAGTACACATGGAGCTAACCCTGCATCATCCACTCGCTGGTCGGCTTGCCCCTCACTGCCCCCCTCGCCAACTCCCCCCACCACCACTCTCACCTCCAACCCATGAGCCTCTTCTACCTCTCCCCCCCTCCGCTCCCCCCTTCCCCCCACCTCCCCTCCCCCCCCACCTGAATTCCGCCGCCATGGACAGCAGCGCATCCGCCATCACACGCACCCGGGGCCGCCTGCCGCCCGCCTTGCCGCCGCCCGCCTTACCACCTCCCCCGCCTCCTCCTCCATGCCCGCTTCCTCCTCCTGCATTCTCCCCTGCCCCCCCTGCTGCCCCCGCGCCTCCCTCGGATCCCGCTGCTGCCACTGCTCCTCCCGCTCCTCCTCCTGATGCCGTACCACTCCCCGCGCCTCCCCCTGCATGCCCGCCTCCCCCTGCATGCCCTCCCCCTCCATGCGTCCCTCCCCCTCCTCCATGCCCCCCTCCTCCATGCCCCCCTGCCCCTCCCCCCAGCTCCAGCGGCACCACCAGGAAGTACTCCAGCGTGCGCCAGCGCACCAGCTGCAGCCCGCAGCGGTGAGCCAGGTCGCTCCACTGCACCACGATGTCGTCCAACACCTACACAAGGGGGGCCAGGTGGGGGGGAGGCGGAGGAGGTTTGGACAGGGCGGTGGAGGGGTGGGAAGGCTGGGAGAGGGAGGGGCCCCGCCATGTCCATTCGCATCCATCACCTTCATTCCCCCATCCCTCCCGCAGCTGCTGCAGTCTGCCGGCTGCCGTACTGCCTGCTGCTGGGCCCCCCCACCCCCCCCACCCCCACCCCCCCATACACACCTGTGCCATGGTGTCCAGCCGCACGTCCAGCTGCCCGGGAGCCAGGTCCACCTGGGCGGGGAGGCGGGGAGGGGGGAGAGTTGCAAGCAATCCAGCGGGTACGAACACGAGAGTGAAGAGGACAAGGAGGAGTGACGTAGAAGAGGAGGAGGAGGAGGAGGAGGAGGGTACGTGGAAGAGGAGGCGGAGGAGGGTACGTGGAAGAGGAGGAGGAGGAGGAGGAGGGGGGTATGTGGAGGCTGTGTCGCAGCGCTGCGGGCCGGCCCAAGGTACGGCAGCAGGAGTTGCCCAGTGGGGAAGGGGCTCCCGAGGCAGGGGTGCCGGACGCATGCGCCTCCCCCCTCCTACCGCCCCCACCACCACCCGAACACCTTAGCATTACCCTACTCCCCCCCCCCCCGCTCGTCAGTTTCCTCTTTTTACCCCCCCCCACCTTGATCACCGCCATGCACGCCGCCCCCCTCCCCCCCCACCTTGATCACCGCCATGCACGCCGCCCCCCTCCCCCCCCACCTTGATCACCGCCATGCACGCCGCCCCCCTCCCCCCCCACCTTGATCACCGCCATGCACGCCGCCCCCCTCCCCCCCCACCTTGATCACCGCCATGCACGCCGCCCCCCTCCCCCCCCCACCTTGATCACCGCCATGCACGCCGCCCCCCTCCCCCCCCACCTTGATCACCGCCATGCACGCCGCCCCCCTCCCCCCCCCACCTTGATCACCGCCATGCACGCCGCCCCCCTCCCCCCCCACCTTGATCACCGCCATGCACGCCGCCCCCCTCCCCCCCCACCTTGATCACCGCCATGCACGCCGCCCCCCTCCCCCCCCCACCTTGATCACCGCCATGCACGCCGCCCCCCTCCCCCCCCCACCTTGATCACCGCCATGCACGCCGCCCCCCTCCCCCCCCACCTTGATCACCGCCATGCACGCCGCCTCCAGCATGTCCGTGTACATGCGCTGCTGCCCCCCGCTGCCGCACCCCACCTGAGGCAGACAGCGGGCGGCAGGCGGCAGCAAGGTCAACAGCAAGGTCAACAGCAAGGTCAACAGCAAGGTCAACAGCAAGGTCAACAGCAAGGTCAACAGCAAGGTCAACAGTAACGGTAACACCGGGGCGTGGCGGGTTCAGTCGCTACCACACACATGCAGCTGCGGCTCAGTGGTGCGGCTCAGTGGTGCGGCTCCGGTACAGGGCGGTGCACCGGTACCCCCACCCGGCGGGTGTCTCCCCGCCTGCGGGTAGGCTAGCCGGTCATCCCCCCACCCCTCCACACCCACCCCTACCGCCTCCTATTCCCATTGTTTTAACCCAATCCGTGATTTCCTATGGCTCGGTCCTATGGTCTGTCACCCCGCCCCACCTGTTGGCTCAGGTCCACGTCCGCCCAGGCCGGCAGGAACGCGGCGGCGGCGGAGGGGTAGGCGGCGGCGGCGGCGGAGGTGGCTCCCCCGGCTGATGTGGCGGCGGAGTGGAGATGGTGCTGGTGCGCGGTCTCGGACGCCTTCATGCGCTGTTGGGGAGGAGGTGGCGGGTGGGGGAGGGGTTGACGAGGGCAGGAGGGCGTGGTAAGGGCGGTTGGAGAGGTGGGGGGGGGGGGTAGAGGAAAGGGAGGGAACAGGGCTGCATAGGGTGCGGTGGCGTGTGGTAAGAAGCAAGGAATTGGAGCGGGGAGGAAAGAGAAGGAAGGTCGCGGATTGAAGCAAGGGGAGGCGGCAGCTCTGTGCTCTTGTCGTCCCTATTTTCCATTCTTCTTATTCTCCAGTTTTCCTGCACCCATTCTCGCCCCCTCACGTCCCTCTCGCCCGCACCCACCCCCGCACCCGCCCCGCACCCGCCCCGCACCCGTACCTGCAGGAATGTGGCCATGGAGCCGCTCTCCGCGCCCTTCCCAACCGCCTCCAGTACCAGCGATACCGTTAGACCGCCGTACAGCTTCCCCCCACCTCCACCCCCACCCCCACCCCCGCCATCGCTTGTGCCACCACCTCCTCCTCCCCCTCCTCCCCCGGCACTGCCGGCAGCAGCAGCAGCACTGGCAGCACTGGCAGCGGCGGAGGCTGCGTGGGGGTGGGAATGCGCGTGAGAGTGGGAGTGGGAGTGGGCATGGGAGTGGGAGTGGGAGGTAGCGGCAGTGGATGCTGCTCCCGCTGCCCCGCCACCTGACGAGGCCCCTCCTCCCCCTCCTCCTGCTCCCCCTCCGGATGCTGCCCCCCCTGCCGCCCGGTGCAGCTGGTCCGCGGTGAGGGAGAGCTCCTCGGGGCGCTGGGGGGGGGGGCGAGAGAGGGGGGTATGGCGGGGAGGGTGAGAAGGGAAAGCCGGAGCCTCCAAATGCGCCCCGGTATGCCTCTCCCAGCCTCCCTCCCAGCTCCGCTCCGAGCCCCCAGCTCCCACCCCCTACACGCCCACACTCACTCCCCCGGACGCATGACTCTCCAAACACGTCTTCTCCAAAGCCGGCCCCTTGCCATCGCCCCCCTCCCCCGTTCCCCCTTCCCCTCCCACTCACCCCGCTCGGCGCCTTCCACGGTTTGCCCTCGCTGCCCCCCTCCCGCCGCAGCGCCCCCGGGGGACCTTGACCGTAGGACTGACCCAGAACTGCCTGGGGGTGGGTGGGGCGGGGTGGGGTTGGGGTTGGGGAGGGGGGCATAATTTTTTCAGAAGCGGGGGTGGGGGATGAGAGGCGTGGGGACCATTGGGGGGTTGGGAGAGACACGCGAGGCGCATGCAGAGGCTGGGGGTGCAGGAGGAGGGCGATGGTGTCTCCGAAACACCCACGCCATCCCAGCTGATGCGAGCCCCCAGTACGGTACCGCTGGCAAGTCCGGTTTACTGAAACCGCTAAACCTCTTTCTGTGTCTCCCCTCATACACTCGAGGCCGGTTTCCTCACGCAGATGTTTTACGCGGATTTTACCACACACACCCTTTTCCCCTCACCTCCCCCCCTCCCTGCGGTTTCCTATGGTTCGGTATGGTCTTAGTCCTCTCCCCTCCCCCCCCCTCCTCCTTCCCTCCCCTCCCCCTCCCTCCCCCTCTCCCCCCTCCGCCCCCCTCTCCTCACCTCCCTGAACAGCGCCCCCATGGCCTGCCGCTGCTCCGCCCCCCGCAGCGCGTCCGTGAACACCCCGGTGGCGCTGTGCTGCAGCCGCAGCTTGTGGAACAGCCGCAGCGTGAGCGGGTCGCAGCAGCTGGTGAAGCGCTGGGGGCTGACGGCAAGCACCACGCAGCGGCTCACCGCCACCACTCCCACCGTCAGCCGCTTCTCCTGTGTGCGAGGGGGTGGGGAGGGGAGGGGGTTTGGGGTTCAGGGTTTGCCGGGGGGGGGAGGGGCGGGACATCAAGCCATGAGTGAAGGCAAGACAAAGGGGATAGGAGGAACGGCAGGCTGGGGGGAGGTCAGAGGGTAGGGTAGGTGAGGGGTGAGGGGTGGGCTGCCCAGAGGAGCTGTTGGGATGCTTGCTGGTGGGGGGCTGCATGGTAATGCACCCACACCCACACCCGCCTCCCCCTCCCCCCCATGCAACCCACCCTCAGCAGGTCATCTCCCAGCACCACTCCGCTGCTCCGCCGACCCAGGATGACCCGCCGGGTCGCTCCAAAGCTCGGCAGCTGTGACCCGCCGCCCCCGCCCCCCACCACCGGCGCTGCCACCGCTGCTGCCGCCACCCCCGGCACCGCCGCCGCCTCTCCGCCCACCCCCCCTGCTGCCCCTGCTCCTCCCGCCCCCTGCTGCCCCCCTCCCGGGCCCCCCGGCGCCCCCCCTGCCGCATGCCATGCCAGCGCCTGCGCCTGCTGCGGCGAGGGCTTGCTGCCGCCCAGCGCCACCAGCGCGCCTGCCAGTGCCAGCGGGTCGGAGGTGTGGGGGAGGTCCAGTACCACCGCCACCTCGCCGCGGATGAGGAAGTAGAGGAAGCCGTTCTCGCGACCCTGGGGTGGGGAGGGGGAGGGCGGGGAGGGGGGGAGGGGGGCAGAGTGAGGGGGACGGCGCAGCGGTTGCAGGCTCGGCTCGACTACCAACTCGACTCCATCCACCAGGCTACCGGTAGTAGTAATGCCATTATCATTCAACACAGCTTGGGTTCCCTTCTTCGTTCCCCCCTCCCCCCCACCTGGTGCAGTACGACCTCCCCTCCCCCTCACCCTTATTCCTCAGTCAGTTAGTTGCTTCCTCTTTATCCCCCTCCCCATCCCCTCCCTCCACCCCCCCCACCTGATGCAGTATGACCTCCCCCGGCTCGAACGCGGCCTCGTGTATGTGCCGCGCCAGGCGGTAGAGCTCCTTGAGCGGCGTGTGGCGCAGGAAGGGCAGCCGGCAGCAGCTGTCCACTGCACGACGGATGGAGATCTCGGACTGGGGTGAGGGAGGGAGGGGGAGGGAGGGAGGGAGGAGGGAGGGAGGATGGGAGGGGGAGATACATGAAAAGTGAAGCATAGGAGGGGATGAGGGAGGGTGGGATGCCGGGAAAGAGGAGCAGGCCATAAGAAGGAACGATGAGGGCAAAACGATTGGGGAATGAGGCGGCAGGGAGGGAGGTGGGGCAGGGTGGGAGGGAAGGAGAGGGAGATATGGAAGAGGGGACGGGGGTGGGGGAGGGAGCCGGCAGGCGAGGAGGGGATGAGAGGGGTGGGGGTGGGGGTGGGGGTGGGGATGAGAGGGGTGGGGGTGGAGGTGTGCAAAGGGGGCCATGTGCGGCCCTTGCGCGCCATCTACATGCGGGCGGGATCCTGCGTGTGTTAACCCCCACGTCATTATACCCTACATGCCCCCCCTCCCCCCCACCTTCCCCATTGCTTTGCCCTAACCTGTGGTCTCCTATGGTTTGGTACCTGGTCTTTGACCCCCCCCACCTGCATTGCCATGGCCCGGCGGTACACCTCCCGGCTCACGAACACCAGCGCCACCAGCCGGTGCCGCGGAGTAACTGCCGCGATGGCTCTGCCCGGCAGCTCGCCCGCAGCCCACCCCGCGCCGCTGCCGCCGCCGCCCACGTCCGCAGCCAGACCCACCTCGTCGGCACACAGCAGCTCCCTGGGGGGATGGGCGGGGGTGGATGGGGGGGGAGAGGGGTGGAGGGGCGGGGTGGAGGGGGGGGTAGGGTGGAGGGGCGGTGGGGGGCAGGGGGGGTGGGGACATACCAAAGTCACAGGTTAGGGCAGAGCATTTGGGATAGCGGGAAACGTTTGTCATATGGACGAGGTGTAGGGGGAGGGGGGGGGAGGGTGTTATGCGGTGTTGTAGGGGGTGTGAGCGGGGCCCGGGTAACGCCGCCATGAGCAGCCGTAAGTATCACACCAACCAACCAACCCAACACTTGCTCGCTCTCAACACACTCCAACCTCGCGCACAAGCCCCTGCTCCACCCACCCACGCCCGCCCCCACCCCCACCCCCCCCCCCGCCCCCACCCCCGCCCCCACCCCCGCCCCCACCCCCCCACCTTCCGGAGAACGACTGCCACGTCTCCACCGCCGTCACCTGCGTCTTCAGCGCCGCCAGCGCCGGCAGCAGCGCCAGGTACGCCTCCTCCGGCACCCCAGGGATGGGCGTCTCAACCACCGCACCCACCCCGCCCCCGCACCCATCACCCCCACCGCTGCTAGCACCCTTGCCCGCTGCTGCTGATGCTGATAGCTTGCTGGCAGCAGCAGCACCACCAGCACCGCCGCCCCCGCCGCCGGATGCTGCTGCTGCTGCTGCCGCCGCCGCCGCCTTCTTCGCGCTGCCCGCCAGCGCCGCCCCCTTGCCCCCCACCGCCACTGCCAGGTCCTCCAGCGCGGCGGCATGCAGCGCCACCAGCTCTCGCAGTGCCTGCGCCTTCTGCAGCCGCATGAGCTTGTGGATGATGTGGACCACGGTGCGCCACAGCCCGCAGCGGACCTGGGGGCGGGGGAGGGGGGATTACATAAGTGAAACAACGAGACGTCTCGATCGTCTTCGAGCCCCCAACTCATGCAGTGAGGGGGGGGGATGTGAGGTGAGGAGGAGAGGGGGAGTCGTTGGTGGCTGAGCCATGCACCGTACGGCTGTCAGGGCACTTGTTTTCCCGGAGGGACGCTTGTCCCTCCGCCGTCTCTGCGCTTAATCCTCTTTCCCACCCCTCCTTTTCCTGCTCATCTCCCCTTTTCTCTCTCCTCATGCAACGATACTTCCAACCTAGCCCACCCCCATCCCGCATGCCTGCTCCACCCACGCCTCCTTTCCCCACCCCCTCCTCCTCCTACCCCCACCCTCTCCTCCCCACCCCACCCGCTCCAGTGCCGCCCCCTGCAGTCCCTCCCCCTCAGCGCCGTACAGCCCCAGTGACGTTAGCTGCTGCTCCGAAACCTCCGCCGCCACCGCTCCGCCCCCTGACGCCCCCGCAGCAGCAGCCACCGCCGTCGCCGCCGTCACAAAAGACGCGGACGCGGAAACACACGACGCCGCGTCCGCTCCGCCTCCACTCGCTCTGTAGCCGGTGGTGGTGGCGGCGGTGGTGGTGGCGGTGGTGGCACTGCTGAGGGTGCTTTCACAGCGTGGGGTTTCGGAGAGGTGGGGGCGGGGGGGCTGGGAGCCGCCGCCGGCAGAGGTGGTGGCGGTGGGAGAGGATGAGGAGGCGTAGGAGAAATTGGAGGAGGAGGGGCCGGCGTGGGGTGTGTGGGGTGCGGTGTCGGAGCCGGAGGTGGGGTCGGGAGGGGCGGTGTCGCGCAGGTGGGTGACTGCGTGGTGGCGGGGGTAGAGGGGAGGAGAATGGGGTGGGGTGGCGGGGTGAGGGGAGGAGAATGGGAGTGGGGGGTGGGGTGGGAGGTTGAGGGGAGGGAGGTGGGGGGGTTATCGTGCAAGGGGAAGGGTGAAGAAAGAAAGGAAGGTGGGGAGGTTGGGGATAGGCGGGACGGACGGCCCCTTCACGCCACACTACGAGCCCCCACTCCCCCACTCCTGCCAAGTGCCGAATGGCCGCATGCGTCCCCCTTCCTAACCGCTTCCATACCGCCCCTGCCCGCCCCCCTCCCCGTTCCCCTCCCCTACCTCCCCTCCCCCACCTCCCATCCTCCCTCCCGCGCACCCCTCCCCCACCCCTCCTACACCCCTCCCCCACCCCTCCCCTCCCCCCTCACTCGCGAAGTCCCGTATCGCCGCCAGCGCCGCATCCGCCGGGTCGCCCGTCACCGCCGTGACGCTGCCGTACACGACGGAGAAGAGGCAGGTGTGGTCGCCCGGCCCCCGCGGCAGCTCCACCCGCTCCGTCAGCACTGCCAGCTGCAGGTAGGAGGCCAGCAGCTCGCGGACGGGGGGGTGCAGCTGGCGGTAGGCGTCGATCTGGGGGAGGGGGCCGGGGTGAGGGGGAGCGGGGAGGGGGGAGGGGGGGGGAGGGGGGCGGGGTGAGGGGGAGGGGGGAGGGGGGAGGGGGGGAGATAAATGAGAAGTCTCTCGCCCTCCCAATGCACACATCGACATCACCGGTATATTCCCCTTCTTCAATGTGGTCAGCTTTCTTCAAAACACACACATCCCACCCCCCCCCACCATTCGTACCTTTGACACCAGCGGCATCAGCTTCTGTACGTCGGTGGGAGTGCGGTTCTCAGGCAGCTTATCCAACACATCCTGGGGGGGGGGGGCAGGTTGGGGGAGTGGGAGGTAGGGGGGAGGTAGGGGGGAGGTGAGGGAGGGGGCAAGGAAGGAGGAGGGTTGAGAAGGGGAATGGAGAGAGGCAGGCGCGAGGCAGCAGACGCAGGGGGGGGGTGCAGGGTGTGAGGACTGGAGAGGCGAGTGAGGGGCAAGTACCGCAGCCCGGTGCCCCGCCCCAACCGCTTCTCTTAGTCATACCATAACCACCACCGCTGAGCTACCCCCAGCCCACCCAAGCGAAACCCTCCCCGACTCGCTCCTCTCCCCTCCTCGCCTGCTCTCCACTCCCGCCCGCCCTCATACCCCGACAAGATCCACCTCCCCACCTGCGTTCATTCGGCACATGCGACCTTACACATGCCACCGAGTGCCAGTGGCAACCCTTCCCCCACACCGCTCTCCCCCCACACACACACCGCTCCCCCTCCCTCACCGCCACGGGGTCCACCACCGCGGACAGCTCCTTGGCAGAGCGCTCGAAGCGGGCGTGGGCCTGGGAGGGGGAGGGGAGAGGGGGGGAGGAGAGGGGAAGGAGAGGAGGGGGGGAGGGGGGGAGAGGAGTGAAGCACGGTCCCATGGCCCAACTCATACAGTAAGCGCATGGGGGAGAAGGAAAGGGCAGGACGCAGAGGGCTGAAGGGCAAAGGCCAGGAGGCATAGAACCGTTACGTGTCTTCGGGGGGACGCCCCATAGGGGCCTGGGCTTCGGGGGTATGACTAGGGCTTAGACGCATGTGATTTTGTGGGGGAAGGGAAGGGCAAGATAGGGGAGTGGCCTACGGACTTTGGCAGGGGGGATGATGCCCCCTTATAAGCGCTCCTTCGCTTATTTCGTCGGGGCTTGGTGACATAACAATGGATATGGGATATGAATGCCAAGTTGGGATGGGAGAAACTATTAAACACAAACGCAACACGACTGTGCTTCAGCAACATGCAGCAAGCACGCGTGCGAGCGACCGCGCACGGTGTATGTGTAGAATATTTCTCAGTAGATGTCGGCAAGTATCAATATCTATCACTTACCGCCCATGCTTGGAAGGTATTCTTCAGGATGCGATGCATGACCCGCGACAGAAGGCGCCGGGCCTTGTCGAATTTGTTCTTATTATCCTCCATCCTATCCACTGCATCCCCGCCTGCATACGTACTGTGGTTTTTGGGTCGATGCATTGGAGTGACTAGTAGTTAAGCAGGCATCTAGCCAAAGTGGCAGTCGCACAACCCAAAAAGATGACCCCTATGAGGCCAAAGTACATCATATTTGTTGGATACAACCCATTAGTAAATATAGCACAGTGCTCGAAGTCGAGTTAACAAGTTTCAAGCAGAAGCATGACCTCATACCCATTTGGGGTCAAGCGCAACATTTTGCTTCTATAATTAGCATAGGTTTAAGCAAAGGCAGCGGTCTTTCCACAAGTGGACGGGAACCGTCGTACGGTCTTAGCGCTATGTACTTGGTAATCTGCCGGTATATCCCGCAGACAGTTTTTGTTTGTACTATTACAAATTACTCTTAACGCGTGATGCTGTGCCAAGGTCCTGAGGGTCGCGATCCAAGGGTCGGTGTTGCAGCCCGAAATGGGCTTGGGAAGTGAGATCAATGTCCGCGTACCACGTTATCAGGCTGGCCTGCTTCTGTGTTTGCCTTTGGATGACTGTCGCTCGCTGTCGAGTCCGCAACCACTTAGCTCAGGAAGCCACTCAAACAGTCTAACTGCGTCAAGCGCCAGAGCTGAGATGGACATTTCACGGGTAGAAGAAGATCTGTGCCCTGCCTCTTTGCTGAATGGGGAATGGGGTGGGAAACTGCCAACTGGGCATCTCTGCATGCCGTTTTTAACCGCTCGTACGACTCAAGCGTGTTGTAGCGAAAGCCATTCCAAGAAGCATGCACGAGACATGAAAAGTAAAAGAGTGGTGAACTGACTGAACGCGCCAAAGAGTACTGAAGTGTGACCCACGTTGTTGCAACTTAGGTGTGAAGCTGAGGCGATCCTCATCCCCGGCATCCCTAGTGCCTTCAGGCACACTGTGATCGCAGACCACTACAGTATTAAGCACGCGTTCACGTCCAAATTGATGGACTGCGAATAAAGACCCTAACGTGGCACTCCAAGTTTCCTAGAGACAACATGACTGAGGCAAGGGTTGATCCTGGGCGTGGCGCACCTCGGCTTCGCATTAAAGGTCACGCAGCGAGCGTCATTCGGTTTTTCTTCATCTCGGTAAGACAGGCACGGCTGGCAACATAGACGCCTCTGTACGCGAATTGACATGGGCTAATTAGGGGTCTGGCTTCGTTGCTTGGCAATAGTGTTGCTCCGGCTTCCTTGCACTTGGCCTGAATTTGGCCCAATCCCATCCTGCCGCTCAATGTCGCGTGCACCCCTCACAAAGCATTCCGCGTGCCCGACGCATAACGATTTGCCTAAATTCCATAATACTCCTTTCATACCTTTCATACCTGTTTCACTTTTTGCTCTCGTGCTCCCTCCCTATCCGTACGGCTTGACTTCCGGGATGCAGATCGCCTTCACCGTGCTATGGATCCTGGTAACATCGCAGCTGGGGCACTACAGCAAGCTGTACGGACCGCAGGTACGGTCAGCAGCAACCCGGGGGTATGCTGGTTGAAGCGGGTTGCTCACGCTGATCCCAGGGCTGTCTCGGATTACCTCCGGGTTATAGCTCCCTCATGCCCCCTTCCACCACCATCGTCTACACCCCTGAGCCCGTCAACCTCCCACTTCCCGCCCACAAGCTGCGAACTGCGAACTGCAACTCCCCTACCCTCCCTCCCCCTCCCTTCCCATCCCTACCCCTTCCCCTGCCAGATCCTGCTGCAGCTCAACCTTGCCTTCTACCTGCCCTCCATTCCCGTGCTGCTGCTGTCGGGATCCCTGGAGCGCCTGCTGGAGGCACGGCTGGGGCACATGGGTGAGGGGGTGATGGGTTTTAGGTTTCAGGGTTTTGGGGCACATGGGTGGGGGTTGGGGGCGCCTCCTGCTTCATGCCTTACCCCTCTCATCCTTCCTCCCCTCCCGTCCAGATGTGGCACGTTCGGCTTGACTAACTCCCTCCCAATCACCAAGAGAGCTCGTCGTCTTGTTTTCCATTCTCATTCATCACAATGCGCGCCCTTCTTTCCCCCCTCCCCCTCCCCCCTCCCCGCTGCTGCAGGCTCTCTCACTCTGCGGCTGCACGCCAGCCTGGGTTGCTGCCTGCTGCTGGCGGCCGTGTGGCCGGTGGGGCTGCCGGGCCGGGTGGCAGGGGACGGGCCGCTGGGGGCGCTGCTGGGCGCGGTGGGGCTGCTGGGGGCGGCGGCGGCGGTGGCGTTCAGCACTGCCTACCAGCTGGTGCGATTCTTCAGGTGGGGGGGTCAAAGACCATACCAAACCATAGGGGACCACAAGTTAGGGCAAAGCAATGTGGGTAGGAGTTGGCAGGGCGCCACAAGACAAAGTGTGGGGGGGGGAGGGGGAAGGGGTTAGGGTTGCGGCTTGGGGGCAAGATACAATGGCAGAAACCGAGGCAAGAGCATGATGGGCTCGACAAGGCGCCGGTAGAGAGGAGACACGAATGCCAGCCCGCAACCCACATCCCGCCCTCCCACCCACTCCCAACCTCCTCCTCCCCCTCCCGCCCTCCCAACAGGGCTGCCGACACCATCGGTCTGGGTGTTGGCTGTGTGGGCTCGGGGCCCCTGGTGCTGCTGCTGCAGCTGGCGCTGGGTGGCACGCAGTCGGGGGGAGGTGGCGGTGGACCCGAGGGGGGCGGAGGCGGTCCTGGGCCCCGCTGGCGCTGGGTGGCTCAGTTCGAGGCGGCAGCTGGGCTGATTGGGTTGGGGCTGCTGGCGGCTGCATCGCTGTGTGCGCAGTACTGGGGACCGCTCAGCAGGGGGGCGGAGGAGGAGGGAGGGAAGGGAGCGGGGGGAAGAGGGGAGGGAGGGGGAGGGGGAGGGGAGATGCGGGTGCCGTTGCTGGCGGGAGTGGATGAGGAGGAGGCGGAGGCGGGAGGAAGCGGGGGAGGAGGAAGGGGGCGGGAGGGAGCGAGGGATGTGGAGGCGGCGGCGGCGGCGGCAGGAGGGAGGGGAGCGGTGTGGTGGTCGCCAGGAGGAGCGGCCGGGGCCGGGGCTGGGGGGTCGCCGTGGCGGCTGAGGGCGCAGGACAGCTGCGGTGGCGGTGGTGGCGGGTTGAGGCGGTGTGGGGGTCCGACCACGGCACCTGATCCCTTCAATGTGTTTAACGTGCTGTCGCCAGGTGGGGTGTGTGGGGTGTGTGGGGTGTGTGGGGTGTGTGGGGTGTGTGGGGTGGGCCAGGTGGGGTGTGTGGGGTGTGTGGGGTGTGTGGGGTGTGTGGGGTGTGTGGGGTGTGTGGGGTGTGTGGGGTGTGTGGGGTGTGTGGGGTGGGCGGGTGAAAAGAAGGAAACTAGAGGGCTGTATGGCAAGGCTTCACCACCTGGGGAAGGGTGGGGTAAAGAGGGAACAGCTGACTGGCCGCTGGGTGGCTGGTGAGCTGGTGACGGGGCTTAGTGTGCGTGTTTGCCGCGTGTGGCCCTCGGCTTCGCACCGATTCCATTCACCGGGGGCTTGACACCTAGTTGGCCATTCCCAATACACCCGCCGGGCCTTCTTCTTTTCCCCCACCTCCACACAGGCCTTGACGGCGGCCTCGGCTGGCTGGCTGGCGCCGACAGCGATGACGAACAGCAGCAGCAGCGGGGGGTTGGCGGGCGCTGGGGGGCCGCCTACCAGGAGCCGCCTCCGCCGCTGCTGCTGCGGCGCTCGGTGAGTGCTGGGTTGGAGCGGGGAGGAGGCGGAGGCGGCGGCAGGCGGGCAGCGGAGGTGCAGCAGCAGCAGCAGCTGCTGCTGTTGAGGCGGCAGCAGGCGCTGTTGATGATGCAGAGGGCACGAGGAAACAGGTAGGGGTGCAGGATGCGGTGGCTTGCATGGGGTTGGGGGGAGGGGTTGTTGGCTTGCCGGGAGGCGGCGGGTCCTACGGTCCTCTCTCAACCCCCTTCAGCACGATCACCCCTCCTACCTCCCTGCCCACCTCACCATCCCACAGGCCCCTGCCGGGTACGGCGCAACCCCCTGCTCACCCAGCAGCAGCAGCCCCCTCCTCCTCCCCCTCCCGGCTCGCAGCCGCCCCCGCCACACCCCCTCACGCGGGCAGTGCCGTACATGCGGGCGGTGCCGTACATGCGGGTGGTGCCCGGATGCAGGGAGCGCATGCTTCCGCGTCCATAGGGGAGGTGGCGGAGGAGCAGGAGGTGGCGGCGGCGGAGGAGGCGCTGTTGGGTCCGATGAGATCCGCGCCCTCGCCTGCCGTACATGCGGCATACCGGCAGCAGCAGCAGCAGCACTTGCAGCAGAGCGCGGAGGACTCGCCGACGATGCTGCTGCCGCTGCCGCCGCTGCGGCAGCCACTCCAGCAGCCTCCGTCCGGGGCGACAGCAGGGGCAGCAGGGGCGGGTGCGGTCACCGGAGCGGCCCGGCTGCTTGAATTCGGAGATCTGGATCCGGACCCTCCCGCCGTACAACTGGTGACGACCACCACCACACCCACTGCCGCCAATAGCGGCGGGGGCGGGGGAAGCGCCTTTGCATCTGCATCTGCAGTTGGGAGCTGGGAGGCGGTGATGGCGGGGACGGCGGAGGTGGCTGCTGCGGGGGAGGCCAGCGGCGGCAGCAGCGGGGGTAGTGGGCAATGCGGGGGGGTGGGGGGGGGCTCCGCGGGGGTCGGGGAGGTGGAGGCGGGGGGTAAGGGGGGCAGGGAGGTGGGGGCGGAGGGGCATGAGGAGCGGTGCGGGGAGGCGGCGATGAGCGTGCAAGAGGAGATCATGGAGGTGCTGCGAGGTGGGTTGAGGGAGAGGAGGGAGAGGACGGCGGAAGGTAGGGGCGGTAGGGGGGGTAGGGGGAGGAAGAGGTGGGGTCGCTGGTGGTGGTGAGGAGTGCAGTGCAGTGCGGGATGCAGGCGGGGAAGGAGGAGGGGGGGGGTGCAGTACCATAGGATGCCCCTGCTGTGTGCACCGCTTGTGCATCCCCCCCGCTCGTCAGTTTCCTCCTTTCACTCCCCGCCCCCCCCTCCCCTCTCCCTCCCTCCCTCCCGCAGTGTCCTGGCCGGTTCACCTCGGCTTCCTGGTTTCCGTGACCACCCTTTACCTGGTCTTCCCCTTCTTCACATACGTGCCGGCAGCGGGGGCGGGGTGGCTGGGGAGCAACCTGCCCCTGGTGAGGGGGGGGAGGAGGGGGTGCAGACTAAAAAGGGGGAGAAAGGGGGTGGGAGCGCGGGGAGGGGAGGAACGGAGGGTGTGGGATACGGTGCCAGTAGCCGGTTGCTAGGGGTGCGGGGAGCGGCATGGGCGGCATGGGGGGCCATGTGGTGGGCAGGAGCCTCGCACGCAGCGGCCAGCCGACTCGCCACCCAGGCAGGCAGGCTGGCAGGCAGGCAGCCGGGTTTACCTTGCCGTGGGGACTCCTCCGGCCTCCTCAGCATACCCTCCGTGCGCCATTCATTCTTGCCTCCCCTTCCTGCCCAACCCCACACAATCTCTCCTTCCCCACCTCCACCCCTCCTCCCACTCCTCCCACTCCTCCCACTCCCCACCTCCTCCAGGCCCTCTTCTACACCCGCCTCTTCACAGACCTAGCCGGCCGCCTGCTGCCTCGCATCCGCTCCCTGCAGCTCCGCTCCGCCTCCTCCGTACTCTCCCTCGCCGCCGCCTCCCTCGCCCTCGCCGCCCTCTTCTTCGCATACATCCTGGCTTCCCGACCTCTGGCGCCCCCACCACCCTCCTCCTTCCCTGCCACCGCTGCTGCTGCTGCTGCTGCAATCCCCACCGCTGCAACTACCACCACCACCACTGCCGTACACCACTCTCGTGTCCTGTGGTCGCTCCTCCACAACGACGCCGTACCGCTGGTGCTGGTGGTGGCGCTGTGGCTGCTGGGCGGATTCACAAACACCGCCGCCAACACGCTAGCGCCGCTGCTAGTGCCGCCGGAGCTGGCGGGCAGGGCGTCGGCGCTGATGGCACTAGGGTTCAATGCGGGACACATCGGGGGGCTGCTGGCGGCGGCGGCGCTGGCGGCGGCGGCGTTTGGGGATGTGGTGGGATGAGGGTGGTTGTGGGGGGGGTTGAGGGTGGGGGGGGGGTTGAGAGAGGGACTGGCCGGGAGTGGGAATGTACTGTTGTTGTCGGTGGGTAAAACCCCTGCGGGAACACCACAGGAGCCGAGGAGTAGGCTGGCCTATGTAGCTATAGAAATCCAATACGGGTGCTGGTAGTAAGTAGGACGTAACAAGGATATACATGAGAACGACCGGACCGAATGACCGTAGTAGAAAGCGTTACGTGGGTGTGTGGTACTGGGGCGGGGGCTGGGGAAGTGGGTGGTGAGGAGGGGAGGAAGGGGGGGGGGAAAGTGTCTTTGAGCGATTGAGGACGGGAGGAGGTTTAATGGTTCGTCCCTCATCACTTTGGTCAACAGCACAAATAGCCGTCATTGGCTGAAGCTGGGGCTCTGTGCGTGCAACTGTACGGCGTACTGGGAGGTGTACGACAATGGCTGGCACGACGACAATTGCCGAGAAGCACGAGTTTGCGATGTGGAATGCAATACGGTACAGATGATTAGAACCGCGATTGGTTGGCCAACCCACATGGGGTGCGAGCCGCGAGTGTGCAAAGCGTGCAGGAGGGGCCATATGTGTCCGTGTGTTTGTCTGTGTGTGTGTAGTTGAGCGCAGCGTTGTGTGTAGGTGTGTGTGTGGCAGGCTGGGTGTTTCACCAGGGGACCTGGTGGCTTTCTGCCATTCATCGTTCATCGTGCACATGCTTCGCACCCGCAGAAAGGGGGCTTGTAGGAAAACACACGTGCACATGCGGTCCATGTCAGGGGCACGTTTAGTGGTGTGTATGGGGGGGGGCATGCAAAGGATGCATCGCCGGGTCTCATCGGGTCGGGGTAGACAACGTAGGTCGAGGAATGAATGGCAATCGGGTAAGCTCAAACGTTTGCTGACAAGGGGTTCAGCTCCCTCGAAGCTGGAAAAGGGGGGAGCCGCTTGGTGAGGATAGGAACGTATGATGACCACTGGAATGACACAGCATGCGCACCAGTGACCCCATGGAACCAAGCGAGCAGACGCTGAGACGCGGCCCAACCGGCAATCCACCCTTTGTTTTCTCACCCAAAGGGTGAAAAGAAAAGACGTGGAAGTGTTGTATAGCTGGGCTTGTGGGAGAAGCAGCAGACTACCAATTCGGTGGCACCCGTTCACAACCGCGGCGCTGCTTCTGATATGTTCGAGTACCCTTTGGATCATGACGCGGGCCCGGGTGTGAAATAGAGGACTTGGGTTGGGTTCTCAGACCAAGTAGCTGCAGCTGGTGCTGCATGCTGCATCACAAAACCTTGGTTCGTTGATGAGTCAAGCAACCGCATATAAAATGCGAAATGATGATATTGGCATTGCAATCCAGCAGTCCACATAGTGGATGAGCGAATCCAAACAAATAAGCGAAACAGCCTGCTCAAGGGTGTTACCTCCCAAGGGCGGCCCCGCTGACCCCACGCACGCGGCTGAATGGGGGACGCATTCCTTCCACAGCAGCAGCTCTCAGCAGTTTATAAAAAAAAGTCGTATAGAAAGTACTAAAGTAAAGGCCAAAACAGAGGTTACCATTTGCCGCAACAAGTACTCTTCCGGCCATTGCCGCTTCCGAAACAGGACGTCCATGGCCTGCTCACATGCTAGGGGCAAAGCCGGCACCTTCCTTCATTGCCATCCTATCATCACGAAGCGCCCAACGGCGGCGCGGGCGCCTACACCTCCTGCAGCACGCTTCGCGATGCCTGGCAGCAGGCCGCAATCAGGCAGCCGGTCGGCGCCAGCACCTACCTGAGAGCTCGCTACGGCGCCCAAGATGCAATCCTCAAGCTCTACATCTGCCACAGTGTCCTGAAATTCCTGCTGGCCGGCAGCTTCCCGCAGCCGAGCACGACCGCCGGGCGCTTCAGATCATGAAGTCGCTGGACGCGCATTGCGAGCACAGTGGTGCGGAAAGCGGGGACCCGGCCAACCAAACTGCTGGCCTGATGGCTGCCGCCCCCAAAGTCGCCGCCGCGGGTCATTTGGACTCGTTACGGTGGCTTCTGCGGCCGGGACGTCCAACAGCGGCAGCTGTCACCAGGGGCTGTCTGCGTGTGGCGGCACGCTAGCTGGGGCCAGCTGCACAAGGTTCGGTGGGGGCTGCAGGAAATGGCAGCGGAAAGAGCAGCGGTAGGTGGCGGCGACCGCAGGTAATGGCGGGGAGCAGGATTCGATAGTCTGGAGAACGCTCTGGCTGCTGCGGCCATGTATGACCACGCGGAGGTGGTGCGGGAGCTGCTGCAGGCGGGCGGTGACCCACGGGTCGGTGGCCACCTGGCTTTGTGGGAAGCATCACTCTGGTGAGTGATTGGAGCATTAAACCTCTTGTGCCATGCCTTAGATCCAAGGGGGTTAGGCCTCTGTCATGATTCCCTCCTCACACTGCTGACAGGTTGTGACAAGTAGTGTACTATCCATGGTATAATGTGGTCGGGAAGGTGGCGTGTGTGGTGCCTGTGGAACACACGGAATGATTATACAGGACAGGGCAGACCCCTCGTCCTGCCCTACCGTCTACCCAAAGCCTCTGCGACCGGCCTCGAATGGACTCTACCGCTGCTGCCCCCTTATTACTCGTGACGCAGGCCCCCCTGTAGCCTGGCATGCACTATTTCCCTCATGACACTGATGAGCTCCACCTTCTCCTGCCGCTCTTTGGCCCCATGCCGCGTCCATTCCCAGGGGCTCTTGAGGAGGCGGTGGTGGTGCTGCTAGCTGCCAGTGCGGACGTCAGGGCCCGTGCATGTCGTACAACAGCTGCTCGAGGCGGGACTCAACCTTGCGCTGCATCTCACCTGCCATTTCGGCCACTTTGATTTAGTAAGGCCGTTGCTTGCTGCAAGTGGGGAGGCTGGCGGGGTCGATATCAGCAGCGACCTCAGCCAGGACCTCGCAATGCTTAGAATGGGGTACGATGACATAGGAAGGTGGGAAGGTGGGAATTGGTGCAGGCTAGGAGGTTGAAGCGACCCCTTTGCAGCAGCATTTTGGAATGATGCTGCGACCCCATCATTTCAAAATGCTGCTGCAAAGGGGTCGCTTCAACCTCCTAGCCTGCACCAATTCGCTCTTCACTATGGTTCCTATGTCGTCATAGCCATTCTTAGCTGAGTTGAATGCGAGGTTGTGGCCGAGGTCGCTGCTGATATCCATCCCGCCAGCCTCCCCACTTGAAGAAAGCAACAGCCTTACTACTTCAACCGTACTACAGGGCAACAACGTGAGTGTGAACCAGGTTTGGGTTTGGGAATCCCGATCTGCTAAGCATCCTGGATTGGGTAGGTAGGCGGTGGCGGGGCGGCTGGAGCAGTTTTAGCTTTGGGCAGAGCGGCACAACACAACATCATTGACTGCATCATACCTAACGTTGATGCGATGTGTTTCCAATCTTTGACAGCTTGAGTTTTTCCTCAGCCGGACAGGTTCTGATGGTTAAAAGGGTGTCTGGTCTGAATTGAAATCTGACCCATGGGCCACAGTCAACCTTCTCCTTGGATGCCACGGCCTCTCCTCATGCCTGCTTCCATCACCACAAAAGCAGCACCGGCTGCTTACCATGAAATCTACAGTACAGTGTGCTGTACAGATGTGCTGCCATCACACGACATTCTGGGGTTGCATAACGAAAAGGGGGGTTGGGTGTGGATGGTGAAGAGAAGCTGGATGCACGAAGCGACCAGACGACACAGTGACCAGGCGAGGAGGCCGCGGATACAGGATGTATTGGCTGCGCAAGCATAACCTGCGTTTGCTGAGCTAGTGCGCACGTTAGCCTACTGTATTGGTACCACATATGATGTCACTACTGACTGAAGAAGTAGGTTTCTTGCTAGCTGCCGTGGTGCGTGGAAGCAGATGACGCGCTTGCATGGGTGTACGACAGCGATGGTGAATGGACCCAGCCTATCAGGGCTGTACACGCGTTTGTACTTTCAACTGCCGTTGTGATTGGTAGTATCGGTGTTTGGGGTGTTTCGTCTAGCGAGTGGGGTGTTTGGGGTGTTTCGTCGCTCGAGTAGGACGGCTAGTATGGAGGGGCTTCCTGGATGCCGGTCAAGGGGGGCAATCGGCAATCGAGGTGCAACACTGGGTGCTGTCAGCACAATCGGCCACTAGTGCATCTTAAACATGGGTTGGGGCGTCGGGATGTGTGGGTTAGGGTTGGAGTTCTTGGTGTGGAGGCGACGTACGGTTGGTGTAACGCATATGTACGGCTGCTGTGGCGCATCACGGCAGCTAGAGCAAGAAATCCTAGACAGGTCGCCCATACAGCATTACAAAGAGCAACTAAGCCGAGACATTGCAAAGCCAAGGGGCCACCAGAAGCCGGCCGATCAGCCATACAGGCCACAGGATCAGCCATATACAGGCCGCAGGGTACGTTCTACAGAGCCGCAATAACACAGCAGCACAGACAGATCTCATCGTACAAGATGTCCACATGGCAAGCAAACCACGCAAGCAACCACACCAAGCCCTAACTGCAGCTCAGTCCCACCCGCAGCCACCTTCAGTAGTACTACCATACCGCCACCTGCTACAAACAATCCAAATGAGCCACAGACGATTGCGATAGTTGCTTGTCTTGACCCCCTGGACTACGCTGGTTTCAGCTCTAATACGCTATATATACGCTAATAATACGCTGCCTCCGCCACCGCTGCCGCCGCCTCCGCCACCTCCGCCTCCGCCGCCACTTCCACCGCCACTTCCACCGCCACTTCCTCCGCCTCCGCCTCCGCCACCTCCTCCGCCACCTCCGCCGAGGGGGGAATGTGGGTGGGAGGCGGTACCGGTGCAGGAGATGGCGGTGCGGAGCTGGGAGGCCCGGTGAAGGCGGCGGCACGCCAAGCGGTACCGGTGCAGGAGATGGCGGTGCGGGTGATGGCGGTGCGGGGCTGGGAGGCCCCGGTGAAGGCGACGGCACGCCAGGCGGTAGCGGTGCAGGAGATGGCGGTGCGGGTGATGGCGGTGCGGGGCTGGGAGGCCCCGGTGAAGGCGACGGCACGCCAGGCGGTAGCGGTGCAGGAGATGGTGGTACGGGGCTAGGAGGAGCAGGCGAGGGAGGAGGCACGCCAGGCGGGAGCGGTGCAGGAGATGGCGGTGCGGGGCTAGGAGAAGCAGGCAAGGGCCCGGAACCGTGCCCGAAACCGGCTCCGAAACCCACGTCGCAACGGCGGCAGCAGGCTTCCACCCCCAGCACGCGGATCGGGTTAATAGCAGCTTGGGCGGCAGGCGATGCATGTCGTGTGGTGGCGACATGAAGGCGCGGGGCTGCCGGGGCGGTGGTCAGCAGGCGGAGGTGCTGCACGGGCGAGGTGCAGGAGGCGCGGCGGCGTCGCCAGCAGCAGCGGAAGGGCGGCGGGGGCAGGGCGACCCATGGGACAACAGCTGGCGGGGGGCAGCACGGCCGCGGCAGGCGGTTCGCCAGGTTGCCCTCCGGCGGTGCATGGCTAGGCCGGGTGGTGGTGCTGCAGGGGCAGCTGCAGCAGTGGAGGTGGGGCTGTTGTGATGGAGCTCACATCCCGGGGAGGAGGGATGTGGGTCAGGCAGCGGCGGGGACGACCCATGGGACGTACAGCGGCGGCACGGTGGACGCAGCCACCGTGATGCAGTACGGGCCGCCACTGTAAGCGGGCGGCGGGGCGCCAAGCCCACACCGCATGCATCCCGACGAGGTGCAAGAAGGGCGGGCGGTCCACTCTGCTGCCGCCGCTGCTAGCGCCGCCCCTTCCGCCACCCCTGCAGCTGCCGCCGCTGCTGCCGCCCCTGCAGCTGCCACTGCCCTGCCGCCGCCGCCCTTTCCGCCGCCGCCACTCGCCGCCGCCAGTGCTTTCAGCAGCCCCGCGCACAGAGGCACCAGACGCCCGAGACCAACAAGCCACCATGCCAGTACGGCACCATGTCGGTTGCAGAGGATGTGCAACGCCGCCGCCACTCGCCGCATCCCCCAAGGTCGCCTCCGCCGCCTCCACCGCCGCTGCGGCCTCCGCCGCCACCGCCGCTGCGGCCTCCGCCGCCGCCGCCACCTCCGTCGCCACCTCCGCCACCGCCGCCACCGCCGCTGCGGCCTCCGCCACCGCCGCCTCGACCGCCGCTGCCGCCTCCGCCGCCACCGCCGCCACCGCCGCTGCGGCCTCCGCCTCCACCGCCGCCCCCACCTCCGCCGCCACCGCCGCCACCGCCGCTGCGGCCTCCGCCCCCACCTCCGCCGCCACCGCCGCCACCGCCGCCACCTCCGCCGCCTCCGCCGCCGCGGTGGTGGCCGCCACCAGCGCCCCTAGCGGCAGAGCGGTGCGCTGCTCGGGATGGTGACGGCGAACCGGACGGCTGGCGATGATGCAGCGGCGGCGGTGACCCCATCTACAAACGCCGCCAAGCAGCCATCCAACACCAACTCCGACGAGGCGCACCCTCCCGCCGCAGCCGCGTACAGGTCGCCAGGAGCTCCAGATGCTGCTGCCCGGCCCGGGTGGCTGAGGGAGGAGATGGAGGGAGGAGAGGCGGCGCCCTCACAACTTCCCCGCCGCCGGGCGGTTGGTAGCTCGGCGGTGGGATTATGGCGTTGGGTTGTCGGTGTCTAAAGACGCACCGTGATCGTCAACGCCGCTGCGACGTATTCCACGTCATCATGCAGCAGCAGCCGCTCCACAGCCCCCGCCACTGCCCTACCTGCCTCCTGGTAAGGGAGGGGGCACGCCAGGCGGGAGCGGTGCAGGAGATGGCGGTGCGGGGCTGGGCGGCTCCGGCGAAGGTGGCGGCACGCCAGGCGGGAGCGGTGCAGGAGATGGTGGTGTGGGGCTGGGCGGCTCCGGCGAAGGTGGCGGCACGCCAGGCGGAAGCGGTGCAGGAGATGGCGGTGCGGGGCTGGGCGGCTCCGGCGAAGGTGGCGGCACGCCAGGCGGGAGCGGTGCAGGAGATTGCGGTGCGGGGCTAGGAGGAGCAGGCGAGGGAGGCGGCACGCCAGGCGGGAGCGGTGCAGGAGATGGTGGTGTGGGGCTGGGCGGCTCCGGCGAAGGTGGCGGCACGCCAGGCGGGAGCGGTGCAGGAGATGGCGGTGCGGGGCTAGGAGGAGCAGGCGAAGGAGGCGGCACGCCAGGCGGTAGCGGTGCAGGAGATGGTGGTGTGGGGCTGGGCGGCTCCGGCGAAGGAGGCGGCACGCCAGGCGGGAGCGGTGCAGGAGATGGTGGTGTGGGGCTGGGCGGCTCCGGCGAAGGTGGCGGCACGCCAGGCGGGAGCGGTGCAGGAGATAGTGGTGCGGGGCTAAGAGGCGCAGGCGAGGGAGGTAGCACGCCAGGCGGGAGCGGTGCAGGAGATGGCGGAGCGGGGCTGGGCGGCTCCGGCGAAGGTGGCGGCACGCCAGGCGGGAGCGGTGCAGGAGATGGCGGTGCGGTGCTGGGCGGCTCCGGAGAAGGTGGCGGCACGCCAGGCGGGAGCGGTGCAGGAGATGGTGGTGTGGGGCTGGGCGGCTCCGGCGAAGGTGGCGGCACGCCAGGCGGGAGCGGTGCAGGAGATAGTGGTGCGGGGCTAAGAGGCGCAGGCGAGGGAGGTAGCACGCCAGGCGGGAGCGGTGCAGGAGATGGCGGAGCGGGGCTAGGAGGAGCAGGCGAAGGAGGCGGCACGCCAGGCGGGAGCGGTGCAGGAGATGGCGGAGAGGGGCTGGGCGGCTCTGGCGAAGGTGGCGGCACGCCAAGCGGGAGCGGTGCAGGAGATGGCGGTGCGGGGCTAGGAGGAGCGGGCGAGGGAGGCGGCACGCCAGGCGGGAGCGGTGCAGGAGATGGCGGTGCTGGGCTGGGCGGCTCTGGCGAAGGTGGCGGCACGCCAAGCGGGAGCGGTGCAGGAGATGGCGGTGCGGGGCTAGGAGGAGCGGGCGAGGGAGGCGGCACGCCAGGCGGGAGCGGTGCAGGAGATGGCGGTGCTGGGCTGGGCGGCTCCGGCGAAGGGCTGGGGGCCGACGGCGTCATCACTGACGTGGCGGTAATGGCGGAGGTGAAGGTGAAGGAGAAGGGTTGGAGGCGGCGGCGGCGGCGGCGGCAGCGAGGCCCTCCTGTCGTAAGCCACAGAGGTACTGTTGTCGACGACATGGCCTCGCTACCATGGTCTCGCAAAGAGGTACATGCGTGGGAAGAAAGGCATTGGGGGCGTTGGGTTAGACTCTGCAAAGAAGTACCGGATAGGCAAAGGAAGTACAGCAAGACACGTGTGTTCGACCTTGGAAAGCTGTCGACTCAGCTGACCCTACTGCTGCTGGGCTGATATATCTGCTGCTGCTGAAACTGCTGCTGGCTGTTCTGAGCTGACTGAGGGTGGCACTGGCTGCCGCTGCTGCTGCTGTTAAGACTGCTGAATTTTGTTCTGAGCTGACTGAGGGTGGCACTGGCTGCCGCTGGGGGTATTTCGGATGCAGGTGAGCGTCATCCAGCTCTCGGAGGCGAAGCAGACACGTGCCACGAACACGCTATCCCAATGCAACATGCACATCGCTAGCCAGATCACTCGCACCCACCTTCATCGTTCGTGCCCATGACGGGGCCCAAGGCAAGCAGTCTCGTGGCTGCATGGGTCTCCTAGCCGATGCCGACAAAGTAGCCTTGTAGCCTTGTTAGCCCCTAACACCAGCTGTGTTGATGCTGGCGGTGGTAGAGACGGAAGGTGAAGGAGAAGGTGACGGGCTGGGCGGGTGTGGGTATGGCGACGGCGTCATTATTGACGGATGGCTGGGCGGCTCCGGCGAAGGAGGCGGCACGCCAGGCGGGAGCAGGTGGTGTTGGGGCGGGGCTAGGCGGGCATCACGGTCATCTCCATGCAAACTGCACTGCTCCATACGTAACAGGACGTACAACGGAAGTGTCTTGGGACGTGACTCCGTGGCCACTTGGCTGTCAGGCTTGGCCAGAGGAAAAGATTGCCAAGCCTGGTTAGGGAGGAGGAGGAGGAGGAGAAGGAAGATTTGAACGGTGATGTCAATTAGGTGGGGATGAGCATTGGAAGAAGGAAGGGGGACAGCGCGCACATGTGGACATTAAGTAGCAAGTCGCGTTGACGCATGGATGCAAAAAAAGGGGTGCACACCATGAAGGCATGTCGGCATGTGCCCTAGGATTATGCTGAAACCAGTTCACAAGCATCCGCAAGCATTCGCATCAATCGACTACAGTTGCCTAACTCACCTCCTCGGGATGCAAAGGGGCCATCAGATATCTCGTCTGAGGAAATATGACGCGTGATGTCGCAAGTAAGGTGATTTAGAACAAGACTATTGTATCGGTAAGGAAGTGGGGCTATTGTAGCGGTAAGGAATGAAAAGGGCCAAGGCGTATGTTGCCTAGCTTGTGTCATGGGCGATCTAGCAATTCATACACGTTGCCAATCTGTTGTTTCTTAGATGAAATACGTATGTCTGACAATGCGCCGATTACGTAGCCGCAACAGGGCAATGTGCGCGTTAACCGCCAATGTACGGCGCTACACATACTTCTATTTCAGCACACAGAGGCAATGCCATACCCACAACCCTTTCCAAATGCGTTTCTTGATAGTCTCACTGCCACTCGTCCGTCCCTTATTGCGTGACTACGCCTATCCTCCTTCGGGTCATCAAAAAATGGGGTAGAGCTATACTCTATTTACGAAGCTTTCATTTACCAGAACCTATGGATTGTATTTCACTGTGAATTGGAGCTCCCTGACGAGCTGGACAGTCGACCTCGCCATGTGCGGATGTCACGTTACGCGTGTCCGGTACTGTTACTGCACGCGGGATTATCGTTTTCCTTTTGGAAGACGGCCCCGGTTAAGGTGGCCCCTTAAAGCATTGCAGGTTAGTTTGGCTAGACAACAGCAGTCGGCCCATGCGGCCCCTTGCATACGAGTGCCAACAAGTCGAGCAGCTTTTGGCGTACTCCTAGGCGATTCGACAATATGTCTCCTTTAATGTGGCTTCTTCGGTACACTATTACCCATGCGCGCATACATTCGCCTTCTTCCATCCTCATCCCTCCGAGTGAAGGTGCTTGCTGAACCAGTGCGTGCTTTTCTAATCGCCACCTGTGCAAACCTGACATCTTCCGTTATGCGTTGTTCAACTTTTCCATTGGTCAACCGAATATTGATCCTACGTTCCCGACGCCTTCACGCACCGGTAGGGTACCTCTTAACCTTACGCCGCCTAATCACCCCCGGGCCTGCCGTCCTCACCCGCCGTCCAGGCTCTGTTCTATGCCAGTAGTAGGGTGAGGACACAAGATCAAAAGATCGCCTCGCATGCCCCTTACAGCTGTGAATCGCGATACTGCACGCTGTGTGCTGCATGCGAGGGTTTGCCAACTCCTGATTGCCCAACACCCTGTCCTTGGCGCATCTTTTCCTCCCCTCCCCTCCCCTCTGCGACCTCTTCTATGGATTGTATTTCACTGTGAATTGGAGCTCCCTGACGAGCTGGACAGTCGACCTCGCCATGTGCGGATGTCACGTTACGCGTGTCCGGTACTGTTACTGCACGCGGGATTATCGTTTTCCTTTTGGAAGACGGCCCCGGTTAAGGTGGCCCCTTAAAGCATTGCAGGTTAGTTTGGCTAGACAACAGCAGTCGGCCCATGCGGCCCCTTGCATACGAGTGCCAACAAGTCGAGCAGCTTTTGGCGTACTCCTAGGCGATTCGACAATATGTCTCCTTTAATGTGGCTTCTTCGGTACACTATTACCCATGCGCGCATACATTCGCCTTCTTCCATCCTCATCCCTCCGAGTGAAGGTGCTTGCTGAACCAGTGCGTGCTTTTCTAATCGCCACCTGTGCAAACCTGACATCTTCCGTTATGCGTTGTTCAACTTTTCCATTGGTCAACCGAATATTGATCCTACGTTCCCGACGCCTTCACGCACCGGTAGGGTACCTCTTAACCTTACGCCGCCTAATCACCCCCGGGCCTGCCGTCCTCACCCGCCGTCCAGGCTCTGTTCTATGCCAGTAGTAGGGTGAGGACACAAGATCAAAAGATCGCCTCGCATGCCCCTTACAGCTGTGAATCGCGATACTGCACGCTGTGTGCTGCATGCGAGGGTTTGCCAACTCCTGATTGCCCAACACCCTGTCCTTGGCGCATCTTTTCCTCCCCTCCCCTCCCCTCTGCGACCTCTTCTTGTCCTCGCCTTGCTATCCCTGCTTGGACCTTCCGCTCTTCTGACAGCATCGCCATCCGTCAGCCTTCCCCGCCCCTACCGCAGCGACCACAACGCGGACCTGATGTTCTCTTTCAGCCCCCTTCGCTTACCCACGTAAGCCCCAGCCCGCCTCAGCCACCTCCCTCTTCATAGTTGGCATCCCTCACCCAATCTAGGCCAGCGCCGCCGGCACATGTCCCCCTCCACTCTTTGCTACACTGTCGTCCTGTCTGTTCCCCCACCACCTCCATCGCCTCATCCCCACCACCTCCCCGCCCCACTCCCGCCCGCCAAGTCGTCGCCAGCCCCCCCCGCCACCTGTTCCGCTACCTCCTCCCATCCCTCCGTCAACGTCTAGCAGCCTACCAGGTCTGTGCGACGGCGCCAAGATGCCGCTCTGTGACGCGTGCGGCACCGCCCGGCACTGTACTGCCTGCTTTGCCGCCAGCGTCGCAAGCCCCCCTCCGAGCTCAGCTGCCGGAAGACCGCCGCCGTCAAGCCCGCCGTCGCTGCCACCATGCACACCTACATGTAGACAGCGGCTTCCATGCATATACCGTACGGCAATCCGTTTCCCTCGTTCCCACCCCTCCTTACTGTTCCATTCTGAGTACTCTTCTTCCTCCCCACAGCTCCTTATCTTCAATAGCTATCAATTTCCTTAGCGACCCACGGGTCCGTCCAGTTGGGGCGAGAGAAGCATCCGCACCCCACAGGCAAAGGTATAAGGGTTCGCAGTGCGCTTGGTTTTGCTCTGGAGTTTGACCGCCTGGCCAGCTTAACCGGTTGCGCTTGCGATCCGTGGACCCGCCACCAGGAGCAGTGTGTGAGACCTGCAACAAGGGCGGCCAATCGTGCCGTAGTGCCGTCCTGCTGCTAGTGCCGTACATTTCGCCAGCACGAGTGCCGTACTGCCGTTAGTGTCATGCGTGCGAGGCACTTCTTCACGAGTGAAGGACCGCACAGGCAGCAGGTGCAGGTGCTAGTCCGGTCATTGTAATTTCCTGAGGACCCTTATCTAGCGGATAGAAGATGGTCGTGGTCACTGCAACATGCTTGTCAGACCCAACAATACAAGCGAGTTCAGCTTATCATGCATCATTGTCAGCAGTATTGACCTGGCTGTGGGGTCGCGGGTGTGTGGTGTACTGCTACCATGGCGCGTCGGGCCCTCCTGAAGGACAAGGCCCCTTCCATGTGTGCGGCGTACTGGGAGGTGTACGACAATGGCTGGCAGGACGACAATTATCGAGAAGCACGAGTTTGCGATGTGGAGTGCGGTACAGATGATTAGAACCGCGATTGGTTGAACCACAAACATGAGGTGCGAGCCGCGAGTTTGTCGAGCGTGCAGGAGGGGGCCATATGTGTCCGTGTGTCTGTCTGTGTGTGTGTGGCTCCGATTTTAGGTACGTCATTAAAGCACGCGTGCCTCCCGCGTCCCGACCCCTCGCCACTCAGCGGCCCTCCAGGCCTCCACTCCACATGAAGGGGCCCCCCCTAACCCTGCATGGCCCAACCAGCAACCCCAACATTCCTGCAGGGGGCTCCCAACAGTGGCCAGCTCCACCGCCTCCGCCGCAGCTCCGCACTCCTCCCGGCATGCCCCTCCCAACCGCCCCCCAATCACGCACCACGAAGATTGGTGCCCCACAGCTGACACCTCCACACAACTACACACATCCATCCAGTCCAGCCTTGTGTTGGGAGCGGAGCCCGACAACCTCTCCTCCCCTACCCACCCCCAACCCACCTCCACCTGAATGAGCCGTGTCACGTGGCTGATGTCTGCTCCCCGCAGCGCTCCTCACCTCCACACCCACCACCTCCTCCACCTCCCTCCTCCCCTCTCCCCACATACACAATAGCCCCAACCCCACATTTCATACTATTCTCCCCCCCTTCCCAACCTCCTCCTCACATGGCCGTATACTTGGGTCCCTGCCCTCCCTCCGGCACCGTCCACTTGATGTTCCGCCCCGGGTCCTTCACGTCGCACGCCTTGCAGTGCAGGCAGTTCTGTGCGTTCACATGCAGCCGCTGCCGCCCGTACTCGTCCGTACGGTACTCGTACACGCCAGCGGGGCAGTACTTGGTTTCGGGGCCGCCGTAGTGCGGCAGGTTGGAGCGCTCGAACTCGTCCGCGTCCTTGATGAGCAGGTGGGAGGGTTGGTCGTGTTCGTGGTTGGTGCCGGAGCGGTAGAGGGAGGTGGGCAGGTCAAAGGTGACGACGCCGTCGGGTTTGGGGTAGGCGGGCGGCGGGGGGGCGTCGCAGAGGGGGCGCAGGTGCTCGTGGTCGGGGCGGCTGGGAGGGCGGGGAGGGGAGGTGAGGGGGTAAGGGATGGAGGCACATTCGCGAGGAGACGGAGCAGGTTTAAGGGCTTTGCTGCCTGGGATGCTCGCAGCAGAGCATGCCAGCGGAACGGATGAATCGTGCGCTGACAGGGCGTGCCCGCTGCCCGCTGCTTCCGCCGGCAGAGCTCTGCATTGCATTGCTCCTAATCCGTGCCCCCCAGCAGCAGCTAGGGACCCCAGACCTCCTCACACAAACACCATCATGCTGCCCGACCGGTCTCCCTGCTCTTCACCCACACGCATGCATGCGGCCCCCCCTAACCCATGCCCCCCCCCTCAGCATGGGTTCTCCCCCCTCAACTTCATTTCCCCTCACCCCAGCTCCCTTCATCACCCTCACCCGTGTCTGAAGGTCCATGGCTCCTTGCCGCGCATGATGAAGCCGGCGAGGGCGGTGTACAGCATGCCCGGCAGCAGACCCCACCTGCGGGGGGAGGAGGGGAGGAGGAGGGAGGGGCGGGGTTGAGGAGGGGGAACATGCCGGAACTCACACCATAACCGCACCAGGGTACAGGAAACGAAGGGTTATGGATAGGGATAGGGAGATGAGGGCCGCCCTATGAGCGGGAAAGGCAGCCCCCCACTTCCGGCTCTCAACGCGCACACACACACACACCCCTCCGCCCACACTACCGGCACCGGGGCGCAGCCAGGCACCCCTGCAACCCCTCCTTCGCCCCCAGAAGATTCCTCTCTACCCCCTCATCCCAGCAGTCCCCTGCCCCCCAGCGTCCCCCTCCTCCCCCTCCCCCTCACTCTATCCTGTGGCACCCTGCCACCTCCTATCCCCACTGCTTTGCCCTAACCTGTGGTCCCCGATGGTATGGCATGTCCTCCCCCCCCTCCCTTCCCCCCTCCCTCCCCCCCTCCTCACTTGAAGGCCGGCCGCACGTTGCGCACCGCCGCCAGCTCCTCCCACAGCCAGGAGCGCTTGAGCGCCTCCTCGTAGCTGCCCAGATCCACCGGGCCCTGCATGGAGGGGGGGAGGGGAGGTAGGGGGGGGATTTTATAAGTGAAACAACGAGTCCCAATCCCATATCCCGACTCATGCAGTGAGCGCATTCGAAGACACTATCCTAGAAGCACGCATGGGGGAAGAGGTGCAGGGGCGGGGGTAAGTGGGGATAGTTTAAATGATAAGTGGGGTTCAAATGAAACCAAACCGTGTGAAACCACAAAGGGCAAGATTTGGGAATGAGGCGGCAGGGATCGACAAGACAGATGGAGGGTTAGTAAGGAGGGGGGTTGAGGGGGCGGGGTGGATGAGGCGGGGATCACAGTCACCCTGCCAGCAAGGTACGCTGGCCGAGCCAACGGAGCACACACGCATGCACCCGCACGCACACCCGCACCCGCACACCCGCACCTTCTCCTCCGCCTTCTCCCCCGTGAGCGCCCTGAAGGCCGCCTCCCCCGCGATCATGCCACTCAGCATGGCGGTGTGCGTGCCCTTGATCTTGGGCACGTTCAGGAAACCTGAGCGGGGCAGCGGCGGCAGCAGCAAGGGAAGTGACCCGTGGGTCAGCAGCTCAGCACCCAAACAGTAACCACGGCTGCTTCCCCCCCGCCCGCATGCCCGGATCCGGTTGCCTCCGTGTGCCGCGTGTGCCTGTGCATGCGGTCATCGATCGATCTGCCGTGGGGATACATGTACGACAGATCGATCGATGACCACTGCTGCAACACTCTCTGCTCCAATAGGGGCACATCCGTAAACGGAGTTGCATAGAACGCTGCCGTACAACCTATTCCCCCAACCTACGGCACAGCAGCTACGCGATCTATATTCGAATACATAGTATATCCCCATGGGCATATATATCCCCATGTATATGGGTATATACCATAAATGTGTATCCCCATACCCCTGCCATGCACCGCTACACACCGCTGCAGGCCCCTTCCTCCCCCCACCTGCCGAGCAGCCGATGAGCGCCCCGCCCGGGAAGGACAGCTTGGGGATGGATTGGAAGCCGCCTGGGGGGGGGGCATGGTAGGGGGGAGGTAGGGGGGCGGAAGGGGGTCAGAGGCCACACCGAAACCGCAGGTTAGGGCAAAGCAGTGCAAGGGGGGGGGCATGGCGGGGGGAGCTGGATGGTGAGCAAATAAACATAAAACCATAAGCGAGGGCAAGGCAAAGGGAATAGGGGGCGGCAGGCTGCCACAAGACAAGGGGTGCTTCACGGAGGGAGGGGGGGGACACGGGGACACACCGGCCCATCTTGGCCCATGTCAACGTTGCACCCGTCCTCCCCCGCTCCTCACCTCCCCCTATCCTGTCGTCTCCTACCCCCATCGCCTTGCCGTGACCTGTGGTTTCCACTGCGGTCTGGGCTGGTCTTTGACCTCCACCTCCCCCACTATCATCTCTCTGCCCCCTCCTCCCCTCCTCCTCACCCTCGTTCAGCGTCCTAGCGCCGTACTGCACGCAGGTGCCCCCCTCGATGTGCTGCCGTACTGCCGGGTGCAGCTTCCAGCGCTGGAACTCCTGCGGGGGGGGGGAGGGGGGAAGGGGGAGAGGGAGGCGGGGGGGAGGGGGAAAAGAAGGGGGAGAGCGTTGGATTGGGAGGGGAAAAGGGACACGAACACGCATGCCATGAATGTATGTGACAACCCCCTTGGGTTGGCAAGGGGGGATCACAGTGACGGTGACGGTGATGGTGATTGGTGGTTCCGACCACAGCACATCTTCAAACTTTCCCAGCTGGTCCGCGTTTGAGCCGCAGGTCCACCCCAATGTCTCAATCGAACTCCCCTCCTTCAACCCTGGAAGTCACTAAAACGTGCGCAACCCCCAGGGCCGGGTAGCGGGATGCAACCCAACCATGCCGCAGCCCACCCCCGTCATACAGCTCTTGTCAGCACCTCCCTTTACGCCTCCCCCCCATCCGCGCCCACCTCCCCCCGCCCACCCACCCGCCCGTGACTTCATTTGATATTTGGCATGGTCTTCCCCTCCCCACCCCCCAGGACACACCCTGGGGACTTCATCTTCCGGCAATCACAGTACGTTCCGAGCTTCTGACCCGCGGCCAAATTCCCCATCCCCCCACCTGGTCGATTGCCTCGCCAGTTTCCTCCCACTTCCCCCCCCCCCCCCACACACACACCTGGTACGTGTTGATGTGCGGGTTGCTGTAGTCCAGCCCGAGCACCAGCCCCAGCGCCACTCGCCGCCCGCCCATGTGGTAGATGAAGCCGCCGCCGTAGCTGCCGCCCAGCAGCGAGGAGGTGGGGTAGCCCACCGTGTGTACGACAGTGCCCGGCTCGTACGGCGCGGGGGAGCCCTCGGGCAGCTCCCAGATCTGCGTGCGTGTGTGTGTGTGTGTATGGGGTGGGGGTTGGGAGGGCACGGGGGGTAAAAAGAGGAAGCTCTGACCAGCTGTATGAAGAGGCTTCACCACACGGGGGGAGAGGGGGAGGAGGAGCAAGGGGTGGGGGGGAGAGACAAGGGAGTAAGGAGGAGGGGAGGGGTAACACGCCCGAACCTCTCCTGGGTTGGGGACATGCGGTTCCCCTCCCCTCCGTACCACCCCCTACAGCGCAAGCAGGCAGGCAGGCGTGGTGCGGATGAGCTTGGCATGACAGGCTAAGTCGCACACCACCCACAACACACGACATGCTCCTCAGCGCCCCCCCCCACCACCCCACCACCCCACCACCCCACCACCCCACAACCCCCATGTGGCAAGTAGGCTACATGAGCCATGTGCACCTCCACCACCGCACCTCCTTGATCCCCACCCCACCGCCCCCATGAGCCATGTGCACCTCCACCACCGCACCTCCTTGATCCCCACCCCACCGCCCCCATGAGCCATGTGCACCCCCACCAGCGCACCTCCTCTATCCCCACCCCACCGCCCCCATGAGCCATGTGCACCTCCACCACCGCACCTCCTTGATCCCCACCCCACCGCCCCCATGAGCCATGTGCACCTCCACCACCGCACCTCCTCTATCCCCACCCCACCGCCCCCATGAGCCATGTGCACCCCCACCAACGCACCTCCTTGATCCCCACCCCACCGCCCCCATGAGCCATGTGCACCCCCACCAACGCACCTCCCCTATCCCCACCCCACCGCCCCCATGAGCCATGTGCACCTCCACCACCGCACCTCCTTGATCCCCACCCCACCGCCCCCATGAGCCATGTGCACCCCCACCAGCGCACCTCCTCTATCCCCACCCCACCACCCCCATGAGCCATGTGCACCTCCACCACCGCACCTCCTCTATCCCCACCCCACCACCCCCATGAGCCATGTGCACCCCCACCAGCGCACCTCCTCTATCCCCACCCCACCGCCCCCATGAGCCATGTGCACCTCCACCACCGCACCTCCTTGATCCCCACCCCACCGCCCCCATGAGCCATGTGCACCTCCACCACCGCACCTCCTTGATCCCCACCCCACCGCCCCCATGAGCCATGTGCACCTCCACCACCGCACCTCCTTGATCCCCACCCCACCACCCCCATGAGCCATGTGCACCTCCACCACCGCACCTCCTTGATCCCCACCCCACCGCCCCCATGAGCCATGTGCACCTCCACCACCGCACCTCCTTGATCCCCACCCCACCGCCCCCATGAGCCATGTGCACCTCCACCACCGCACCTCCTTGATCCCCACCCCACCACCCCCATGAGCCATGTGCACCCCCACCAACGCACCTCCCCTATCCCCACCCCACCACCCCCATGAGCCATGTGCACCTCCACCACCGCACCTCCTCTATCCCCACCCCACCGCCCCCATGAGCCATGTGCACCTCCACCAACGCACCTCCCCTATCCCCACCCCACCACCCCCATGAGCCATGTGCACCTCCACCACCGCACCTCCTCTATCCCCACCCCACCACCCCCATGAGCCATGTGCACCTCCACCAACGCACCTCCCCTATCCCCACCCCACCACCCCCATGAGCCATGTGCACCTCCACCACCGCACCTCCTTGATCCCCACCCCACCGCCCCCATGAGCCATGTGCACCTCCACCACCGCACCTCCTTGATCCCCACCCCACCGCCCCCATGAGCCATGTGCACCTCCACCACCGCACCTCCTTGATCCCCACCCCACCGCCCCCATGAGCCATGTGCACCTCCACCACCGCACCTCCTTGATCCCCACCCCACCACCCCCATGAGCCATGTGCACCTCCACCACCGCACCTCCTTGATCCCCACCCCACCGCCCCCATGAGCCATGTGCACCTCCACCACCGCACCTCCTCTATCCCCACCCCACCACCCCCATGAGCCATGTGCACCCCCACCAACGCACCTCCCCTATCCCCACCCCACCACCCCCATGAGCCATGTGCACCTCCACCACCGCACCTCCTTGATCCCCACCCCACCGCCCCCATGAGCCATGTGCACCTCCACCACCGCACCTCCTTGATCCCCACCCCACCGCCCCCATGAGCCATGTGCACCTCCACCACCGCACCTCCTTGATCCCCACCCCACCGCCCCCATGAGCCATGTGCACCTCCACCACCGCACCTCCTTGATCCCCACCCCACCACCCCCATGAGCCATGTGCACCTCAACCACCGCACCTCCTCTATCCCCACCCCACCACCCCCATGAGCCATGTGCACCCCCACCAACGCACCTCCCCTATCCCCACCCCACCACCCCCATGAGCCATGTGCACCTCCACCACCGCACCTCCTTGATCCCCACCCCACCGCCCCCATGAGCCATGTGCACCTCCACCACCGCATCTCCTTGATCCCCACCCCACCGCCCCCATGAGCCATGTGCACCTCCACCACCGCACCTCCTTGATCCCCACCCCACCGCCCCCATGAGCCATGTGCACCTCCACCACCGCACCTCCTTGATCCCCACCCCACCACCCCCATGAGCCATGTGCACCCCCACCAACGCACCTCCCCTATCCCCACCCCACCACCCCCATGAGCCATGTGCACCCCCACCAACGCACCTCCCCTATCCCCACCCCACCACCCCCATGAGCCATGTGCACCTCCACCACCGCACCTCCTTGATCCCCACCCCACCGCCCCCATGAGCCATGTGCACCTCCACCACCGCACCTCCTTGATCCCCACCCCACCGCCCCCATGAGCCATGTGCACCTCCACCACCGCACCTCCTTGATCCCCACCCCACCACCCCCATGAGCCATGTGCACCTCCACCACCGCACCTCCTTGATCCCCACCCCACCACCCCCATGAGCCATGTGCACCTCCACCACCGCACCTCCTTGATCCCCACCCCACCGCCCCCATGAGCCATGTGCACCTCCACCACCGCACCTCCTTGATCCCCACCCCACCGCCCCCATGAGCCATGTGCACCTCCACCACCGCACCTCCTTGATCCCCACCCCACCGCCCCCATGAGCCATGTGCACCTCCACCACCGCACCTCCTTGATCCCCACCCCACCGCCCCCATGAGCCATGTGCACCTCCACCACCGCACCTCCTTGATCCCCACCCCACCACCCCCATGAGCCATGTGCACCTCCACCACCGCACCTCCTTGATCCCCACCCCACCACCCCCATGAGCCATGTGCACCTCCACCACCGCACCTCCTTGATCCCCACCCCACCGCCCCCATGAGCCATGTGCACCTCCACCACCGCACCTCCTTGATCCCCACCCCACCGCCCCCATGAGCCATGTGCACCTCCACCACCGCACCTCCTTGATCCCCACCCCACCGCCCCCATGAGCCATGTGCACCTCCACCACCGCACCTCCTTGATCCCCACCCCACCACCCCCATGAGCCATGTGCACCTCCACCACCGCACCTCCTTGATCCCCACCCCACCACCCCCATGAGCCATGTGCACCCCCACCAACGCACCTCCCCTATCCCCACCCCACCACCCCCATGAGCCATGTGCACCTCCACCACCGCACCTCCTTGATCCCCACCCCACCGCCCCCATGAGCCATGTGCACCTCCACCACCGCACCTCCTTGATCCCCACCCCACCGCCCCCATGAGCCATGTGCACCTCCACCACCGCACCTCCTTGATCCCCACCCCACCACCCCCATGAGCCATGTGCACCTCCACCACCGCACCTCCTTGATCCCCACCCCACCACCCCCATGAGCCATGTGCACCTCCACCACCGCACCTCCTTGATCCCCACCCCACCACCCCCATGAGCCATGTGCACCTCCACCACCGCACCTCCTTGATCCCCACCCCACCGCCCCCATGAGCCATGTGCACCTCCACCACCGCACCTCCTTGATCCCCACCCCACCACCCCCATGAGCCATGTGCACCTCCACCACCGCACCTCCTTGATCCCCACCCCACCACCCCCATGAGCCATGTGCACCTCCACCACCGCACCTCCTTGATCCCCACCCCACCGCCCCCATGAGCCATGTGCACCTCCACCACCGCACCTCCTTGATCCCCACCCCACCACCCCCATGAGCCATGTGCACCTCCACCACCGCACCTCCTTGATCCCCACCCCACCACCCCCATGAGCCATGTGCACCTCCACCACCGCACCTCCTTGATCCCCACCCCACCACCCCCATGAGCCATGTGCACCTCCACCACCGCACCTCCTTGATCCCCACCCCACCGCCCCCATGAGCAATGTGCACCTCCACCACCGCACCTCCTTGATCCCCACCCCACCGCCCCCATGAGCCATGTGCACCTCCACCACCGCACCTCCTTGATCCCCACCCCACCGCCCCCATGAGCCATGTGCACCTCCACCACCGCACCTCCTTGATCCCCACCCCACCGCCCCCATGAGCCATGTGCACCTCCACCACCGCACCTCCTTGATCCCCACCCCACCACCCCCATGAGCCATGTGCACCTCCACCACCGCACCTCCTTGATCCCCACCCCACCACCCCCATGAGCCATGTGCACCTCCACCACCGCACCTCCTTGATCCCCACCCCACCGCCCCCATGAGCCATGTGCACCTCCACCACCGCACCTCCTTGATCCCCACCCCACCGCCCCCATGAGCCATGTGCACCTCCACCACCGCACCTCCTTGATCCCCACCCCACCGCCCCCATGAGCCATGTGCACCTCCACCACCGCACCTCCTTGATCCCCACCCCACCGCCCCCATGAGCCATGTGCACCTCCACCACCGCACCTCCTTGATCCCCACCCCACCACCCCCATGAGCCATGTGCACCTCCACCACCGCACCTCCTTGATCCCCACCCCACCACCCCCATGAGCCATGTGCACCTCCACCACCGCACCTCCTTGATCCCCACCCCACCGCCCCCATGAGCCATGTGCACCTCCACCACCGCACCTCCTTGATCCCCACCCCACCGCCCCCATGAGCCATGTGCACCTCCACCACCGCACCTCCTTGATCCCCACCCCACCGCCCCCATGAGCCATGTGCACCTCCACCACCGCACCTCCTTGATCCCCACCCCACCACCCCCATGAGCCATGTGCACCTCCACCACCGCACCTCCTTGATCCCCACCCCACCACCCCCATGAGCCATGTGCACCTCCACCACCGCACCTCCTTGATCCCCACCCCACCGCCCCCATGAGCCATGTGCACCTCCACCACCGCACCTCCTTGATCCCCACCCCACCGCCCCCATGAGCCATGTGCACCTCCACCACCGCACCTCCTTGATCCCCACCCCACCGCCCCCATGAGCCATGTGCACCCCCACCAACGCACCTCCCCTATCCCCACCCCACCACCCCCATGAGCCATGTGCACCTCCACCACCGCACCTCCTTGATCCCCACCCCACCGCCCCCATGAGCCATGTGCACCTCCACCACCGCACCTCCTTGATCCCCACCCCACCACCCCCATGAGCCATGTGCACCTCCACCACCGCACCTCCTTGATCCCCACCCCACCACCCCCATGAGCCATGTGCACCTCCACCACCGCACCTCCTTGATCCCCACCCCACCGCCCCCATGAGCCATGTGCACCTCCACCACCGCACCTCCTTGATCCCCACCCCACCGCCCCCATGAGCCATGTGCACCTCCACCACCGCACCTCCTTGATCCCCACCCCACCGCCCCCATGAGCCATGTGCACCCCCACCAACGCACCTCCCCTATCCCCACCCCACCACCCCCATGAGCCATGTGCACCTCCACCACCGCACCTCCTTGATCCCCACCCCACCGCCCCCATGCGGGATGTCACCCCCACCACCGCACCTCCTTGATCCCCAGCGCGTACGTCTGCGGCTCCGCCCTGGCAGCCTGGCGCAGCGAATAGCGGGACATCACCTCCTGTTGGGGGGGTGGGGGGGTGGGGGGGAGCGGGTAGCGGATGTGAGGGGGAGGGGAGAGGAGGAGGGAGGGGCATGGCGGGGTAGGGTAGGAGGTGCGCAGGTGCTGCTGCGGGTGGGTGCGAGGCCTCCCGCTGCCTCAACTGAGCAGTATGGGGTCCGCCTGGAGTCGCTGGAGGGGCGCTGTTGCTGCCGACGCATGGACGCTCCGCCCTGTGCCCCCACGGTCCCCATGTGCGTGTCACCCCCCTTCCCTTTCCCCGCTCCCTCCTCCCTCAAACAGCCAGCCCCTCCCCCCCCCCCTCACCTCCGACAGCGAGCCCCTGCACCCCTCCGCCAGCAGCGTCACCCGGGCACGCAGGTCCGACCCCGGGGAGAAGCCCGCCTTGCGTCGCCCGTCCCGCCCCACCCCGAAGTCCCCGGTGGCCACCCCCTGCACGTGACCGTCCCAGCTGTACAGCATCTGGGGGCGGGGGAGGAAAGGGGAGAAAAACTGATAAGAGGTGAAGCAACCGGAGTCCAAATCCCGTATTCCGACTATGGAGTCACTTCGAATGCGCTCCCTGGGGAGGTGGGGGCGGGGGTAAGGAGCAGAAGTGAGCAGGGTGAGCGAGGAGGCATGCAGCGTGTTGGGGGTACTGGTTGGGTCTCTGAGGAGGCGAGGAGGAGGGGCGAGGAGGAGAGGCCTCGCGATGGAGGCCTGCATGCATGTGTGGTGGCGGGGTGGCGGTATGCCGAGGTGTGTGCCCTCAACCCCCAGCCCTCCCACCGCTTGCCCCCCGGACAGCCCCTCCCCCGGACAGCCCCTCCCCCGGACAGCCCCTCCCCCTCCCCCTCCCCCTCCGCCGCCCCACCTGACCTCCATGACCTCCATCGCCCTGTCTCCTACTACAAGCCCACTACCCCCTACTTCCTTACCCTACCCTTCCCTCCTGTGTAGCGCAGTTGTAACGCCAAAAATGGTTCCGCGGCCCCAGCCGTCGCCACCCCTTCCCTGGCCTCCTTTCACCCTACCCCACCCCCTCCACTGTCGATCTCCATTTGTGAAAGGCTACAATTGTTTGCCGTATGAACCGTAGGGGTGCCCCCACCCTCACCCCCACACTCAATTCCATTCACCACCTGGCTTGTCACCTATTGTAGCCGCATTCAATGCATGGGCCTTCTTATCCCTTCCTTTCTCTTACCCCCAGTCCCCCACCTGCCTCCCCGCCCCCACATGCTTCCCCCGCCCTCACCAGCCTCCCCCCCCCCTCCGTCCCTTACCTGCTTCCCCGCGAATCCCGGGTAGATCTCCACCCCCATCGCCTCCGCCCTCCGCGCCATCCACCTCGTCACCTCGCTCAGGCTGACCACGTAGTTGCGCCCCTTGTTGGCCAGCTGCGGCGGCAGCGCCAGGGAGGGCAGCCGCAGCGACCAGGAGGGGGAGCCCAGCAGCAGGAAGGAGTCGCGAGAGGCCTTCACCTGGGGGGAGGGTGGAGAGGGGGAGGAGGCGGGGAAGTGACTCCAATCCTCCCCATGTGGTGGTAAGTGCAAGTGCGGGGCTGCTCTCTCCCTCCCAGCGCCCCCCGCAACCACCCTTCCCACCTCCCTACACGACCGTAGCTGGCTTCTTCAAGCCTTGCAGTCCCCTTCATGTGCTGTGCCCACTCCACACCAGCCATCATTCCTCTGTTGCCTTCCCGCTTTTTCGCCACCCCACCCCACCCCACCCCGGCCCCATCCCACCCCGGCCCCATCCCATCCCGACAGACCCAAGGACCCAACCCCCGAACCCCACGAGTCAGTGTGTCCGCGGCTCAGTCCACCTAACCCCAAGCGCCCGCACACCTTGACGGGGCAGTCCTCGTCCTGCTTCCAGTCCGGCAGCAGCTCGTCCAGGGCGCGCGTCTCCAAGACGTTGCCGGACAGGATGTGCGCACCCACCTCGCCGCCCTTCTCAATAACACACACGCTCACATCGCGGCCGGAGGACTTGCATTGCTGGGGAGAGGGAAGGGGGCAAGGGTTTGGAGGGAGGATGGGAAGGGTGGATGATGGTGGTTGAGGTGGTGACATGGCTGCGAGGTTGCGGTATGTGGGGTTCCTCCCGAACGTAATAAGGATGGAAGGGCAGCGCGTTGCTGTATTGGTTGCCGCTTTGGCTACAGCGTTGGAAAGGAGCATGGAGGAAGATGTCTGAGGAATGGGTCCCTGGGTCCATCCCTATCCTACAGCCCCGATTTAAGGCCATGCAATAACGATTAATCACATGACCTAAACATAAATGTTTATCCTCATCCTGCCTGCCCGATGCCTTGCTTGCAAGCATTGCATCTAGCTAACCAACTTGCGTTCACGGCTCCAACAAGGTAAGTGTGCATGCCTGCGTGCCTACCGTCTTAATGCGAATAGCTGCTGCGAGTCCGGCAGGCCCGGCGCCAACGATGAGGACATCGTAATTCATCTGCTCTCGGGCCGGTTGTGCAGTAGCGGCCGCCTCCGATGCCATTGACGCAGAGGAACAGAGGGCGCGCCAAGCGGCGCTAGCCAAAGCTGCATTGCCTCGTCTGCTTGCTGCGACGGCAGCGCGTGTCGCAAGCATGGTTGAAAACATCGGTACGCTCTTGCTAGTAAACGTTATTAAAGCAGTAATGCACACGTGGATCTGTAGGCAAGCTCGCTTTCAGTGCTTAAAACAGCGCACTGCAGTCCATGGCGAACCTGCCCAGTCCAAGTTACGTTAGTTATACCGCAGCTTTGACCCTGCCTTGATTTCCGCAAAAGTCAAACCTCTCTTCTAACACGGAGCTTCGCATAACGGCATTAGTAGTACGGTTTTCCGTTCCTGCACCGGTACGGCACACGACTGATCGCCGCTTCGCGATTTCAGCGGGGACCTATGGATCTTTCAAGACGTTGCTTGCCGAGGGGAGCCGGCTCCTGAACCCCTGCATAGGCAAGCTTCTTCAGCTGTATAAGGTTTAAGGGTTGCCGTCCTCCTAATGTTGTGTAAGCCCTCCCACTAGATGGTCAGCCCCGACGGTAATTCGGATAGGGTCTTGCCCGGCTACCTGCCCATGTTGGGCCCACCTGCGGTTCGGGTAGGCTGCGCTTGTCCAGCGTGGTGCAAAAAGACGGAACATTTGCTTCATTGTACAATGCTTTTGCCAGTCCATGGAGTCATGGTGTCCACTGGCTGGCTTCCTTTCTTTGCTAGTCCCTGAAAGATGGTTTGACCGTGATGACCCATCCATGCACAACTTGAGAGGCTTGCAGGTGTGCCGTATGATAGCAGTACGAGGGGTTTGGTTCGTTGCAGCCTGATGGGTCCCTCCGGCGCTCCGGGCACAACTTTGCTGCCAGCCTTCGGTAAGGAAGCATGTTGGAGGGGGGCAAGCATCGACAATTTGAGCCAAGAAAATGCGGTTAACCGAGAATACGGGTGTGCCCAGGGTATGAAGGTGTTTTATGTTGTTATGCCCCTGACGATCCTAAAGAGCTTACCTGCAGCGCTACAGTGCCGGCATTGCACAAAATAAAAGCGTTGCATCGCAACTTGCTGGGGGCCTAAGCCGTAGTTGCGCACGTGCAGGGGTATCCGACGCCGACGGATACCGGTACCAAATGCCTTATACATAGAAGCACTTACAAAAAATAGAACGCATCTTTGTCGTGCTAAGTGCACGCCTGGCATACAGATTCCAAGCCGCGGCGGTCTGTTGGCAGGCCAGGTAGGTGTGACTGTACGGCATCCTACTTTCCTTATTCCCATTACCGTCGCCTAGCTAAGGACAGCACACAACATTCCTCCCAGCAACTATAAAAGCATACATATAGCTTTCTAATTCTGCGACGGCTCCTGCTCGAAGGGTCCTCAACTACATTTAGCTCAACCGTCCTCACAATGCACAGCGTCGACGCGCCATAGGATACGCTTATCACAGGGACTACATTTACTGCAGAGTTACTGAGCTCGTAGACGGCGAACCGTTAACCTTGAGAAATGGTCAGCTGGCCGTCGCGTTTCTGTGCTGAGAAAGCATCGCTGTATGATAGTGAGAAGAGCACGGCCTTACCAGTTATCCTTTGTAACGTTTCGCGCAGGGCTGCGGGGCATCATCTAGCAAGGGCGGTGCACCCACCGCGATTGCGCCCAGCGAACTAAAGACTGGGAGTGTATCGACACCCCAAAAGGTAAGGTGTTTGTGGGTAGTATGTTACGCGCCAGCTTGCGGCAGCTCAACCTCATGCATGCTTGTGCGGCCGCGTTTGCAGTTAAACCAGCGTCACAAAGGCCAGTTGCATTAACTTATACGTCCATGTGTATTGTGTGTTTTATCGGTAAATGTTGTAGGCCCTTATCCACGAATTACGAAGCCCGTTTGCAACAGACGTCGGCCCGCCTGCCGCGGCGAATAGGCTACCTCCTGCTTTTATGACAACCTACACCGCTGCTCCCTAAGATGTTTCTGGCACCTCCCCTTTGTTTACCTTCTCAGCCCCTCACATTCCTCCTCGTGTAACGAACAGGCACCGCAGAGTCCATCAGCTGCTGCTGGTGCTGCTTCCGCTCCGACATCTCCAGGTATCCGCGGGCGTGTTCTCGCATGGCTTGCCCTCGTCTGCTTGCATTCCCCTGGGACGTTTGGTTTTACGAGCTCGGAAAACAACCCACAGCCCTATAGGGTCGCCTACCAAAACATCTGCATCGCTTGCTCCCACTATCCCGCTGCCCCGCCTCATTACTTACCATCACCTTCCTCGCCCGCCACCCTTGCCCCCATCCGCAGCTCCAGCAACCCCCCCAGCCCCGGCAACCACCCCAGCTGCGTCGCCGCCACCCGCCACCGCGCCCCCACCTGCACCCCAGCCCGCAGCGCCTGCCCCGCCCTCACCCTCACCTCCGTCAGCCACCGAGGGATCAGCTCCAAAGCGGCCGCCCAGCGCCACTCGACCCGCCAGCGCCACCAAGCAAGCCTCGCCTCCCGCTCCTCCCTCTCCCACCCCCGCCCCTGCACCCGCGCCCGCGGCTCCTGCAGCCCCCGGCGCCGCCGCCTCCCCAGCCCGCCCGGCATCGGCACCCAACGCGCGTCCTGCGCCCTCGCCGCTGCCGGCGCCCCGAGTATCCGACGCACATGGATCGGCGACGCCGTCAGCAGCAGCGGGCTCCGGAGCGCTGGCATCCCCTTCGGAGCCGCCGCTAGGGCGGTTGCCGCCGCTGCCCGGGGCATCCTCGGGGCCTGCCGCGGTCCCTCCTCCGAAGGCAGCCAGCGCGGCTGCAGCCCTCTTGGCCGGGGCGGGCATCATTCCCGCCGCCGCCCCTGCCGCGGCTGCCGCTGACGCCGCCGCCGCTCCTGCGGCCTCTCCCGTCAGTACGACAGGGGCTGGTACGACAGATGCGCGACCTGCGCTGCAGGTGCCGCGGCTGTCGTCGGCGCCGCTGTCGTGTTTGGTGCCGCCGCAGCAACAGAACCAGCAGGCGGCGGCCAGCAGCGGAGCCGAGGACATGGTAGGAGCAAGGGGAAAAATCAAGGAGCAAGGGAAGGGTTGTTGGGACTGCACTGAGGGTCAGGGAGGGCTTACGGGGGATGGCGGTGGTCGCCATGTGGGGTTTGTGGTGTGGGAGGCCGGCCAGAGGCCGCCGGGATTGGGGACATCAAGCGGTGATGTATGGGACACGTGGGAAGGGAGTATGGAGGTGCATTCTGGGAGGCTTACATCCTGGGGCAATGGTTTGTTGTCAGCCGAGGGTGTTAGGAACCTCTTTTTTGTCTTCTAGGACCTGTGTCCCTTTCAGTTCTCCCCAAACCCGGCACCGGTCCCCTTGTCACCGAGCCCCTTGTCCGGGACTCTTGCCCTCCGTGCCCCTTCCAGACTCTGCTCCCCAACCCGCCGCCCCCATCTCTCCCTCCCTCACCTCCCCTTTCCCCTCCGCTTCCCCCAGCCCCCGGAGGCCCCCGCGCTCATCCAGCAGCTGGCGTCCGGCGGCGCGGAGGAGCAGCGCACCGCTGCAGCGGCACTGCGGCAGCTGCTGTGCGGCAGCGGCAGCGGTGCGGCTGCCCCCCCGGGCCTGGTGCAGGCGCTGCTGGATGCGGGTCTGGCGGCGGCACTGGTGCGCGGCATCAAGGAGGGACCGCCCGAGGCGCAGGTGGGTGGGTGTTTTAGTGGAGGGGGTGTCGCGTGACGGAGGTGAAAGCGGGCAGCTTTCCTTTCCTTTCCTTTAAATAGCTCCTCGCCTCACCCCGCGATATCATGGTGTTCATCCTCCCTTGGCCTCCAATCCGTCCTCCTTCACCTCCTCCCACCTGCCTTTCCTCCTCGACCATCTCTCGACACCCGCCTCTCCTCCTCCTCCCCTCCTCCCCGCAGCTGGACGCCGCCTGGGCGCTCACCAACGTGGCCGCCTCACCCGACTACTCGCACGCCGAGGCGCTGTGCAACGAGGCCGCCCCCGAGCTGCTGGTACAGCTGCTGGAGCAGCAGCGGCGGCAGGGGGGAGGGGGCAGCCGGGCGCTGCAGGAGCAGCTGCTGTGGGGTCTGGCCAACATTGCGGGCGCCATCAACCCCGATCTGAAGACGCAGGCGCTGGCGGTGGAGGTGAGGGCGGGGATGTGGAGAAGGATATGGGAAAGAGGCCAGGGAGCGACCTGTCCCCTCCCCTTACCCTACCACCACGTTTGCCTCCACCTCCGCCCCTCCCCACCAGGTCCTGGATGTGGGTGCGCTGCCGCCGGTGCTGGCGGTGCTGGAGGCGGAGACGGAGGCGGCGGAGGCGGCGGGCGCAGGGCCGGCCTCCTCGCTGATGCGGACCGCCGCCTGGTGCCTGCATAACCTGGCTAAGCACAAGCGGGAGAAGGAGATGGTGGGTGAAAATTAAGGATGGTGGGTGGGGGCGGGTGCATGCAAGCCACGAGCCGGTGCCAGACACTGACGATTGTTGGTGTGGTTGTCCGTCCTGGAGTGCTGGCTTGCAGCTACTTGCAAGTCCTTGCCGGGTCGCACCCTCCCGGTGAACACCCATGTTACCCCTCTTCCTCCGCCCCCTGGCCCCCCCTGGTGCCCCCCCTGGTGCCCCCCCTCCAGGTTGACGCCATCCCGCTGGTGACTCGGCTGCTGCTGGGCTGCGGGGACGGCGAGGTGCTCACGTGCGCCGCCTGGGTGCTGGCCTACCTGGGCAGCAACGAGGACAACAAGAGCCACATCAAGCAGGCGCTGGCGGCGCTGCCGAGGCTGGTGCAGTGGGTCAGGTGCGCGACAGGGGGAAGCGGGGGCGGGGATGGTCACTGGTCAGGAGGTGGGGGTGAGGGTGCGCGTGGAATGGATGTGCTCGATAATGTGGAACGGAACGGAGGCACTGCTTTGGGGGTTTCGGGTCGCGTGTAAACGTCGTGGGGCGCGTCATGCATGCGCACCACCCGCCCCTTGCTGTAGCCACCGCCTCCGCCCCCTTTCCTCCCCTCCCCTTATCTCGTTACCGCTCAACACCCTTGGTTCTTCTTCTTCCCCTACCCTCCCCCCTGCTTCCCCCCCTCAGGGACGCCAACAGCAGCCTGGCCACCCCCTCGCTGCTCAGCCTGGGCACCATGTGCACCGGCTACATGCGCTCGCTGGACTACAGCGGGGACGTGAGTGGGGCCGGCGGGGGGGAGGTAAAGAAAGGAAACCAACAGCAGATTGGGTAGGCACCACTGCGTGTGCTTGAAAGGGGAGGGGCGGGTAAGCGGGGAGGGAGGGCCGGAGCAGAGAACTAGGCGCCCAAGCCCGACCCGGCAAGCGCCCTTGGTTGCCATCATTGTAGCACCCCATTGTACCCTACCCACCGACCCGGCCCCCTCTCCCTTCCGCCCTCCCCCCCCCTCGGTCAGTGTTGCCTCGCGGCTCACTCCACCTAACACCCCCCCCCCTTCCGGCCCCCCCTCCCAGGTTGTGGATGCGGGCGGTGTGTCCGCCATGATGTCGTACCTGCAGTCGGGCAGTGCGGGCGGGCGGCGGGACATGGTGAAGGAGGCGCTGTTCGCGCTGAGCAACGTGGCAGGGGCCAACACGGCCACCGTGCGGGCCATGCTGGATGAGGGTGAGGAATGAGGAGCGAAGGGAGGAGGAGGAGGGGGTTCTACCGAGGTCTAGAGGGGTGTATGTAAGAGAGATGAGTAGCTGGTGTGGGGGGGGGTAGGTTGGTCGGTGTGGGTTGCGGGCATTGCTCCAGAAAGGCCGGGTGCTGTGAAGGAGGAGGACGATGTGCGCCGCAAGTCCCTCCCAGCGCCAGAGGCCATGATGGCGCCACCAGGATGGATGTTGGCGTGTGGGGTTGGGAGCGGAGCCGTAGTCCGCTGGTGCGTCACCTTCACCCACGCGCCCCCACGCCCCCGCCTCCATGCGCCTTTACTCTTATCTCCATTGCTCTGCCCTAAGCTGTGGTCCCGTTATACCTCTTGATCCCCCCCCCTCTCCCCCCTCTCCCCCCCCTCTTTCCCCCCACCCCCACCCCCCCCAGGCGCCTTCCCGCCCGTGTTGGCTCTGCTGGCTGCCTCGGCCGGCGACGAGGAGATCCTGACGGAGTGCCTCTACGTGCTGACCAACCCCTGGGACCCGCTGGTGGGGACGGAGGTGGCGTGCGTGCAGCAGCTGGTGAGCGGGGGCAGGGGGGAGGGGGGGAGGGGAGAGGAGCAAGAGGGGGTGTTGCGGGAGAGCGGGCTGGGCAGCGGAAAGAGGGAGGGAGGGGACGTGGAGGGCGTGTGGGGAAGGGAGTGGGAAAGTGAGGAAAGCGCATTGTGCCATCCTTGTGAGCACATGTTTCTGTGCAACCCTCTCCTTCTCCTCCTCCTCCTCATCATCATCACGCACCCTCTTCCGCCGTGCATGCCTCCAGCCCCAGCCGCACGTGATGCGGCTGCCTCTCGACTCCCCACCTCATGGGCTCTGCTCCCAACCCCCCTAACCGCTCCTCCCTCCCCTCCCCTCCCCTCCCTTCCCATCCCTCCCCCCCCCCCCGCAGGTGTCGCTGGGTATCCTGCACCAGCTGCACGCGCTGCTGCTGCCCGAGGCGCCGCCGGAGCGGCTGGGGCTGCTGCTCAAGGGGCTCGCGGTGAGGCAGGGGGGGAGGGAGGGAGCGGGAGGGAGGGAGGAGATTAGGGAGGGAAGGGGGGTGCAGCGGGCTGGGGATTGAGGCGGTGATGGGAGAAGGAAGCACGGACTGGATCATGTGAGGGACATTGGACATGTTTATAAAACCGGCTGCGACCCTAACACGTTGCTTTCTTGTCCCTCTTACCCTATCCTTTGTACAGCCCCTCCTCCCCCTTCTCACCCCCATTTTTCCCCCACCTCTCTCCCCAACCCCCTCCTCAGGACGGTCTCAAGCGCGGCCAGCAGCTGATGACGCACGAGGCCAACATGCGGCTGGTCACGCACGGGCGCGAGGCGGCCGCCGCCATGCCGCCCCCCGCCAACCCCGTGGTGGAGCTGTACGTGCAGCTGGGCACGGTGGGGCGCATCGAGGCACTCAACGGACACCCGGACGAAGAGGTGGCCACGCGCGCCAACGGCATCCTCACGGTGCTCAAGTTCTTCATGGCGTAGAGGGAGGAGGAGGTCTGCGGGACGGCTGGTGGGAGAAGGTGATTCGGCGTGGTATGGGAAGCAGCAGCAGGAGGAGGAGGAGGAGGGGGCGGGGTGAGGAGGAGTAAGGAGAGGAAACTCACGAGCTGTATGGTGAGGAGGAGGGGGCGGGGTGAGGAGGAGGGGGCGAGGTCGCGAGGAGGATCGAGTCCTGAGGGGGCTCAGGTGCTTGCTTTCTTCTTTGGTAACGTGCAGGGGGGTTGCTGTAAGGGGTAAAGCGGTTCAAGTTAGAGGGCATGGAGGGAAGGAGTGCGAGCAGGAGGGGAGGAGTTGGGCGGGGGGCTGTAGTAAGGGAGGGGGAGTTGTGGGGATGGGAAGGTGAGGAAGGAAAGCACAAACGACGATGTGACCTTGACCGGCTGTTGACAGGTTAACCGAGGCGGAAGGGGTGTCCGAGCAGTTTATATAGGGACACGCTATGGGTTTTGCATGAAGGCTGTGGAGTGTTACCGGTTCGTTCGCGTACGGCACGTGACCTTACGGCCTCAAGATTGCTAAAGCGAATGAGAAGGTCGTTTGTGTGTGGGTGCAACCGGGGTGGGGAGCACACCACCGGTGCGAGGTGACGTGGAGCCAGCTCTGCCACATTGGCAAGGATGCGCGGAAGACTGTGGAGGAGCAGTGTGGCGTGCTGGATGGGGTTTTCACGGAGGACTGGGCGATGTGCGGAGATGACATCATGGTGTACGGAGCACCAACAGAACCGTTGTGTACGGTATGTTGCGAGGGGCAAACCAGTGGCGGTGTGTGGCGCGGTTTTGACAGGGTGTTGTGGCGTTGTCCTCCGTACCCCGGGGGCGTGTTGCCCGGGGGCCGCGCGGGGGAGGGCGAAAGAGGCACATGAGGAGGCGATCGGGGCCGGTGTGGCGAACGGCTGCCCGTGGATTGTGTGGCGCGGTGCAAGGGGCATCGCGGTATCTGGGGGTATTGGAGGTGAAGCCCTCTGATGCACTCGTGGGCGGGCATTTAGAGGCCGCGCGGTGGCAGGTGGCAGGGTGGGGTGGGGGCTGATAAGGGCTTCGAAGGGACTTCGCGTTATGCATGCGTGCGTCCGTGAGATCGCGTCTGCGTATACGGTGGTTGGATTGTGCGCGATGCCCAGGAGGCATCGTACTTCTGCGGACGTGTGTTTTTGCGTGGGGATGTGTGGGGGGGGTTTTACAGCTACCCAGATCTATATTCTGGTTTGTGCCATAGTTCTTTGTCCTCGCTGCACTATCCTGACTACTTTGTTTCTCGCTGAGTCTCCCCCTGATGTGACGTGAAGTCACGTTTGGTTACGTTTGACCTCGAACCCAGCGTGAAGCGCATAGCCAAGTGGTGTTCCAGGCGACGGGGCCCTGAGCAAGGGCTGCTGGCGACTGCGGATGCGCGCGCGCGTACGTTTCTACGGTTCGTGTCGCCTCTTGGGTTTGCATGTCTCTCGGTTGTCTTTTCCCGTTTGAATGCGTCTACGCGGCTGTGTTGTACAGTGCCATGCAAACGCTATGTGCGCAGTGGTGACCTCGATGGCGAGTGGGGACCGGGGCAGGAGGACGCACAGGGGCCCGTGCAGCACCCGGGGGTCGCATGGACGGCCCAGTCTGTTGCGATAACAGACGTTGTCAATTGTTGACCGGTCTGGGGCTTTGGGGTGTTCCATAGTATTCGTTTACTACTTTTTCGGCGTTTAACGGAAGTTGACCACTCGTCCGGTTTATTTGTTGTGTGTGCAGAAGTGCACCTATATTTTGCACGGACATGAACGTGCGTGGCCATCCCATGTTGCTGGGAGTAAATTGCTTCGAGCTGTCATTTCACGGCAATCTCCTTCTCCCTATGTAGCAATGATGTGTGTGCCTGTTTACTGCTGGGTATGGGTAGATGGTTGCTCGGCACTCCTCCTTCGTGTCACGTCCCCGATCGTCGTAACAGATAACCTCAGTACACGATGCACCTGGGACACCGGCACTAGTCGAAACACGCGAGGATGGATTGGTTGCACTGCAAGGAGAGTTTACTGAATTTAGGTACCCGTTTGATGAACTGAAGGGTTACAACATGTTAGTCGTCCGGTAGCCCAACGAAACACTCCACGAAAGATAACTAGTTCCCTTATCATCAGCGAGTGAGGGCGTAGAGCAAACGTATGCAGGATAAGTCACAGTTGGGGCCTTGCCCGGTCGGCTAAGATCGATGTGTGCTGCATATACATATGCACTACAACGCAAGAGATCACAAAGGCAGCTCCGGAGCTGTCGGCATCAAAGCATACTGAAGCATTCGTTGGTTGGCCTTTATGTGTCACGCTTGCCAACACTTAGCGTCGCGCCCAACACAGAACTGCACAGCAACGAGATGCAACTTGTACTCAAGATCACAATTTGTTGTGAGTGCGCGCCAGGTCGGATTCATCCGGCTGCTCGATCTTCACGCTCGCGGCTGCTCGCTGCACAACACAATTCGCATACCCAATCAAAAAGGACTACACATCTTCACACAAAACGCACAAATGCGTGCAACGACCTGCAAGTATGGCCGAAATAACAGCCCTGACATATCGCTTCGAAGCGCGTCTCAGCGCCCCAACAGTGACAAGTCAGAAATCTTCATCCAAGCGTTTAGAGGCGCTGGAAACGACGGCGGCTGAAGGTCCCGTACTGGCTCATGGAGAAGTCCTCAGCGCAGCATCCCGCGCTCAGGTCAAAGATGGCGTACTGGCAGCCCATGGTGCTACCCTGGTAGCAGAAGTTCTCCAGCTTGGGGCAGCTGCCGCTGGACTTGAGCAGAATGCAAACCTCGGCGCCGTCTGCGTTGGCCAGGTTGAGAGCGAGGTTGTTGGTCTTGAAGACACCAAACGTCTGCGCAGGCGTGAAGCTGTTGTCCGTAGCACGAGTCCAGACTGGCGCCTTGACAACGCCCGGGTTGGTGCTGACAGTGAATCCGTTGACCGCGGACAGGCAGTTGGTCCCATCCGACAGCCACTCGATCTTGTCCAGGTCCATGCTGCAGCACCGAGACCCCTTGCACTGCGTCTGGTTGACGCGAATCTGGAAGCAATAGTAGTTGCTGCCAGACTTGCTGTAGGTGCGCTTGTACTGGATGGCGTAGGGCGTCTTGCGTGGCACACCGGGGTCGCACACGCTGTTGAGGGGCAGAGAGGCGGGCAGGAGGGACAGCAGGGGGTTTAGGCAACATGAGTTTCCTGAAGTACGACATCTTAAAAAACGCAGGCACAAGGTTCAGCCCCATATACCAAGAAAAACCGTACCAACCCTGTATCAATTTTCCCAAACATCCACACAGCAAACAAAACATAGCAGAACCTTCAAACACTCCCATGGCAGCCCTGACCCATGGGTCAACACTGCTCAACAAGTAAGCACCAAACAACTCACCAGAAGGGGAACTCGTTGGTCTGGACAGGAGCGCAGCCCTGCGTGTAAGACCACGACTGGCACTGGACGCCCGTCAGCTTGGTGGTGAGGACGACATAGAAGCCTGCCTGATCGCAAACCGGCTGGCCGTTGCTGCCCTGCGTGTAGGTGGTGGTCCAGCCCAGGGACACAGACAGGAGCTCGAATCCAGAAACGCCGGAGGTCTTCGCGTCGCCACTGCCGAACATGTTGCCAAAGGCAGTGGCATCGGCCTCAGCTGCGAAGTCAGCGCAGGCGGTGACGTTGCGGGCAGTTGCGTCAACAGCCGAGCAGGTGAATCCAGATCCAAGCAGCTTGTAGCTGCCGTACTGGGTGTTCATGGCAGTGAGCTGGGAAGCCAGCAGGTCGCATGCGGCAGTGTCAGCAGGGCCGTTGGTACGGTGCCAGGTGAAGCAGAAGTGGGTGCATGGAGGAGGGGGGCTGGGGGGAGGCGGGCTGGGAGGAGGTGGCGGCGGCGGCAGGTCGGGGTAGCGGCTGGGGCAGCAGCCACTGCCGCCATCCGTCGAGTCCAGCAACGCAACCATGGGGAAGCCATCGCTGTTAGTCACAAACAGCGAGCTGATCGAGTTGCAAGGGGAAGCCGCCTTGATGCAGATGCGGTCGCCGTTGAGGTCGCTGGACGTGATGTCAACATTGCTCCAGCGAATCATGGTGGAGTTGTTGTTGACATCGTCAATGTAGAGGTCCGAGGCAATGGGAGCTCCATTGTACGACACGGGCTGGAAGAAGCTCTTCAGTGCCGGACGGCAGCCGTACCCTGCGAGGTGCGGGAACAAGAAAATAACGAGATTAGCAATGACGCAATAATAGGAATATATGTAGCGGAAGCAGCATATGGTGGTAGTTCCGTCTACGTGTTTAGCGGTGTACAGATACCCATGCCGTTGTGACTTCCACCATTGCTCCACTCCTAGTGGCTACTAGCCAAATCCTTTGCAGGCAGGTATCAGACAACACAGCGTGTACTTACGGATGTTGAAGACAATCTTGTGAATGTTGGCCGTCAGAAGGCTGCAACACGTGTTGCTGCCACCAGAGCAGCCTGGGCACTGAGCAGTGAAGCAAAACTCCGAGACGGTGGAGTTAATAGCCCGGGAGGTGGGGAAGCCAAAGTAGCAAGGGCTGCCGCTTGATGCCCTCTTGGTGCAGCTGTGGTAAGGGAAAACCGCCGTTCCGGTGACGCTGGACTGCTGCAGCTGCCTGCAATCAGTGGAGAGGTTCAGTGGGCCAGTTGTGGGGTACCGGTACATGGTTTGGGAAGGATAAGGGCTGGAATGGCGGGTACTGCATAGGGGTTGCAGGTTGCATGTGGGCAGGCCCGTTTTGGCCACGTGGCTGAAACATGTTCCGTTAGCTTTGGGGTACAGTAGTCCGTTTAGATGTGCAAGTCGTCCGTGTCCGACGCGACGAGCGTGTCCCAGACATGAAGAACCGAGAATGATACCATAGCGATACACGTTCATCTCGATATAGCATCAAGAGTATCCCGCGCAATAAACAGGCGATTTACATCTGGGGTCCAACCAGTCGGTCCTACTGAAAAACGTTCGCACCTTGCTGCCCCCGAAAGCTCCCAGCCGTCTGCAAAAGCAAAACAAAATAAGGAGTTCTAGATAAGTTCACCGCCAAGCAGTCGCGGTTAACCTGTAACCTTCACCATGGGTGACGAACTTTCTTACCCGCCAAGGCGTGGCTAATGCCGACAGCCAGGACGACGAGCAATGCCGCCGTCCTCATGGCTGCCAGCACTGGTGACAAGGCCCGCGTAAACCTGTGGCACGAAGGAGCTTCACAACTTGATGTGCGAAGTTTTCCGGCAGAGACAAACAATGCAGCAGACAAAGCCCCAAGCCCCGTGAACACATCTCTTGCATTTCTGGCAAGCTCCCAAGAGCAGCATACTAACGGGAAGCAAGAACGACAAGGAACCCTTCGTAACGATACTCGGCGGCGCTAATTGATTTTGTTATGCTTTGCGACTCTTGATATACTCTATACATGTATATTCCACTCAGGCCGCGAAAGCGTGTATCGCGCCAACTGCTAGAAGCCTAATTTGCTGCCTACCTGGCGCAGCCCAAGCACCGCTGCTACTTCCACTCAAAAGGACGGACGAGTCAGGCAGTATGAGCTTTCCAAAATGGAGTCTTGGAGACAAGGCTCAGCGGCGCCAATGGTCAGGCGCCAACTGCGACTGGGATGTCCTCCTATTGAGTTAGACACGGCACCTATGGGGTGATGGTGCTTGTCCCCTAAGTAGGTAACCGGACTGTATGAGCTTAAGGTCAACGGGCAGGTCTAACATTCTAGGCGATTGGCGGGCGAGGGTTGTCGTACAGGAGAGCCCGCCATGGGTGCGCGCCTTGTGCAAAACCATTGGACGACAAGAAGCTTCCCTGAAATTTGGACGCATAAAACGCATATGCACTTACTCTATAACTGCGTTCAGTCTTAGAGTCCCGGAACTCCTTCCCAGTAACACCTCGCATGTCCGTTTACTGGCGGTCCTTTGGAGTATATAATACACCGCCGCTCTTAGAGAGGATGAGTCCTATCGTAATCCATACAATGTTTGGAAAGCTTACTACTGCTACTTTGTCAAAGTCTTGGATACGTCTTTCCCAGACATGTCAGACATGAACCGCTCCACTGCGTTACGCTGCCCGGAGCAATTTGTAAGTGGTTTTTAATTGTTTTTTCGCTAGTGTTTGGGTTCCATGTACGTATGGGTGTTGTCTGTTGTCGTATTGATGTGTGGTTTGGTGGTGTCCTGTTTCCTTTGTGTGTTTATTAATTGTTGCTTTGGTGGGCTTGGCGGTCGTGGCCTTGCTCAGCATCTTCCTCCTGGGTGCCTGTGTGCTCTTCCTCCTCCACTTTGTCAATTGCTTGCTGCTGTTGGCAAAGGTGTGCAGCCCGTACATTTCTAGCATCTTCCTCCTCTGCATCCTCTGCTTCAGCCGGACCTCCATGGTTGTTTTGCTGGGCCCACTGGGTTGTCCGCTGGCCTTGTGCCCGTGGTGGAGACCATGGCGGAGGTGTCCAGGCCTCCCCTACTGCCAACGGGCGCGGCAACCACGTGGAACCTTTTCTGTCCACCCAATGTCGGCACGAAGCAGCTGGTAGAGTGGGTGCACTGCTGCCCAGGGCCGCAAGGTGCAAGATCTGGTGGCCTGCAGTATCCATCCGTGCTCACCGCCGTGGGTGCATGCCGCCCAAACGCTGCTTGTAGCCCTAGTGCTAGCTGCAGAAATGCTGTGAAGCCCTCTGCCCCTACTGGGACTGCCCGTTCGTCTGCTGCTGTACCACCTGGCCCGCATAGAACCTGCTCTGCTGGCGCGTGTATGCGGCTCCACACCGTTCTGGCCAAGTGTTAGGTACATGTGTTTCATGATCAGGCCCGCAATACTAACGGTACAGGCAGGAGGTGCTCCTGCTGCTGCCTGCTCTGCTGCACTGCTTGTCTGCGAGCTGTTGCGTGTGCTGCAGCAATTTGTTGGCATCCTGCGTTGGCGTCCGTGCCTGTTTGTGCCTGCCGGGCTGCGTGTCGCCGTTGTGCTCTCAGCCGCTAAACCTCCCGTTGCCGAAAGGCTTCTGCCTGCGCCCAGAGCCCACGTAATGTACACGACTGTGTCTGCGAGTGCGGGTGTGGGTGTTGGGTTTGATGCTGCTGCCTGCTGCTGAAGACCCCGGTGGCCCTGGCCCTGCTGCACGACACCTTCCTCGTCCTCCTCGGCTTCCCGGCTGTCTGAGGGCTCCTCCTCACCCATGCCCCCTACTGCGGCCTCCACTCCTGCGTTGGCTTGCTGCACTTCACGGCGGCGCACCGCCAGAACATCCAGCCTTCCGTGTCGTCATCCTCCATGTCCACTGCTTCTGTATACGCACCCTGCTTGGCCTGATGTGCACCCTGGCCTGGTCGATGGCCTTTTGCTTGTGGAGGCGGCCATGGCGGAGGCGTGTTGGCCTCCCCTTCTGCCACAGGGCGCGTCCAGAACGTGTGTCACTCACGCGAGACCTCCTCTGTCCATCCAATGTCGGCACGCACCACCTGGACCAGTGGGCGTACTGCTGCCCAGGGCTGCACGGGGCAAGATCTGGTGGCCTGCAGTATCCATCCGTGCACACTGCCGTGGGTGCATGTCGCCCGAACGCTGCTTGTAGCCCTAGTGCTTGCTGTAGAACTGTTGTGAACACCCCTGCCCCTACTGGGACTGCCCGTTCGTCTGCTACTGCACCACCTGGCCCGCATAGAACCTGCTCTGCTGGCGCGTGTATGCGGCCCCCCACCATGTTGGTCTGGTGTTAGGAACATGAGCTCCAACACCTGGCGCACTATACTGCCCGCTGGTGGGAGTCCGACTGCCTCCTCAGCGGCTTGTTCCGCTTCATCTGCTTCTGCACGGGCTGCAGCTGCGTTGTCTTGCCCTTCCCTACCTGCTTGGTCTTGGGTTTGGGCCCCCCTTGGTGCTTGTCGCATTGCGTTCGCATGCTGCCTTATCGCTGCACGTTGCTCGACGGTACGGGATGCCCTCCATGCTCGCACCCTCGCTGTTGCTCTACGCCGCCGCTCCACTTCTGGGTCATAGTCTTCGTCTTCCGGACTGTCGGCCATTGGTTTGCTGTCCGTTCCTGTTGACGACGCCCACCTGCCTTGATTGGTTTGTGTTTATCCCGCTGTTTGTCCCGTTTATCCCGTTGTCGTTTTTTCGCTTGTTTTTGGTTTTTCTGTGTTCCGGTTTCCCGTGTGGATTGGTGGTCGCGGACCTGTTTTCTTAACGTTTTGTAGTTTCCCTGTTGCTTCTTTTGTTCTATGTTGTTGGCGTTGTTGTTGGCGTTGTTTGGGAGTGCTCTGCTGGTGTTTCTGGCCCCACCCCGTGTTGGTTCGCTCGGTGTTAGGAACATGAGCTCCAGCACCTGGCGCACCATACTGTCCGCTGGTGGGAGTCCGAATGCGGCCCCGCTTCCTCAGCCGCTGCCCTTGCTGCTTGACGCCTTGCGTTTTCACGCTGTCTTATAGCTGCTCGGGGCTACGTGCTGCCCTCCATGCTCGCACCCTTGCTGTTGCTCTACGCCGCCGCTACGCTTCTGGGTCATAGTCCTTGGAACTGTCGGCCATTGTTTGTGTTTATCCCATTGTCGTTTGTTTGCTGCGTCTTGCTTTTTCGGTGTTCATGTCCCGTGTGCATTGGTGTGTCGCGAACCTATTTCTTAACGTGTTGTGATTTGCCAGTTGCTTCTTTGTTCTATATGTTAAGTTGTTGCCGTTGCTGGTGTTGCTGTTGTTTTTCGGGCTAAGCTTTAGCATGTCTTTGTACGACGCCCATTGGAAGGCTTCTTTGTGGCTGCACTGCCCGGCGGTGCACCGCCAACACATCACCGCCTTCCTCGTCGTCCTCCTGAGCGCCCTCTGCTGATGCCTGTGCGCCCTGATTGTTGTGCTGCTGTGCCCCATGGGCTGGGCGTTGACCTTTTGCTCGTGGCGGCGGCCATGGTGGCGGTGTCCAGGCCTCCCCTGCTGCCAACGGGCGTGTCCAGCAAGTGTGCCCCTCACGAGGGACCTCCTCTGTCCATCCTATGTCTGCCCGCAATAGTTGGAACATTGGGCTTACTGCTGCCCATGGCCGCCGGGGGCATTGCCCTGGTGGTCTGTAGCATCCACATGCTGTGCACACCACCGTCGGGGCATGCCGCCGCAGTGCTGCTTGCAGCCCGAGTGCTAGCTGAACATCTGCTGTCAGCCCTCCTGCCCCTAGCGGGATGTCCCGTTCATCTGCTGCGGCCCCGCCTGGCCCGCATAGCACCTGCTCTGCTGGTGTTTCCGGCCCCACACCATGCTGGCCAGGTGTTAAGAACATCAGCTCCAACACCTGGCGCACTATGCTGCCCACCGGTGGGAGCCCGAATGCCTCCTCGACGGCTTGTTGCACGGCCTCTGCCTGTCCTTCGGCTGCTGCTGCATCGCCTTGCTGTGGCTCCACTGCTTGTGCCTGCCTTGCTGACCGTCGCCTCTGGTTATGGCGCTGCCGAGTTGCTTCCCGCTGATCGGCGGTGCGAGATGCCCTCCATGCTTGCACCCTTGCACGTACTCTACGCCGCCGCTCCGCTTCTGGGTCATAGTCGTCGTCGGAACTGTCGGCCATTGCAATCTGCGGCCCGTTGCTGTTCGCAACGCCCTCCTGCCTTGCTTGACTTATGTGTGTTCCGGTGGCATGGTATTGGTTGTTACTGTTGTTTTCCCTTTGTGCTTATGTGTCAATGTTGGGACGCGAAGATGTTTTTTCCTATTATGCGGTTCCCTTCTTGCGTTGCTTCTTCCTTATTGTGTTATTTTTTTGTGCTTGTTGCTGCTGTTGTATATGTTGCGTAGGCTTTTGGGTGTCTTTTGTACGGCGTATTTTGGAAGCATTCAGTGCGGTCTGGAAATGTTTTTGCGTCCGTTTGCGCTGTGCTGGATACCGTGTGTTGTCTGCTTTCCACTGCGGCCATTTACGAGGCGTTTGGAGACAATTTTTTGTTACGCCCAGGGTGGGGTGGGGTCGCTAATCCCTTTGCAATCCGTAGGATTGCTCCGGGAATGAACGCAAGAAAACTGCCGGTGTGCCGGATACTACTGCCGTTGCGCGGGAGCATAACATAGTCATCAGTTGCTGCCATGGTTGCCCAATCAACCCATGGGTTTTGCGTAGACCACATCCAAGACCTAGGGGATACCTGCCATCTCGAGTAAACCTTTTCGCGCCATACTGCCCCTCCTGCGCATGCCTATTGCCTAACCAGCAATCCGCGCATACCTTCGCTTGATCGCGGTAATCAGGTGCGTCTACCTTCTGCACAAGGCACATGCATGTCCCGCATACCTCCCCCTTCTTTGGTGGCGATAAAAACAACAAGGTACAGTGTTACCATGGCCCTCAGCCCCATCACGGTACCGAGTGCCTGTTACTTCCTGAGCCGCAACAGCCACATGGATGTAACGAGCCATGTGCTGTATTCCTGTATAGTTGTTGTCTATGCGGAAGGGAGCAACTTGCACCCTGATGTTATGAGCTTATCCCGTTGCGCCAAGCTGTAAAGTCAATTCACTACTGCGTCGCGTTTCAAATGGTAATCATGCCTTCCCAGCAAGCTGCATGCACGCCTCACCTCATGCCCAGTTCTCCACGTCACCCAGCCCTCCCTTTAGCCACAGCCACCCCCTCACCCAGCCATCACCTCGTTATCATCACAATCATCTTCCCCATTGGCTTCCCTAGTGCCACTGCTCCTCCTCCTTTCGCCGTACCTCCTTTCATGGCATGCTTCCCCCCTCACTGCAGCCGCCCGCCAAAGCCGTCTCCGCATCTTCCTGCTGCATCCCGCCTGTAAGCAGGGCACACCAGGCCCAGCCGCAGAATCCTAGAGTACATCCAAGACCTAGGTGATATCTGCCATTTCGAGTAAACCTTTTCGCGCCACACTGCCCCTCCTGCGCATGCCTATTGCCTAACCAGCAATCCGCGCACATCTTCGCCTGATCGCGGTAATCGCTGCTGGGCCGCTCCTGCTGCTGCTTCGGCCGCTCCATCCGCTTCACTTCCCATGTTCGCACCTCACGCCGCAGCACTCGGCCCTGCAGCTGTTGCTTGGACTGCCGCCGCCCGTATCGCCGCGTGCTGCTGCAGCTGCTGCCCCGATGCATCCAGCCGGTGCTGCTGGTTCTGCTGCTGCAATGCCAGATGGGCGGCTGCCCGCTGCTGCCTTACCGCCACCACCTGCCGCTCATGCTCCTGCCGGCGGGGATGCTGCTGCTCATCAGCCGCGCCCTCGGGCTGCATCCTCTAGTTGCCTGCCGCCCGCGCTGCCCGCTGCGGCGGCTGGAAAGCACCGACCGCCGCCTTTCACAGCTCCGTCCGGTGGAGGATCCTGCATGAGGGGCGGGCGCCTGGCCACCGCTGCGGCCGCTCGTGTTGCCTGCCGCATTCGGGTTGCTCCGCTCGGGGGTTCTAGTCAGACTCACCTTCTCCCGGGCCCTTTGCGCGCACGGTCAACATCAGCAGCACCGGCATCACTTCCACCGGCAGCAGCAGCAGCAGATTCGCTGCCAGGGAAAATACGGATGAGGCCAGTAGTGGTGGCAGCAGCTGCCGCTGGGGTGGACGAAGCTACTTTATATTGATGGCGCATGTCGCCAGATATTTGTGGTTATCTTGAACCCGTAAGTTGAGCGCCCTCAAGGCCACCAGAGCTACCTAGAGTGGTGTTGTCTCTCCGGGTCGTGCCTTTGATGTTTCCTCGGAAGAACCCCCTGTTGCCTTTGTTTGCGCAATAATTCTATCCTCCATTCTAGTCCCTGCTTTGCTGCTTACCCCGCAGTGGCTTTTAAGTAAGCGGGGAAAGAAAATCAATTGCTGCACCGCCTGCAAGGCAACCCCACCACATGCCGTTCGCACACCCCTACTTCGTTGCTCCTTACTGACATTGCTGACTGGTCTTACGCCCCATGCAGATGGAATAGATATACAGAGCCAGATGAAGAGCACCATGCAACATGCGTGCCACCGCACGACGCAGCACCAAGTGCTGGCACCAAAAGGCTAACCGGTAACCGTTGTCCAGCTACCCGCAGCACTACACGGAGTTCTGGCTGGCCGGCTTTGACCTGCTGCGGCCCGTCAAGCTTCCCACCGGAACAGAACCCCAGCAAAAGCCATTGTCCATGTAGCTTACAACACGCAAAGCGGCCTCTCACATGCCGGATGCGACGGTTAGCGTTTGGCCACCATGACAACCACCACGCAACCCACATGGGGGCCGCAAGCGCCTATCCGCTGAAACCATGAGCGTGTACGACAACTTCGAACCGGCGCTGAAACCATTCTCGGTTGCCCCGACCGCAACCGCGCCCACCGGCCTCATGTGCAGAAGGGCCATACCTGCCACACCTGACACCACCAAACAAACACGTACGTTCATAGTCGCCAGTTTTTTTACACACGTAAGATACGAAGGCGGCACAAACTGGAGCAGCTAGGAGTTCTCCCGCCTGTGCCATGCTGCCATACTCCTCCCGTGCTATGCTGGCGAACACGTGACCAGCAGGCGCAAGAGAAAGCGCCCATGCATTCGTGGCCCCATCGTGCAACAAAGCTGGGCCCACCTCCTGTTGACCCCACCTATGCCCTCTCCTATGCCCAAACCTCAGGGGGAGAAAGGGAAAGAGGTAATGCCATTGACCGCAAGCCCAACGAGGCCATATATGTTTCTCGCGTGCCAACCACCCCCAGAGCAGCCCCATGACAGCCGTCGCATCGGTCTGCGGCTGAAGGTCCTCCTCTTCTCCAACATAGCTGCTCTACTTAGCAAACCAGCCTCCCCAGCAAGCCCTTGAAGCCAAACTGCACCTACGATGAGTATTTGCAAAAGTGGAGCCCAACATGGCAAGGGCTCGTCACTTGGTTCCTTTCCGCCGCATCACCCATTTAATGCGCTCAACCACTACAGCGCCGACAGCGTGCTTGTACGCGTTTTTATCGCGTAGAAATCGTGCATCGCTTCCGTTAATGTAGTATCGCCGCTTGCGGAGCTCATCTGGTAGACCCGCATCATTGCGCAAGCGGTTCAACTCCGACAGCGCCTGCTGAACACGATTTTCCTTGACCTCGACGTACACAGCCATGTTCCTGTAGCTGCTACCAGCGGTGACGAACGCATTTTGGAGTTTGCTAATGGCTGAGGTCGAAGCTGCTCCAGTAAGGCCCAGCCCGCACGCCCTTAAGAGCACGCCTGACATTGCTAATCTTCTCCAGTAGAGCTATGCCAGAGTGTGCTCTATAAGGTGCTTTAGGTGCCAAAATGAATTGTCTGGCCGTCACAGCGGTAGATATAATGTGGATGCAAAGTTACATTTAAGCTATGTGATAAGTACAAAATGTGCGCAATGATATCTCTCCTCAAAGGAAGCAAGCCGAACTCCTGCCATTGGGTAATTGGCCGTACAACGACTGTACAATAAACACCTCAGGCCCAAGGGGTCCACAGCTCCACATCACGGAGAAGAAACCTCGTCCCCGCACATGCAGCGTCTGAAATAAAATAAAGAATACTATGAATACCGTGATGCACAGCTGCACATCCTACACGGGTTTACGGGTTAACTGGGTGTCATATAGGGGTTTACGAACTTGATGTGTGGAACGTTCTGCATGCACACGAAGATCAAGCCACTTGCTATACAACGCGCACCCAAGCGCAAAACTAATAGTTGTTGCTACCACAATAGGCACTAATTACCTCAAGCCTGCCTCAATACTAATGTCGTCCCTGCTTGGATTGGTGTTGTTCAGGCCCCCAACCAAACGGTGGCACCGAGTACCCTCCGCCGTACGGACCCATGCCGCCGTACATGCCGTACGGATCCATATACATGCCTGCACCAGCCCCGCCTCCGCCGTACGGGTCCATGCCGTACATACTACTCATCCCGTACGGATCCATACCATACATGCTGTACGGGTCCATGCCGTACATGCTGTATGGATCCATCATCATAGGATACGGCATAGGCATCATCATGTGCCCGGGGTAGCCTGGCGGGTAGCCCATTCCCGCCATGTGCCTCGGTCCTCTGTGGTTCCCGGGGTGCGGGTTCCGCAGGGGCGTGACGGGCGTCCTGTCGGCTGGGACAGGAGCCCCCTCGGGTCCCGGCGCAGGGTTCTTGAGAGAAGAGCCAAGAAGAATGGGAGGTTGGGCGGGGTTGGGACGGGGGGTTGGAAGCAAAAGGAGGGTGAGTAAGGCGCGGCAGGTGCAAGCGTGCAGTAAATGTGTAAGGGCACTCAACACCGCATGTGTCACAAAAGTGTAGCCAGGACGTTCCCCTCGTTTCCCACCCATGATCTTGCCCGGTGACTCGTTAAGCTTTCCTCATCCGCGCCCGACATGCCATGCACATTGGCCCTGCCCGCCACCGCACGACAGGCGCACTAGCCACAACCCGACCCAGTACCGCCACCGCTCGTACCAACCCCAACCCCGCCCCGAACCTTTCAACTCCACCGCAGTCCGGCGCAGCCCCACCCCACCCAGCGTCAATTCCCAGTCCCCAGAACCTACCCCACGGCGCAGCCCCACCCACCCAACCCAACCCAACCCAACCCCTGGTCTCTCACCATCCAGCCGCCCACCCTCCCCGTCCCCGGACGTTCCCCCTGGGGCCGCCCTGCCTGCGACGCGGGCCGCCCCTGCCGCTGCGACGCGGCGGTACCCGGCCTGCTGGGGATCCTTTCCGGCACGGCCTCCGGAGGGACGGGTGGGTGCGGCGGTGGCTCTGGAGGCGCCTCCTCATGCGCCCTAGCTGCGGCCTCCGCCTCCGAGGGTTCCGGAGCCGCTTGCGCGCCTGCTGCCTCTGTCTTGTCGCTGTTTTCGGATGCCTTGTATCCTCGGCTGCGGCGGATGTAGTGTATGAGGATGGCGAGCATGATGAGGAAGAGCAGTCCGCCCACGGTGGCCATGCCGGCGATGAGAGCGGCGCCCTTCCAGTTGAAGCCCGAGGAGCTGGTGGTGGTTGTGGTGGTGCTGTTGTCCGCGGCAGAAGGAGTCGGAGATGAGGCCAGGAGGAGACATGTGAGCTGGAGGAGAGCTGAGAGGGAAGGTGGGAGCGGCGAACGGTAGATGGGGACGTGAAAGGATTTGCAGGAGGGGCGTGGATGGTAGAATGGAGCGGAAAAGCGGTGGCAGTGGTAGCAGCAGATGCGATGGAGGAAGCGGTTGAGGGAGGGGTTGCTAGGCTTGCTGTCAATTGGTAACGGAGGTGGTGGAAGGATTACTATGGGGCCGCTCCGTAGTGCCGAGGTGACGGTGCCAGCAGTTGGCAAGATGGGAGCGGCTGTGCTGTGGGCGGCAAGACGCCGTCGCCGCCGTCGTCGCCGCTGCCATGCCACTGTCAGCGGTGGCGTCGGAGCAGGAACTGTACGGCAATGGCCTGGGTTGCTGCGACGTCGACGGCCCATCGGTTAAGATAAGTGTCACCGGTTTGAGTTTGCTATGGAAATCATGATGCCGGCTCCGGTTGTGGGGCCGGTGTAGGCGACAGGTGCAGCGGTATGTGTAAGGACCTGCACGGACCAAAAGGATGGCAACAGGTAGAGGCAGTTGCAGCGGGTTGCAGCACAAAGTATGTGCTAAGGTGATGAAGTAGTAAGCAGTTGCATACGCACTGTGCTTTAACGAAACGGTATGGTTCCAGGCATCCCATGAAGGAGCCCTGGCGCATGAACTTACCAGGCGCAAGCAGGTTTCCTAATGGAGCCAGCAGGCTGCATAACTATCTGTAGACAATGTTGTCTACTTCCTTAAACACCGACTACGGACAAAACAGAGAGTAACAGAGAGTAAGAAGGCTCAAGGAAGCGCGGTGTGGCTAACAACGAGCGAGTGCAGTAAAGCTACGAGTTGCTTGCCTGCCGTGTAAGAAAAATTGCAAAGCATATAACGCCTTTGGTCACGAAGCAAGCACACCCTTGCAGAGTACGAACGTCTCCCCAGTTGCCATTCCAGGACGCTCGCCTTTTTCATTTCGTAGCACCCTTACCTTGAATAGCGACATCTACCATAGTTTTAGCTGTGTCTCGTGGCGCTATGCGCCCAGCGCGCGTGCTCCTTGACGCCGCGCATTGCTGCTGCGCAACATTGCAGCGACGACTGCCACAGTCAGTGGCACGGCCCTGGGTGGTCACATGGAGCTCAAAGCAATGGAATGTTAACCGAAGTTCCGGGTCCGCTGCGCAGCCACCGTACCGCTCCATCATCACACCTAACGGTCAAATCGCTGACCAGCTGACGCTTTCGCCTCCAACAGCTCTTGGAGCTGCTCACGACCCGCTGACAAGCACGCGCTCTGCTGGCAACTGCTATGGAACCCTCCGTTGGCTTGAGTCGCAACACGACAGCAACTCCAAAAGCCTGACGGCGCCATCTGCTGCCGCCCATGCCCCTCGAATACATCTCTCAGCTGCCAATCCAGCTCGCCAGTATGCAGGCACCAGCAGCACCAACAGCACAACCCTAGCCGCAAGGATCCGCACGCGAGACGCAAATGGAACCAGTCGTACAACTGCTGCTGCTTCCATTGCTGCCAGCACACCCTGGTCCTACTCGTACCTCAACATCCACGCTAAAACGCACATCCACACAAGCAGCGTTGCGAGAGTTGCTGCCGGCAACAACAACACCTTTCGCAACGCCACAGCCACTCCCAGTTCCACCACCGCCACCACCAGCTTCAGCAGCAGCAGTAACAGCATCCAAGACAAGCCTAGCAGGACCCCTCACAGCACCCCCAGCACCACCTCCCCTTCACCATCCGCGCTGGCAGCAGACCCCTTGTCGTATCGCCGGGTACGGCGCACCGCGGCCCGTGTGGGCAAGGCCGCCACGCCGCAGCGCGGTCGCTTCGTGGATGCCGCCAAGCTGAGGGCGTGCGGCGGGCAGGGCGGGGCGGGCAGGGTGGCGTACGAGCCCACCGGCAGAGGTGAGGGGTGGGGTGGGGTGGGCATTTATAGGGATATATATTCCGCACTAGGCTGGATTATGGGATGAGGAGTGGGAGGGCGATGCAAATGGATGGGCGGTCTTAGGCGGGATGCTCGGCTAGGGAAGGAGGTGAAGGCATGGAATGGAAGAGAAAGCGGGGGCGAGAGCTAACATGCAGTCATTGGGAGCCCGCCGCACGCTTGTTGGAGCTGTTGATACATCATCGGCATCCCGCCCGCCTGCCCGCCAACCCAAACCCCATGCACACAGCTCGGCATCTAGCAGCCATCGGCGGCACGGGGGGCCCTGGCGGTGACGTCATCGTGCGCGCTAGCCGCCACGTCAGCAGCTTGTACGGCATTTCAACGGTGTTAGTTGCCGGCCGCGGCGGCGCCGGCGGCACTGGCGGTCAAACCGGGGTTCGCGGGCCGGACCGAGTGATCGAGGTACCGATGGGTACGACGGTTCGACTGGGTCCGCCGTTTCTGACGACGGCAGTGGCGTCGGCGGAAGCCGACGGCGATGATGGCGTGTACGACAATGACGGCGAGGACGGCGGTTATGACAGGGATGAGTATGAAGACTACGACGACGGGGACGAAGACACCGACGAAGCGCGCGAATCATTGTCTGATGATAAAACCCAGGAGTATGATGATACGGAGGAGGAGGAGGAGGTTGAGGATGCCTCAGGGGCGGGATCCGGTGTCAGGCCCTGGTCCGGCGCTGCTGCTGCGGGCCCCGGTTGGAGTGCGGTGGAGCTGTCGCAGCACGGAGAGCAGCTGGTGCTGGCGGCGGGGGGGGCGGGCGGGCGGGGCAACAGGGCGTTCCCGGCGGCAGCGGGGCGGCCCGCACCGGACACCGCGGAGCCGGGGGGACCAGGTGGGGCAGCGGGCGGGAGGGGGGCAGGACGGGGTAAGGATAAGGAAGTTGAGGAGGCAACTAACGAGCTGTGTGACATGTAGGCTTCACTATGCATGGGGCAGCGGGGGGGGGGGCAGGGCGGGAGATGGGGGCTGGGTGGTAGTGCGGGGAACGGGTGAGGAGTGGAGGCGGCAATGAGGTTAGGCAGAGGACTTACAAGGAGGTCAGGACAGCGATTGGGTAGCGACGGCAGTGTGCTGTACGTATCGAGGACTGCCTGCAAGGGCTGCAACCCCCTGTCAGACCTCCCCCTTGGGAACTCAGCTACCTTCTCCTTTACCCGCCGCCCGCCCGCCTCCCTGCCCTGCCCTCCCTCCTGCCAGGCGAGCAGCGGTGGGTGCTGCTGGAGACGCGGCTGCTGGCGGACGTGGGGTTCGTGGGGCTGCCCAACGCCGGCAAGAGCACCCTGCTGGGGGCCATCACGGCAGCAAGGGCCAAGGTGCGGCCGCGAGGAGCGCAGGTGGTGCACCGGTGCCGCAACGCAGTGGGCCGCGGACCTCCCTCCCCAGCGCCCTCTGCCCCCCCTCCCCTGCCAGGACCCTGCATGCACACATGCATCCCTGCGCATCATGCAAGGCACACCCCGGCACACCCCGGGACCCCCCGGGACCAGAGGCACCCGGAACAGAGGCACCCCCAACACCCCCTCACACCCCTCCTGCTGCTCACATGCGCTGAGGTGTCTCGCGTTTCCCCGCCCGTTCCCACCTCCCGGCCCCTCACCTCCCACCCGCCTTCCTACTGCTACTACTGCTGCTGCTGCTCGCGACTCTCAGACTGCTGCTGCTGCTCCCTCTGCTGCTGCTGCCCTCCCCCTTTTCCCCTTCCATATTCTCATTCAACACATAGGGTAATCTTCTTTTCCCACCCCTCTCGGTTTGCCCCTCAGGGCTTATCAGCTAGTTTACCACTGTCACACCACGCATTGGATATTCTCCCCTCCCCTCCCCCCCCAGGTTGGCAGCTACGCCTTCACCACAGTGCGCCCGCAGCTGGGCACCATTGCGTTCGACGACGGCACCCGGCTGGTCACCGCCGACATCCCGGGGCTGGTGCAGGTGGGGCGGCGGAGGGGGGGGCGGGGGCGGGGGCTAGGACAGCTTGAAGGTTCCACATTGGGCTACTGGGTTATAGGACTAGGCAGCAGGGGGAGCGGAGCGGGGGATGGAGCGGGGGGAAGGATTAGGACTAGGCAGCAGGGGGAGCGGAGCGGGGGATGGAGCGGGGGGAAGGACAAGGGCCAGAGGAGGACAGCCACATGCGCGGGTTCTCAACCGGGCTCGCGCATGGGGTTAGCAGGCGGAGGGTCGGGGTGATGCTGCGACCTGCGCTGGTGGGGGGGATCAAAGGAAAACCAACCCGTCACTTGGAAACCACACGAGATGGCAGGGCAAGGTTTCCCTACGCTGTGGGACCGCGCGGATAAAGGCATGTGCAAGGGGGGGGGGTCAAAACAGACCCAACCGACTGGGGCATAGCAATCAGGAAGCCACAATGGGGGGCAAGAGGGGCAGCTTGGTTGCCGGGTGGAGAGCAGGGTTGTGGTGACGGGAGGGACACGAGTGCAGCGGGAGCGGCGGAACTGGCGGGACACGTCACAGCGCACCGTACACAGCTGCATGTGCGCCCCGTGTGCCGTAGACAGCTGCATGTGTACCCCGTGTGCCGTACGCCCGCACTTCCTAACCCTGCTGCTTACCGGTGTACCTCGCCCATGTCCCCTAACCACCACCTCCTCAATCCCGCCGTCCCTTCACCCCCATCACTCCCCTCACCCCCTCACCCCCCAATCCAGGGCGCCCATGCCAACCGCGGGCGCGGCAACGCCTTCCTGCGCCACATCGAGCGCTGCCGCTGTCTGGCCTTTGTGGTGGACCTGTCGGGGGGGCAGCAGGGGAGTGGGCAGCAGGCGGGTGGGGAGGGAGAAAGAGAGGGGGAGGCGGGAGGAGAAGAAGGTTCACTCCAGCAGCGGCAACAGCACCCAGGCGCCAGCAGCGAACAGGGGGAGCAGCGGGGTGATGGCGAGTCGGCTGCAGGCGGGGTGGTGGCAGTGGGGAGTGTGCCGCTGAGCCCACAGGAGCAGCTGCGGGTGCTGCAGGTAGGGTGTGGGAGATGGGGGGGGGGCGGGTGGGGTGTGGGAGAGGGGGCCAGGGAGGATGTGGGAGGAAAAAGGCATGATGGATGGGCGTGCACATGGCTAAGGAACTGGGTTGGGAGGATCCTCCTCCATCCATCATGACCTGTTCCGTCGAACACCCTCCACATCCACACACCTCGCCCCTACCGCATCCTCCTTCCCTGCCTCGTTCGGCTCGACCACCTCGGCTCCCTGGTACCAGGAGCTCGTCGAATTGTTTGTCAGCCTCATTCAACACATTGAGTATTCTTCTTTTCCCTGCCCCTCCCCGCCCTCCTCCCTCCCTCCCTCCTCTTTACTCCCCCTCAGGAGGAGCTCCGGCTGTACAACCCCATGCTGCTGGGCGCCCCCGCCCTGGTGGTGGTGAACAAGCTGGACCGCTGCAGCGACCCGCGGGTCGCCCTGCGCGCCCTCATGGCCGCCACGCACCTGCCCATCCTGCCCGTCTCGGCGGCGCATGGTGTGGGGCTGGTGCGTCTGAAGGAGGCGTTGAGGGCCGTTGTGGGGGCGGCAGGGGCAGGGACGGCACCAGCGGCAGGGGCAGCGGCGGGGACGGCACCAGCGGCAGTGGATCAACAGCAGCAGCGGCAGCAGAGGGCGGCGGCAACAGCGGTGCAGCCATCGATGAGGTCGAAGCCGCAGCAGCAGCGGTAGCATGCGGTATTGCTGTGTGAGCAGCAGTGGCTGCAGTGGCTGCTGATGCTGGGCGGCAGATGCACCAGGGGTGGGGGTTGTAGGTGGCACAAGCGGTAGGGTGAATTTGCAGCGCCATTCGCAGGCCCCTCGTACAGAAGTTTGAACCTCCATCATAGGCCCGGGTTACTGTGTAAGCCGCCTCCCAAGGGTGGCATTTGTGTTTGGCAGGGCACTGGGCCATGATGAAGGCTACAGCATGGAAATGTCCTGCTGCAGCTGTACGACATGTGGTTACGGGTCGAACTCAACAAGGGCTCGCGGGGAGCAAGGTTACGCTTAAGGGTGTGCTCCTTCGGGGTAGGCTCTGCACGTGGTGGTTTATGACCAGGCCTCGCGCGGTACATGCCGGTTAGGAATGTGGTGGTACATGACTGGGGCCACTTAGCTGTGCACGTATGCAGGACATAGCCCCTCTTTCCAGCAAGCAATCTATTTGCGGTAGTCGTTGGCTAAATTCCAGTGGAAACAGGCTAGGTGTTGGGATGGATGGGTTCGGGTTGACAGAATAGATTTGGCAGCAACGCAGGACAGCGAATGTTATTCAGCCATTGTTTGCTAATGCTTGTGTTGCAAACGTCTAGCTACAGACTGGCGAGCGATGCTTATTGCTGGTGCTGCGGGAGTTGTGTACGACGTCCTGCTGTGCTGTGCTGTGCTAGGGCCTACCTCAGCTTCGCAAGGACGCAGCTTCGTGAGCCAGTATATTGGTTAAGCAATAACCCAAAAGTTTGCAACGGTGCCGGCATGGTAGCTTCTGAGGGTAGCATTAAACGAAAGACCGTAATTCGCTACTCGAAGTGCGACCTTAAGCACAATATAGCAGACAAGCCATTCTTAAGACCATTTTCAGCAAGTCTATACCTGACTTCAGCAAATTGAGCGTTGCTACCAATTTGGCACCATCTGGTCCTGGAGCCCCTAATTGCTTAGAAAACTCCTACTGTTAAGTAAATTGTAGAGCTGAACTCACTAGCGGGACACCGGCCGCCGCTGCGCGATGCACTCCGCAGCGGCGCGCCGTCACATGCACATGGTGTTGCACCGAGCCAACACAACCGGCGCCCAGCAGTGCGGCTAAAACCCCTATTGAGAACGTCCTCTGATGCTGCTACGGTAGACAGGGGCCGTCTCGCCCCCGTTCAGGCGAGGACCTCCTCACCGGCACCTGTCCGCGACCTATGGGGTAAGCAGCAAGCATGACCAAGGAACAGACCACATATCGTGCGACCCTCAGCTGCACCTTACCGGCCCCGTGTGGCTGCTCCCCCTGTCCCATGCTTCTGCCTGCTTCCCCCTCATCTTCCACACCTGCCCATGCCCTCCTATGTCGCTACACACAAATAAAATGGTCCACGCATCCACGTGCCCATGTGCCGTACCCGCCTGCCCCACTGTGCCGTGCAGCTTACGACGGCAGCAGCGTGGCTGAGATTCAGCTTGACAGCTTCAAGCTCTTCCACCGACTGAGCTTCGGGCACCGGAACCCCCGGTCGTACGTGGTGGTGCTGTACGACCCGGCCAGCCCGGCCTGCAGGGCGCTGGAGTTCCAGGTGACACGTAGCGGCTGGGGCGGCTGGAGGGCTTAGGACTGGGTGCTTGGGCACTAGCGGGTGCTAGAGTAGGGGCTACAAGCGATGGTTCAGGGTTCAGAGCCTAAACATCTTGAGCCTACCCTCTGACCGCACATTGTGAAGCGCCCTGCAATGTGCCAGTATCCCGCTTCACATAACACACCGCAACCCATCGCCATCCACCCACCCACCCACCCACAGATTGAGCGCCTAGCTGCGGGCCTGCGCCACAACCCCGCCGTCTCGGTGGCCAAGCTCAACGCCGCGCAGCCACCGGTGCGGTCCTTCCTCGCAGCTGCCTTCAACGGCTTCGGCGGGGGGCCGTACGACGGCAGCAGCGTCAGCAGCAACCTGCCTGTCGTACTGCTTTACCCGGAGGCTACCACTGGCTACGTGCGGTTAAAAGGTGAGGGGGGAGTTCAGGAGCGGGAGGGAGGTGGGGCCAGGAGCTGAAGGCAGGGTTGGAGCACGGGAACGATGTGAGTTAATGGAGTGAGCAAGGGAGAAGGATGGGGGAACAGTGTAGGTAGGGAGGGAGCGCTTGGGGGTCTGGGCTGTCAATTACGGGCAGCGCAATGGGAGGCGCGTGGAGGGCAGAGTGGGCAGCCTCTTGGACGCGAGACGGCACAAGAGGAGAAGGAGGAGGAAAGCACCGTTACGTCTCGCATGGTGGCCTCCCGCTGCCACTTACGCTCAGCCCCCGCTTGTGTCCCCGGTCGCCTCCTCCAACCGCACGCCCTCTCATCCTTCGCCCTCGCCGACCCTCAGCCCGCAGCCCAACCGCTGAGGACATCCTGCATGGAATCAACAAGCTGTACGGCAAACTACTTCCCAACCGCCAACCGTTGGAGCTGAAAAACGTAACGGACATGCAGCTGGCAGAGATGATGTACGGCGGTGCTGACGACGGTGACGCTGAGGTGGGCAGTAGTACGGCAACGGCGTCGTCGTCGGCGGCGGCAGGACTAGCGCGGCAGCGGCGTCGGGAGGAGCTGCGGCGGCTGATGGAGGAGGTGGCGGCGGCGCGGGAGGAGGCGGCGAAGAAGGCAGCGGAGGCAGAGGTGGAGGCGGCAGGAGCGGCTGCGGAGGCCGCTGCTGCTGCCAAGTTGGATTCGAGCAGCACGGTAGCGGGACAGCAGCAGGGGAAGGGGAACAGCAGGAGCGGAAGTAGGACGGCGGCGGTGGCTGCTGCTGCGGCGGCACCAACCCCACCCGGCCGGTACTGGGGCCCGGACAAGGCGGTGCTGTGGGGCTTGGTGGCGGGCCTCAGGTGGGGTCCGATCCCGGGGTTGGAGGGGAAACCTTTTTTGTGTGCTTGGTGAGCCATGCGTCACATTCGTCCCCCTTGTGTGTTATCTGGGTTGTTGCGCCATTATGCCATGCAAGTGTTGCAAGTGTTGCCAATCGTGTGTCTCCTGAGCCCGTGGAACTGTGGCAACCTACTTTCTGCGTGTGTCCCTTCACCGGCTATCTGATATAACCCCTGGGGGTGCCTTATCACACGGACTGAGTTCCTCCATGGCCGTATCACTCCCCACCCCACAGTGCTCTGGCTTTTGCATGGGACGTGTGGCTGGCAGATGCATGGGACCGCTGGCAGCTGCAACGCCGCCAACGCAAACGCGCGCGGGGAGTCAAGTACGACAAGCAGCAAGACATGGAAGATCTGGGCATCATGGTGTACGACAGTTTGTTGGATACGACAGCTAAACAGGATGCCGTACTTGGGGCCATGGTTGAGGAGGCTGCTGCTGTTGCTGCGGAGGGGGAGGGAAGGCAGGAAGAGGGGCAGGGGAAGGAGCAGGACGAGAAGGCGGGAGAGCAGTGGATCGATGTGGAAGGCCGGGTGACAGAGGCGGTGAAAAATAAATGAGAAGTGGAGCAACTGCAGGGGTGGGAAGGGCGAGGGAAAGATTGTGTAGGAGATGAAGGCCTTTGAAAGAAGTTGTTAGGAGCTTAAAGGAGTTGACAGGTAGGGGATGATGAAAAGATCTTTCGAGCGTGGTGAGGTGGGTGCAGGGCTGTGTAAGGGCATAGGAGGAGCGGGGGATGAACGGCTAGCCCTTGGGGGAGGAGCCTAGACCGGCCAGCCCTTGAAGCAACGTAGCTTTAGATGGCATACCGTAACCAAAGGATCTTGTCCGAATGCAGGTGTGTGACCCACTGCCGTTACCACAATCTGCCTTAAAACCCTTGCCACGTTTCCTACATATAACCCATTCAACATGTAAAGATTAGGATAGGCTAGCAAAAAATTGAACTGGTTAACGCCATGCTGTACGCCATGCAGCAACATCACCAGTTCTGTTCTCGACCAATGCCACAGCAGCTGGCACGACCTAAATTTAACTAAGAAATGTTGATGGGCACTATGGTGGGGCGCTGGCGACAACACTTCATGTACTTGTCTCTTCTTAGTCGGGGACCGGCACGCATGGCCTAAAGCGACACTTCGTTTCGATTGGCAACTATGTACGAAGGTGGTAATACGCAAAGCCTTCTAGTGAACTTCTGCTATACAACTGGGTAGCTGCGGCCTAGACGGCCTATACGAAATGACCGACTGGCGCAGCCTACGAGAACTTGTACTGCCGCAGGACCAATGTATTTATGTTGCGGCACCCCACAAGTCATAATGTAAAGCAGCATGTGTTGAGCTATTTGTCGCCTTGTGAGCATCATTTTACTTCGCGACAACAAAAGGCGATTTCCTTGCAAGCTTAGCTTCTCAAGGTGCACGGGCTACCAGCTTCAACTTCAAGACGAGAAATACTGCAAGCTTAAGAATAGGAATGAAGCAGAAAGCGCTCATAATTGGGTTGCTTCTGGCCTTTGCAACATGTTGCGCAGCAGGAGGTGGGTAGTACAGGTCGTAGTCGTCAATGCTCTTTATCCGCAAGTATTGACAGATAAAACCAGATGTCGGTTTCGTACACTGATTTGCTTATGAGTGGGCAACGCTCTGTTGACCACTCCCCGCTCGCGCATCGATCGACGGTTAGGAGAATCTGCATCCTTCTCACCATCATACCTGCGTCAGTACCCGAACACGTCTAGTTAGAGTTCAAATTATCCTATTCCTGAATATATCGCAGTTGAGGTTGAGCGTAAGGGCTCTAAGAACGGCAAGTCTCCCAAGGTCGCGGAGCCCCCCAAGCCGCCCAAGAGTCCTGAGCACCCGGAGGAGGCTGACGACGATGATGAGAGGCCCCGCCCGCCCACGTACCTGCTGCCTCCCCGCCCCAAGGAGAGCCCCAAGCCGCAGGAGAAGGGCGAGAAGAAGGGCCGCAAACTGAGTAAGTAGGGAGTGGGGTAACGGAGGAGAGTGTGGCATGTGGTTTCGCAGATGAATTTCAGGGCTTGCATGCATGGCTCGAGGGCTGCACCGGGTTTGTGTGAACCGGCATTCACGCACTGCAGCACCTTCGCAACGTGCCCTCTTCACGGCGTTTTACTCCCCACCCTGCAGGCGAGGGCAAGGGCCCTAAGAACGGCAAGTCTCCCAAGGTCGCGGAGCCCCCCAAGCCGCCCAAGAGTCCTGAGCACCCGGAGGAGGCTGACGACGATGATGAGAGGCCCCGCCCGCCCACGTACCTGCTGCCTCCCCGCCCCAAGGAGAGCCCCAAGCCGCAGGAGAAGGGCGAGAAGAAGGGCCGCAAACTGAGTAAGTAGGGAGTGGGGTAACGGAGGAGAGTGTGGCATGTGGTTTCGCGAATGAATTTCAGGGCTTGCATGCATGGCTCGAGGGCTGCACCGGGTTTGTGTGAACCGGCAAACACGCACTGCAGCACCTTCGCAACGTGCCCTCTTCACGGCGTTTTACTCCCCACCCTGCAGGCGAGGGCAAGGGCCCTAAGAACGGCAAGTCTCCCAAGGTCGCGGAGCCCCCCAAGCCGCCCAAGAGTCCTGAGCACCCGGAGGAGGCTGACGACGATGATGAGAGGCCCCGCCCGCCCACGTACCTGCTGCCTCCCCGCCCCAAGGAGAGCCCCAAGCCGCAGGAGAAGGGCGAGAAGAAGGGCCGCAAACTGAGTAAGTAGGGAGTGGGGTAACGGAGGAGAGTGTGGCATGTGGTTTCGCGAATGAATTTCAGGGCTTGCATGCATGGCTCGAGGGCTGCACCGGGTTTGTGTGAACCGGCAAACACGCACTGCAGCACCTTCGCAATGTGCCCTCTTCACGGCGTTTTACTCCCAACCCTGCAGGCGAGGGCAAGGGCCCTAAGAACGGCAAGTCTCCCAAGGTCGCGGAGCCCCCCAAGCCGCCCAAGAGTCCTGAGCACCCGGAGGAGGCTGACGACGATGATGAGAGGCCCCGCCCGCCCACGTACCTGCTGCCTCCCCGCCCCAAGGAGAGCCCCAAGCCGCAGGAGAAGGGCGAGAAGAAGGGCCGCAAACTGAGTAAGTAGGGAGTGGGGTAACGGAGGAGAGTGTGGCATGTGGTTTCGCGAATGAATTTCAGGGCTTGCATGCATGGCTCGAGGGCTGCACCGGGTTTGTGTGAACCGGCATTCACGCACTGCAGCACCTTCGCAATGTGCCCTCTTCACGGCGTTTTACTCCCAACCCTGCAGGCGAGGGCAAGGGCCCTAAGAACGGCAAGTCTCCCAAGATCGCGGAGCCCCCCAAGCCGCCCAAGAGTCCTGAGCACCCGGAGGAGGCTGACGACGATGATGAGAGGCCCCGCCCGCCCACGTACCTGCTGCCTCCCCGCCCCAAGGAGAGCCCCAAGCCGCAGGAGAAGGGCGAGAAGAAGGGCCGCAAACTGAGTAAGTAGGGAGTGGGGTAACGGAGGAGAGTGTGGCATGTGGTTTCGCGAATGAATTTCAGGGCTTGCATGCATGGCTCGAGGGCTGCACCGGGTTTGTGTGAACCGGCATTCACGCACTGCAGCACCTTCGCAACGTGCCCTCTTCACGGCGTTTTACTCCCCACCCTGCAGGCGAGGGCAAGGGCCCTAAGAACGGCAAGTCTCCCAAGGTCGCGGAGCCCCCCAAGCCGCCCAAGAGTCCTGAGCACCCGGAGGAGGCTGACGACGATGATGAGAGCCCCCGCCCGCCCACGTACCTGCTGCCTCCCCGCCCCAAGGAGAGCCCCAAGCCGCAGGAGAAGGGCGAGAAGAAGGGCCGCAAACTGAGTAAGTAGGGAGTGGGGTAACGGAGGAGAGTGTGGCATGTGGTTTCGCGAATGAATTTCAGGGCTTGCATGCATGGCTCGAGGGCTGCACCGGGTTTGTGTGAACCGGCATTCACGCACTGCAGCACCTTCGCAATGTGCCCTCTTCACGGCGTTTTACTCCCAACCCTGCAGGCGAGGGCAAGGGCCCTAAGAACGGCAAGTCTCCCAAGATCGCGGAGCCCCCCAAGCCGCCCAAGAGTCCTGAGCACCCGGAGGAGGCTGACGACGATGATGAGAGGCCCCGCCCGCCCACGTACCTGCTGCCTCCCCGCCCTAAGGAGAGCCCCAAGCCGCAGGAGAAGGGCGAGAAGAAGGGCCGCAAACTGAGTAAGTAGGGAGTGGGGTAACGGAGGAGAGTGTGGCATGTGGTTTCGCGAATGAATTTCAGGGCTTGCATGCATGGCTCGAGGGCTGCACCGGGTTTGTGTGAACCGGCAAACACGCACTGCAGCACCTTCGCAACGTGCCCTCTTCACGGCGTTTTACTCCCCACCCTGCAGGCGAGGGCAAGGGCCCTAAGAACGGCGGCAAGTCTCCCAAGGTCGCGGAGCCCCCCAAGCCGCCCAAGAGTCCTGAGCACCCGGAGAAGGCTGACGACGATGATGAGAGGCCCCGCCCGCCCACGTACCTGCTGCCTCCCCGCCCCAAGGAGAGCCCCAAGCCGCAGGAGAAGGGCGAGAAGAAGGGCCGCAAACTGAGTAAGTAGGGAGTGGGGTAACGGAGGAGAGTGTGGCATGTGGTTTCGCGAATGAATTTCAGGGCTTGCATGCATGGCTCGAGGGCTGCACCGGATTTGTGTGAACCGGCATTCACGCACTGCAGCACCTTCGCAATGTGCCCTCTTCACGGCGTTTTACTCCCAACCCTGCAGGCGAGGGCAAGGGCCCTAAGAACGGCGGCAAGTCTCCCAAGGTCGCGGAGCCCCCCAAGCCGCCCAAGAGTCCTGAGCACCACGAGGAGGATGACGACGATGATGAGAGGCCCCGCCCACCCACGTACCTGCTGCCTCCCCGCCCCAAGGAGAGCCCCAAGCCGCAGGAGAAGGGCGAGAAGAAGGGCCGCAAACTGAGTGAGTAGCCTAAGGGAGGGCCTCTTCTACGGGTCGCCTTGGATTCTTGGGGCAGGCTAGTGCAACGCACATGTGCCAGGAATCCCCAGTCTTTTGCACCCCGCTAACCGCTTTCCCGTCTTTTCACTGCATGCAGTGAACGCCTAGGTAGAGTCAACGCTAAGGAGCCTAACGTTATGAGCCATGAACGTAACCGGAGTGTTACAAGAAGCGGGAGAAATCCCGACTGATCGTTCCGTACGTACGTCGATACATTTACCGTAGGGCTGCTGTGGCCGTTATGTTTCACCAACCTGACTCCTTGTCGGGTCCTGTTGGGCGTGCGGTGGCTTACATATTCTTACATGCTTGCATGTCAGCAGTGCGACGGTTTAATAATCGTTAATGGTTGTTACGTAAATAACCTGTCCATAAATTCGACTGAAACCAGGTTTTAGTGTATGTGCGATCCCGGATGGCGTGCGGAATAGTGGCAGGAATAGTGAGTAGACAGGCCCAGACTGTATCCGATATGCATGGTGCGCGCAGTGCTGCATTTGCGTTTGGCACGCATACGTGAGTGAATGGCAATTATTTGTCGAAGCATGTTATCGGTTTCAGCATATAGGCGTTAAATAGGTTCAATATTTCCTGCACGGGTTGCTTATTGTTGGACGTACGACTGTCCCGCTGTGCAGTCTTCATCACAGCGCCCTTGTTGCCCGTTGCGATCCTAGTTAGGCAGCCTTGCAGTGCTAGGCCGTGAACCTTTTTTCTCCCAGCCGGGCCACCGCAAGATGTTCCTCGGCGGTGTGGCGTTTCGTAGCTCAGCAGCTACCAGGACCCGAAGGCGCCTGTGGCACCGTGCTTGCCAACATTGTAACAGATCATTACGGTCATTCATTCGGCCAGACCTAGTGGCGAGACGGGGTGCCGCCGGCAGTGTAGTAGATGTGTGAGCTGGTAGGATTCGGAGAATCAGGCGGTGGAATGCATGTATGCCTTCCATGGTGACAACCGCACTCCTCTCCCGCCTGAGTTGTCAGCTCCCCACAAGCGAGCCTGACAACGTCATATTGAAACCATTCGGAGGACTGGGTAGTTGGCAGTAGCAGCCCAAGGTAGAAATGGAAGGAGCCCCTTGCTCCTCGTCTGCGGCATCGCCCATACTGCCAGACTCATCCCCACCGGCGATGTCCTCCTTGACCGGGCGGGTCGGGTTACCTCAAGCCCCAACTTGTGTATCTCAAGCGGTATGGTAGGGTCTATTGTTCCGCCGTTTGGGATCCAGTTTTCTCGGTAATACACCATGAGCGCTTAAGCGGGGGTGTACGGCGTACGGCGGTGATGACAGTTGTGACAGAGAGCAGGGTTCCAGCGGCAATTGAAACGTGTCGAGCCTAGCTCCATTGAGCTGATACTCGGCACTACCAACCTACAGTAGTGGTAGGTATTACTCAGCCTCTTTTGGGTGCCAAGCTTGTTTGTAACTGAAAGCGTCTTCGACGGAAAGTTCGGCGGGAAAGACCGGTGCTCCACCGTGCTATTCACCCTGCCTATAAGTGGCGTTTGTAGGCTATTGATACATATAGGTTTAGGCAGATTGCTGTCGTTACAACCATGAGTGGGAAACTATTTGCGCCTCGATCAGTGCGGCCTTGCCCGGCAACAAGGACTCAGGCTACGCACAGTAACCATGCTGGATATATTGTTATAGATATGGCTCGTAAATGCGCTGTCTCTACGATTCTTTCTGCATGTGAGTCCTGGGTCGAAAAGTCCATGTGAATGCCCTACTTAGCTCTGAGTCAAGGTTGATACGGCCGCAAGACCGAGCTGCAAACGTAAAACGTTTTACTCAACTTGTTACAGGCTTGCTTTCCGGCCCGTTGGTGGAACCTTCACCCAGCCTTGCCATGGGTCAGGTGAGGTATCAGATTCTTATGGGGCTCAATCTTATCACGCTGCCTTAGTAATGCAGCAATGATGCGCCCAAATTTGTATATGTTGTAAGGGTACCCATCCTCATAGCGAGGGCACCGTACTCCCGGGCCCCATAATCCCGCTACTGCACGACCTTCACAATACAACCTTACCAACCCTTCTACCGTCCTTCTCCCGCCCCTGCTTAGACTCAGCCAGCAACACGTCAACTGGTGCTGCCTCCCCTGTCCAGCTCTTCCGCCCCTTCCTCTTCCCTCCTCCTTGCCACCACCACCACCACCACCTTCCCCCCACTGGCCACCATGGGCCCTACGGCAGCAGCCACGGCAGCTGCACCCACCACGACTGGGGCCGCTCCCCCCGCATCCGCACCCGCACCCGCACCTGCGGCCCTCTCAACGGTAACGGCTGCTGACGTGGCGATTGAGGCGGTGGAGGAGGCGGTGATGGAGATGCAGCAGGCGGCATCCGGTGCACTTCACTTCTTCGAACGCGGGTTTCATGCCGTGGAGTCTTCCGTACACCATCTGCAGGTGTGTGTGCAGCATGCTGACGGGGCTGATTTGTTGGAGCCTTGGGGTACGGCAAGCAGCGACATGTAATGCCGTTGCAAATGGGCCACGAATGAATCTGACCCGAAGGCTGAGTCATACCAGTAAGCCCGGTTTAAAGACAGTTATACAAGTACATGGCAAATGGATCTGGATCTGAGAGGGCTTACTGTGGTTGAGGTGCCGGTGGCTCCAACTGCCGCAGGATAACGGAAACAAAGCTTCCCTCCCATGCTCCTTCCCTTTCCCTCCGCTCCTCCCGGCCCCTGTCCTCACTGTCCATGCTAACCGCCGGGTGCTTCCATCCTCTTCTCCCCTCCCCGCCCCTATCTCCCCCCCACCCCCTCAGTTGCTCCATGCGCTCGAGCGGCTGCAGGACATGCCGCTAGGGGAGGTGAGGCGCGGGGGTGGTGGGTGGGTGGGCCACCCGTGCGATGTGCCCCTGGGCCGCCCGTGTCGCCCCTCGCTCCTGCCTAAGCCTTCGGTTTGCACCCCCCTTGCCAGCCCACTGCCTGACCCCCAACCACCCCTCCATGCATGTATGCCCCCCTCCACAGGTGGTGGACCTGGGCCAGTTGAAGGCCGCACTGCACCCGCCTGCTGCCCCTGCTGCTGCCCCTGCTGCTGCTGCCCCTGCTGCTGCTGCCCCTGCTGCTGCTGCCCCTGCTGCTGCTGCCCCTGCTGGCGACAGCCCTGACGCGGGGCCCGCCCCAACTGCAGCCGGCGGCTCGGATGAGCAGCAGCAGCAGCAGCCGCAAGAGGAGCCAGCCAGCAACCCAGAGCTACAGCAGCAGCAGCAGCGTGTGGCCGCTGCGGTGGCGGAGGTGCATGCCGCGCTGGAGGGTGTGGCGGGGTGGCGGCTGGGGCAGGTGGTGGATGTGGGCAGGCTGGCGGATGCGCTGCAGGTGGGGGGGTGGAGGGGGGGAGGATGGACGAGAGGGAGGATGGGTGGGTGGGTACAGAGATGGCGTGTATAGGTTGGAGATTGGAGAGCAGAGGGGGGAAGCAAGGGAGAGGAGAAGGGAGGGGGAGCGCGCGGCGTGTGGAGGTGGAGGTGGTGGAGCAGAGGGGAGAAGTAGCCGGTTGTGGGAGGGGTAGCGGGCGTGGCGCGGAGGAGGTGCGGAGGAGGAGGGCAGCACATGCACACTACTGCAGGCGGCTGCCGCAGGAGGGGCGGATGATCGAGCTTCTGTGTCCTAACCTGTGGTTCCATGGTTTGCTATATTCTTTGACCCGCATCCCGCCTCCGCCCCCTGCCCCCAGGACGTGCCGCCCCCCTCCGACCCGCTGGCCCCCCGCGCGCTGCTGCGAGTGGCGCCCGCCATCCGGCACCGGGTGCACTGGGGGCAGCTGGCGGGGGCGGTGAAACACCAGGTGGGGGGGAAGGGGGCAGGGGTGGAGGGGGGTCGGGGTAAAAACAAGGAGCGCTCCGAGGGGGGGGGCGTGGAGGGAGAAGTATGAGACACATCCTCACGGGATTCTGGACACGGCATGTCAGCAAGCCTCTGCTCTGCCGCATGCACCTTCACGTTACTAATGCACCATGGCACCCCCTCGCGGCGCGCCGGTCGCAGCCCATCACCGGTGGCAGTAAAACCACTGATAGTGTTGATGCCGCTGCCCCGTTGATGCCGCCCGCCTACCCGCCCACCCACCTGCCCACCCTAGAATAATGTCTCCGAATGCGCCAACTGCATCAGTCGGGATTTGGGATTGGGACTCCGTTGCTGCTCTTACCTTTTGTCTCTACCCACCCACCCGCAGGCGCTGCGGCAAGCGCTGCTGGATCTGGCGGCTAGCAGCGGGGAGGAGGACAGGTGGGGGAGAAGGCCTATGTGTGTTGGGGAGGGGGAGGGGGAGAGAACAGGCGGGAAAAGAAGAATACCCAGTGTGTCCAATCCAACCAACCCTCGGAACCCTTTGCGTCCCTTTGCGCCCGCGCCACTCCCCCCAACAGCCCTTTTGCTGGGCTGGATGTACGAGCTGCCGTATCAGCGGTACGGATGGACGTCGTACGGCAGGTGCTGCGGCCGCCCTCAGCACCGGTGTCGTATGGGGATGGGGATGAGCGGCGGGGCGGCCCCAAGTCGCTGGAGGGAAGTGGCTTGTGGACGTGGGAGGTGTGAGGCGGCTGAGAGGAGGGGAAAGCGTGCGGAGGGGGCTGCAGGGGCGTGGGGCCTGGCTGTGTGGAGAGGGGTCCTAGCTGGGGCATGGGGGAATGGAGTGCGGGTAAGGGGCGTCCTTCACCACGTGCGACAGTGTGAGGCAGCTGGAAGTGTGAGAGGGGTGAGACGCGCTGCGAAGGCGAGGTACATGCAGTGCATCAGCCTGGGGGCAGCCGGGGGTTGGGACGGGAGGGGTGGAGGGGGGCGGGGGCTCTCTGGGCTCACTCCGCCGCCAGCACCAGCAGCAGCAGCATGTGTGGGTACATCAGGGGTGATTTGCTGCATAGCTCCATTTGCATGCGCGCGTGTGTTAAGGAAACTGTCGTGTATGTACGACGTGTGTATTTGCTTGGGATTTCCCCCAACTGATTCGCGTGCCATGGGAGAGCCTGGGATAGACGCGCACTTCTCTCTGTGAACATGGATAGGATTACAAACTGACTTGCGGAGAGCAGTTGGTTAGTTCCAGTTAGGCTGCCGTATCATTCATGCATTCCTGTCACTGTGGATCCTGTTAGACACACCAACTGTGTTGTTCGAGCTACGTTCGGTCGTGAGGCTCCTACGGATACCGTACAAAGCCCGTTCTGTGTGTATCCTGCGTTCCCGTATCCTCCCGTAACGGCACGACATTGCTGCCACACTTTCAAAGCCAGCTGCAGATACAGCCATGAAGCACAACACCTGCCTGTGTCAAGTTGCCATCGACATGTGCTGGCTTTCCTTTCGTAGTCGAGGAAGTCCTGACGAGACGACATGATAGCAGCCTTGCGTACGACCTCGACTGCTTCTACCCTGGGAAGGCAAGGGCTCAGCTTTCGACAGGATGAATTAAAACTACTTTGCACTGTCCCTGGTAACTGCGAAGGGTGGTTCCAATAACACTTCCAAACACGCCATGTAGGTCCAAGGGAAGACTCCTAGTCGCACAGACCTCTGCCAAACTTAGTCGATTAGGTAACGTCACATCACACAAGGGCCCCCAAGCAATGTGCATCAGGAAGCGAACACGCGCCAGCTGTTGGAGCTGAGTACTCGTCAGACCTTTCCATTCCTGCGTCGCCTGGATGTCACTGCCTTGACCAATATGGCAAGGTGCACCCCCACGCAGTCAGCTGCAACCCCCTCCATTCCTGTCCACTTGGTTCCTGTCTTCTCCTAGCACCACCACCGAACCAACAGACCCACCGATGTGCCCGGATGCACTCCAGCCATCAGCCAACAAGGCCAGCACAGTCTTCGGTGTCACGCACGAGTCAGCCTAGCTACTGAAACCTTGCAGTTCCAATTGCATGCCACTTCAAGTATGGCAAGCCACCTTCCAACCCACGCACCTCTTCCACGTGACACCAGCGTTAACGGTACCTTCATAACAAACCACAGGTCCAGGTCTCTATACATACACCATGTCCGTTGCGTCTTGCACAGGTGTCACACAAAAAAAGGTACACACGTCGTGTTGATACCCGCCACATGCTCCGGCTGGGAGATGCGAAGCCCGCACCCCCAACCCCCATGCATCCCGCCTACGTACCACAGCCCCTCTGCTTTTGCCAGTCATCCGGACCCATGGGTCCCTCCCTCCGTCCCTCCGTCCATCAGCCAGCCAGTCAGTCTCCCCCGCCTTCACCCTCACCTCACTCACCACCACACACCCCTCACCCCCCTGCTGGAGCCCCCACCCCCCATGTCAGTTCCATATCACTCCCCCTCACATGTTGTCCACACTGGGCACGTCGGGCGCCTCATCCAGCTCGTCCAGCTCCTCCGCCTGCCGGTCCAGCTCCGCCATGCGCTCCTGCCACTCCTCGGGACTCATGTCGGCCAGGTCCACCCCCGTGTCCATGGACACCTGGGGGGAGCAGGGGGGGGGGAGGAGGGAGGAGGAAGAGGGGTTATGCGCACACCTAGCTTGCAGCCACTCGCTCAACAAGGTCATCATCAAGGTGGCATGCGACGCGGCGAGCCCCAACCCCCCGCCACCACCACAGCCACCCCCCCTCCCCTCCGCAGCAGTCCATCAAGCCCATGCATGCTGTGTGCAGCGCCAAGCATACCTCGATGGGGTCAGGCATCAGGTAGGCCTCCTCTAGCGTGAGACCCGTGGGTCTGTCGGAGAGAAAAGGACGAAAAAGGAGGGGAAGTGTCTCAGTGTAGCGCGCATACGGGGTGCTTCGGTGTAACCGTCAATAATGGTAGCTGGAACCGGCGAAAGGTATCCGAAAAGAGGACAATCCCAGATGCAGCAGTCAAACAAAAGTGTCGATGTTAGCACGACAACTTGCCGCGTGTCCGCATGTTCCTGTTCCCAAGGTGGCCTCAGATTAGCATGGCAACGTTCTCAGCACTGGCAGCGTAGCAGGTTAACCGCCCTCGCCGTCTAAGCCAAGACACGCAATGAGAAGTTGTTGCTATCATCACCGGCCAGTAACCCCTCCTGAGTAAAGGTAAAGGAACACAAACCGGCGAAAGATGTCTACCCATTGTAATAGCCGCAGCCGCCGAACAAACCCAACATCAAAATGTGCGATAGTACGACGCCCTATTTCACTGCCGGACCTGATCCGGAGTACGGGCTCCAGGATGGGCGGCGTGCCCACTACTCGGACCTCGTTGTGAGATAGCGTGCAGCTCCTGGGGGTGGCGGGAAGGGAGGAAGGGGCCCGGCGTTGAGAGTGGGGTGAACGGGAGGCAAGGAAGTGCGGGTGGTGGTTACAGCTCGCGCCAGCACCACTGGGGTGAAGACTCGAATCGCATGCAACATCCTTCTTCATGCCGTACATGCCATCCCTAGTGCCGTACACGTCACATGTCGTACTCACTTTCCGTCAAACTGGAAGATCGCCTCCAGGTCCATGATGGGATCATCGAACCCGCCCGAGGGGGAGGGATGCACCCCGATGAAGTAGACCTTCCGAATCTGGTGCGGGTGCCGTGGGGGTGGCAGGGGCAGGGACAGGGACAGGGGCAGGCGAGGGTTAGGTGGAGGTCGGGAGGAGGAGGCCTTCAGAGGCCGGTGGTGGGTGAGCCCAGAGGTTAGAGGAGGAAGGGGACTGTGGCACGACCCGCGGGTCGCCAGCGGGCGGGCTGCACGCGACCGCCCACATGGAGTCAGCGGGAGGCTCCCAACGTCCCCAGTCCCCAACCCCTTCACTCCGCGCTCCTGCAGCTAACCCTCTCCCCTCCCCCCCCTTGCTTGCCTTCTGGGTGGACTCCTTGAATTTGAACAGGTCGCCGCCGATCTGCTCCGCCCAGGGTATGACCTGCGCCAGGCAAGCAGGCCGGCAGCGGGGCAGGATGAGTGCGTGACACACAGTCTGGTGGCATCAGCACCGCGAACCACCTCATATGCGGCCCGGCTGGAGGTACCCCCGCTGGAGGTACCCCCGGTTCGGCTGGAGGTACCCCCGCTCCCCCCGGCCCCCCGCTCCCTCCCTCGTCATACAGTTCGTCAGTGTCCCTTCCCTTTCCTATCCCCCCCCCGCTCCCACTCCCCCTACCTGGTAGTGCGCAGGCGCCGAGGGCACGGGTCCCACCAGCGTGGGCCGCGCGTACTGCATCTGCTCCCCCCCTGCTCCTCCGCTGCCCTTGGTCGCCACGTAGCTGTCCGCCAGTGCCAGCTGGCCGTCCGAGCTCTCAGCCACCAGCAGCTCCAGATCCCCGCCGTCCAGCTCGAACACCTGTTGGGGGAAGGAGGGGAAGGAAGGGGGAGGAAGCAGCAAGGCGTTATGGTGGCTGCGCGCGCGAGAAGCCGTGGTACGACGTGGGATCGGGGCGCTAAGGAGGCGCTAAGCTCCCCCGGAGGAGGTATACCTGGGAGCTACAGCTGCCGGGCAGCGTGTGTGCTGTCGGGTTGCATGTGTGGACACTGGACGCGGCCCGAGTGTGCGCGAGTGAGGTCCCCCATGCTCTGCCCTGCCCCATGCGAAATGCAATGACTAGGGCCGCAGTGCCGCAACGAAAGCAAAGAGCGAGGCAGGCCTCAGATTAGCATGGCAACGTTCTCAGCACTGGCAGCGTAGCGGGTTAACCGCCCTCACCGTCTAAGCCAAGACACGCAATGAGAAGTTGTTGCTATCATCACCGGCCGTACGAAGCCGTGCATGCGCACTTGCATGCATGCACCCACCAGGCGTGTATGTGCTCACATGAAGGGGTTCCCAGGCACGCATGCTTGCATGCCTCCTTTCCAATCCCTACCACGTCACGCAGCACCCAACCCCAGCTCCCACCCACCGGCCAACCGGCCAGAAGACTCTACCCGGGCCCACACTAGAAGGACAGCTCAGCGACTCCCCACTGCCCAACCCCAGCCAGCCAGGTTGGCGTCATGCCGCTACCCAATGCCTCCGGGGCACCAATGCCCGGGACCCACCTGAAAGCCCTGCCGGCCAATCACCAACGGTGCGGGCTCTGGAGGGGGAGGAGGGCGGAGACGGAAAGTGAGTGTGTGGTTCCGAATTCCCATGCGAAGGTGTGGTACAAAAGGTGCACATGGCGGAACTTGCCTCCAAAGGGGCCTCCAGCTACCCATAGCCATGGCCCCACGGCGCTCCTGTGTGCCTGCTTACCTTGGACAGCGAGACCCGACAAGCCTGCTTTCTCACGGGCTTCGCGCTCCTGCTTAGCGATCAACTCCTTTTCCCGAATTTCCTTTGCTTCCATGAGCAGTGCGAACTCCGTAAGGGTAATTAGCGTACTGGGGGGCTTCTTGGGCGGTCCAACTAGACTGCTGTCAGCTCCTTTGCTGGTGCTGGGAGCCGGTTGCGAGGGATCGGGGCGCTGGTCTCCACTCCGGTCAGCTGCCGCTGCATCTTCTAGTTGTCGAGATGTTGTCGCGGACGCGGCAGATTCGTCATCTACCGGTGCATAATCTGACACTTGAGGCTGCGTGCTCGTGGATTGGTCCGCATTAGAAGCAGATGATGCCTCGTCTCTGGTGGGGATGTTAGCCAGGGCAGCATCCCAGCCTGAGGGCGCTCCACCAGCGTCGATGCCAGAAGCATCTTCTGATCTTGATGTTCCGGACTTCTTGGTGCGTTTGGCTTGCACTACTACGTTGTTCCGAGCTACTTGTTGTGGCAATGCAACTACCGGCGGCGCTGCTAGCCGAGGCGAAAGGGAAAATGTGCAAGGTATATTCCTATTGAAAGGACAAGTGCGAGGGACTAAAGCGGAACCTAATTGCATGTTGCTTGCGTGATCAAGATAAAGACGTGGTTCGAAAGAGGCAAAGTGGCCAAGCGGGTAGCAAGCCGAAACAATCAGCCAAAATAAAGCAACCTATTAAGGAAATCGTTTGCCCCGTCTGTGTCTGAAAACAAGCAACCCGCAAGAGATTTCTCAGTTACGGTGAACGACAGCTCGCCCCGCTATGGGGATTCCTGGTCCCGAATGCCCAATTGCCCTTACAGTAATCTAGTTGTGTGCGAGACATAGCAATAGGAAAGTACTATAACACGGAAGCGTCTATAGTCTTCTAAGGTACAGTACTTCACGACAGCCGCGAACGTCTTCCCTTAGCGAGTTAGCAGTTCCGAGACCGCCAATTGTCGAATTTAAGCTAGAAAGGGACTTGTAATGCATCAGTCCCATGCGCGAGGCCACGGGCCTCGGCCCGCCGCCGCTTCGACGCATTCCCATTCCAGCTACCCCATTTCTATGCGCGGTCCCTTGCCGGTGAAGGCCTCCCGAGCAGCCTATAGCGGCTCTTCCAGCAAGTCCAGCAATAAAACGGATAACAGCAGGGGCCGTGACGCTCCACCTCGGGGTCAACCCAAGTCCACAAGACGGGCCCATGATAACGCCAACAAGGCTCCTCCCCGAGGCAGCGGCCGTGCCCCAACCAAGCCAAGCAAGCCGCTGATTAAGCCTGCTGCCAATGCTGATGTCGAGGATGATGATCTGGACTACGAAGGCGCGGAGGGCGACGACGGCTCCCCGCCCATTGATTTGGACGCGCTACTTGCAGATGAGAGCGCCGTACGACAGCTGCGATCCTCCCTGCTTTCCTCCTTGTCAGCACAGCATGCAGATGCAGCACGAGAGGAAGCGGACTTGCGTGAAGTCCCTTCACTAACGCCACAACAGCCATTACAGCCGGTCAATTCTTCCACCAATGCCATCCATGGCTCCGGAACCAAGAAGCTTTCATCTGCAGCTCCTGCTGCTGTTGACTCGAACGCTGTGACAGAAAGTCGCCAAAAGCCTGACAGCGACAGCGGCACCCGCAAAAGCAACACCCACAAGCCGCCGCCGCAGCAGCAAGAGGCCCCGCAACACCAACTTCCAATTGTCGTCCTTAAGAAGGATAAGGCCCGACTCTTCTCCTACGGCAACCCCATGGTGTACGGCGGTGCCGTGGACTGCGTCATCGGTCGGCCGCCCCCCGGCGCGGGTGACACGGTGGTGGTGGTGGACCACTCGCGGCGGCCGCTGGGCTGGGGCGTGTTCAACCCGCACTCCATGTTCCGCGTCAGGTGAGGGGGGGGGCGGGGAAGGGGCGGGAGGTGGGGGAAAAGAAGAATACACGACTATGTTGATGAGAATACCGGTAGCAAACAAGACGACAAGCGGTGGTGCGGGAGGGAGGGAAGCGGCGTGGCAGGAGGGGCGTATGCTTTGCAGCGGGGCTGTGGAAGGGGTGGTGGTCAGGGGCCGACGTGAGGTGTCCCTGCTTGTCCCCTTTGTACCGGTATGCAGGCTGGGCGCCCATTACTGGGGGCACCCGGTCTCACCTCCCCTAGCCACCATATGCGCTCACTGCAGCATTCGGAATGTGGGATGGAATGAGTCCGTTGCGTCACTTTGCAATTACCTTCCCCCCTTGCCACTTGCTGCCTTGCACGGAGTCACCTCCTCTCCTCTCCCGCGCTTCTGCCGCCGTCCCTACCCCTCCCTCCCCTCCTGCACTGGGCAGGCTGCTGCAGCTCCAGTCTGAGATGGAGGCAGCCGCTGAGGAGGAGGCGCATGCAACCGACGCTGCCGTACCATCCGCTGCCGCTACAGCTGCTGCCAGCGGTGCCGTACATGACCCGTACGACGTACCTTCCCTAGTGGACCGCCGTATACGCCAGGCGGTGGCGTTACGTCAGTCACTGGGACTGCCCAGCCAGCAAACCAATGTGTTCAGGTGGGGGTCGGGGGGAGAGTTGGGCGGGGTTCAGCTCCCGTCGCCCTCCCACCACAATACCGGAACCCCTTTCCTTCCTCTTTTGCACCCCTTTCCCCTAACCCCCTCTTCCCATCCCTCTTCCCATGCAAATACCAGTAACCCCACCCCCGCATCATGGTCACGGTCAGCGTTTCCTCGCAGCCCAGTTAACCTAACCCCCCTGCATCCCTCCCCCCGCAACCCCCCCACCCGCTCCCAGGCTGGTCAACAGCGAGGGAGACCGGCTGTCGGGGCTGGTGGTGGACGTGCTGGGGCGGGTGGCGGTGCTGCAGGCGGGGGCGGCGTGGGTCATGAGGTGGGTCAGGGGGCGGGAGACACAGGCCCGCGCCAGTGTTTCCGCGGCTCGGTTTATCTTATACCCGCTGCGCCCACTTGGCACCCCTCTTGGCACCCCTTCGGTTGCATGTGCTACGTATGTTCACTGCGTTCCCCTCGCCTCCCACCCCCCACCCCTCCTATCACCTTTGCTTTGCCCTACCTGTGGATTCTAATGGTATGGTATGGTATGGTCTTTGAACCCCCACGGCTACTCCCCACCTCCCCTCCCATCCTTCTTGTTTCATGCACCGGGTCCATAATCCCTACAGCTCTACCGGCACCCAGACTTGCCGTTCTGCCGTACAATCGTTTTTCTGCCGTACACATGCTCACTGCACTCGCACCACAGCCAAGCACATCGTATAACCGCTAGTGCTGTACCCTATTGTCGTACTCTGCCGTACACCGACGCCGCAGGTACCGCGCTGCCATCGAGTCCTCCCTGCTGTCCGCTTGCGCCGCCTGGGGTGTGAGCCAGCTGGTGTGGCGGCCGCAGTGGCGGGTGCTGCAGCAGGAGGGCCTTACGGAGGGCGGGGAGCAGGAGGGGCAACTTGCGAGGGCCGAGGACGGCAGCGAAGATGATGGAGCGGAGGCAGGGGAGGGTGGAGAGGAGGAGGAGCAGGAGAAGGAGGCGAGAAGGGGTGTCAGGGATGCCGCAGCCGGGGCGGCGGAGTGGGTGGAGGTGCGGGAGGCGGGGCTGAGGCTGCTGGCGAGTCCGCAGGTGCGGGGGGATGGAGGCGGGAGGGGGATGGGGGGCAAACGGGTGTGGGAGGGGTTGGAGACGGGATGGGATGGGATAGATGGGGCGGAGCAGAAGCGGAATTGGTAAGTGGGCCGAGTTCGAGGTATTGGGTGCATGGAAATGAGTGTTCGTCCCTTCCCCTCCCCTCCCCTCGCACATCCCAGGGCCAGAAGACGGGCTTCTACGCGGACCAGCGGGACAGCCGCGCCTTTCTGGCGGGGCTGGTGGCGGCACGGGGGGGGCAGGGGCAGGGGGGGAGGCAGGGCGGCGGGGTGTCGGTGTTGGACCTGTGCTGCTACAGCGGGGGCTTCGCACTGGCGGCGGCGGCAGCGGGGGCGAGCCGGGTTGTAGGTGGGTGGGGGGCGGGTAAGAGGGTTTAGAGGGTGGGTGGGTACAGGAGACGGGACAGGGACTGTGATGGCCGTGTGAACGGGGTGTGCCGTGCAGGTCTTTGCTGCCGTGCAGGGGAGGGGAGGGGAGGGGGAATGGTGGTAAGGTTAGTTCGGTTTGTACGACGCAGCGTCTGCTTTTTATCACTTTAGTGCTGCCATGCTCACCCCACCTTGGCCATCTCAGAGTGCATTGTACTGCAGTCCCTTGCCCCTCACCTCCTTCATTACCCCCGCCCCGCCCCGCCCCTCCACACGCAGGAGTGGATTCGTCCGAGGAGGCGATCTCGCTGGCAAACGCCAACGCCGCACTCAATGGCTTTTCGTCTTCTTCCGCGTCTTCGTCGTCGTCTTCACCAACCGCCGCGTCAACCGCCAGTCCAACCGTTTCGTTCGTACGAGCCGACATCAGCGATTACATGAAGGCGGCGATTGCGGAGGGACAGTCGTACGACATTGTGGTTTTGGATCCACCCAAGCTGGCGCCGGATCGCAATTCGCTGGGACGCGCAAAAGCCAAGTGCGTGCCCCTCCTCGCCCTGCGCCTTTCACCGCTTCCTCGCTCCCTCGCAACCCGCTTACCCGGCCTCCCACACTAGCCATCTCCGCCGCCCATGTACCACCGTATGAACTCAATTCCCCATTGCCTTGCTCGTTTCCTATGGTTTGATGCGGTCTTTACACCTCCCCCCCCCCCCGCCCCGCCCCAACCGTGTAGCACCCCTGAACGCATGCGTCTTCTCGCCCCTCCCCTCCTCCCCTCCCCCTCTCCGTTGATGCACTTATCTATGTTTTCCCCCTTCCCCCCCCCCAGGTATCTCCGCCTCAACTCCGCGGCCATGCGGCTGGTGCGGCCGGGGGGGCTGCTCATGACCTGCTCCTGCAGCGGAGCCATGACGCAGGTGGGGGACGGGGGGAGAAGATCAAATCATAGGAAACCATGAATTAGGGGGCAAAAACGGGGGAACGAGGCGGCAGGGTGCCACAAGAGGAAGATTGGGGGGGAAAGGGGTAAGGAGGAAAGAACTGATGAGCTGTATGACGAGGCTCCACCCTGGGGGGCGCGGGGGCGGGGAAGGTACGGTAGTGCACCCGACATTCGGTAAAGGCAACGACAGGCAGTGGCAGTGGCAGTGGCACACGTGGGGTTGCAAGCCTCCCTTGTCTTTGATGGGTTTCGCCGTCTTGGCCTCGTTGCTTTGCCCGGTTGTCTTGCAGTGGTTGCAATGCTTACCCTTTCTCAGCCTCTTTCCCTCTCCTCCTGCTCTCCCCTCCCCGCCCACTGCCCCGCCTCAGAGCGGGCAGTTCACGGAGGTCCTTCTGGAGGCAGCGAGACAGGTGGGGGCGGGTGGGGTGGGAGTGGGGATGTGTCAAAGCGTCAAACATAGACCGGGTCTTCACGGCTTCAGGCAATCGGCTGTTAGACCTTCCCTCCCCCCCCCTCCTCCCTGCCCAGGCTGGTCGCCAGGTGCGGGTGCTGCGGCACGCCGGCGCCTCCCCCGACCACCCGCTGCTGCCCGCCTATCCGGAGGGGGAGTACCTGACCAACATGACGCTGGCGGTGGTGTAGGCGCGAGCGGCGTGGGGCAGGGGAGGTGGTGTGGTGTGGTGGGGCGTGGTGTGGTGTGGTGTATAGGGGCGAGCGGTGGGAGGCGGGAGGTAGATGAACAAGGGGAGTAGGCAACAGCAAGTGGGGCGGAGCAGGGGCGGTTAGCCCCCGATGATTGCCGGCTTGCACAGAGGAGGAGTGTGTGGGGGTGGGGGAGGGGGGAGGGGGGAGTACAACCGCAACCCGCAATCAGCGTGTGGCGGGTGGGAGTACCGGCAGTAGATTGGCGGAGCGCAGGTTTCCGCATGGGGGCCTGGGTGAGGGCCTGGATGTGGGAAGGGAGGAGGGCTGCTGGGAGGGGGGACCCGCCGTCTTGGCGGGCGGGAGGAGGTGTGGGCGTGTGGCTGGGCGTGAGGTGTGGTGGTGAATAGTGCGGTTTGGGAGAAGCGGCATTCAGGAGGTGGGCTGGAGGCTGGGTTGTAAGGTGTTTGGGAGTGAGTATTTGAAGTGGAGAGCGCTGAGCGGGCGCCAATGTGCTTTGCAGGGACGCCCCATAACGAACCTATCCAGCTGCAATGCGCTGCAGTCGCTCTCCGTCCGGCGACGATCGCCTTTGCGACTGCCATGAGATCACCATAACACATACCGATATGTTAATCCCGATAGTAAAACTTCTAAAACACGTCTTCTGTATCTATCGCAGAAGGCCGGTACAAGGATGTCGGTTCCCACTGCTTTTCCAAGTGTCTCAGAATGGTGATTTTGGGTGTGCTAAGGTACGAACCCTTTGTCACACTGATTGCACACTTTCATCCGTGGCAAGTCCGTGACTGGGCAGGCCGCACAGTGCGGCATCAGGCCCACCGAAGTTCTCATGGCAGCACGAAATAATAGAGCTACATGCAAATTTAAATACACGTTCTGTGCTTGAAGGTAATGAAGAGCTGGGAGCCCACAGCTGGTCTTCTGCGGATCTGTGACGATTAGGATCCAAAGCGGTTGACGAGGTTGTCTGTGCACGGTGTTATGGGCCCCCCTTCACACCCCCATAGAAACTAGCTAGAACCTGATCATTTCTGCTTTACAGTGTAACACAGCTGACCTGCTCAAAGCCGTTACCTCCCGTATGGTACTGCTAATACTAGACGAGATTTGTTGCAAAGCACGCATCAGCTGGGCTAGCAGGACATTTTATTACTTCAACTGCGTCTCTTTTATTAGCGCTGTAAATACCGTCACGACCCACGGTAGGCACAACACCATGCCAAGACGGGCGATGCCGCGCCGCCCTTTTACGTTACCTCTTTGTCGATCTGCCTTTACGTATACCATTGTGCATACCATGCAGAATGTCGGAGCCCGCGGCGCCGATCGGCCACCTGCCCATTGACATCTGGGTTCAGGTTCATCGCAACCTAGACTACCAAGATGTGCTGGCCAGCATGAAGGTCTGCAAAGCTTTTCACGAAGCGCTACCAAATGCAGTCGAGGATATTAGGGTGGAGAAGGCGATCACGCAGGTAAGGCCGCTTGAAGGACCCGCTGCCCCCCCTCGTGCTGGATAGACCAGGATACGTATGCGGCGTAACGCAGTGGGGTGGCCTTACCGGCCAGCGGCTCAACCTCCGCTTTACTATAAAAAAGATACAAAATACACCTAACCAGGCACCGCCCTTGTTAATCCTGTCCTCTTTCAGGCAACACTGCAGTACCTATGCTGTACATTTCACAACCTCAAGAACCTCACGATACACCCCGAGTACGACGATCACAACCCCCGACTCGACTTTTCGAACCTGCACTTTCCCGTGCTGCAATCTCTGGAGGTAGCCAACACGCCGGTAACCACCCTGGTTTTCACCAGCAACAACACGCCCAAGGTCGGTTCGTTGAAAGTTGTGAGTTGGTTGAGTTGCCGGTGGTTAAGTAGCGAGGAAGCCAAGTACCGTTTGCTGGCTGGCTAGGTAGGCGTGTCTCACAAATGGCAACACGGCTGGCTGGCGCTTCAGGCCTTGGGTTGCGATATACCTCGGATACCGGTACCTAGCTTACCGACCTGCCGTACGTCCTTACACGTCCTTATACCTGCTGGTACACCTAAACCCTCGTTTCCTCCCTCCCTCTGCCCCCCTGCCGCTGTTGGCAACATGGGGTCCTGCGTATGGCACGCATGGATACTGTTTACTGTGCGTGTACGGCACAACGATACGCAACTGTACGACAACTGAACGGCACGCAGCTGCAACGCCTCTCTATCGAGCAGCAGGTGCGTGTGCGAGTGGGTGTGCGCATGTGCACGTGTGGGAAATTGTGTGAGTGGGGGGCTTCCATGCTTGGCCACGTGTATGGCGGTGTCGCTCTGGGGCTTTTGCACCGCAAGAACGTGGACCTGTGTATTGCCCGTGTTCGGCGTTTACTTACATGAGATGCAGTCAATGAAGCTTCGACAACGCTGTGTGGTGTTTTCTACCTGCTAAGGGCCACGCGCGGCTTAGCTACCGCGTCCGAAGACAAAGTAGCCGTGTTACCGATATCTCTTTTGGGAGCCACCCTAACCGTCACCCAGCATTACATTACATCCCCTCCCACCACCATCCTCACCCCTGTGCCTGCTCCCTCCCTCCGCCAGACCTCCCCTCTGCGTTCCTTCCGTCTGGACCTACCCGAGCTGGAGACCCTCTCCCTGGAGCACCTGACCGTCCACGACTGCTCCGACTTCGCACCCTCGCTGGCCGCCTGCCCCAAGCTGCGCACCTTTGTGTCGTACAAGTTCTGGGGCCCTGATGACGACGTGTACGACCTGCGCCTCCCGGAGTGCGAGGACCTGAGCCTGACCAGGTGCGGGAGGGAGGGAGGCTTGGATTTGGGGGGTGGGGTTGGAGTTGGGTGTGCGCATGTGCGTGTGTGTCTGGGAGGTAGGGGGTACAGATTCGGGGCCTAGGATTTGGGTTGGCGATCGGGATCTTTGCCAAATGCTGAACTGTCGAAAGGTTGTGAAGGAGTGGTGCAGCGCATTGGATGAGGAGGCGGCAGCTAGAGCAGCTAGGTGTCTGGAAGCATGTAAGGGAGGGGGCATGGGTGCCTTGTAGCAAATGACCCATGGGTCGTGCATGATAAATACGCACCTCTTTATTTCTCGGCACGGACGATTGTGCGAGTGCTAGTGCTAGGTCGCTTCTAATTGCGCTGCAAGTGCCAGCCCGTTTGTCTCTCTCTCACCCGCTGACCACCCAAAACACGCCATAAACCTCTCGCCCTCCCTCAACCTTTGCTGTCTTCCTCCCTGCTGTTTCGACACCCCCCCCCCCGACACCCGCAGGTGTGACGGCCTGGGCGGTCTGCGCCTGTGGGCCCCCAAGCTGACCTCGCTGGACCTGCAGGGCTGCTTCGGACTGCGCAAGCTGCAGCTGCTGGACGTCGACCCGCGCAGCCAGCAGCAGCAACCGCAGGAGCGACAAGAAGAGCGACAGCAGCAGGAGGAGCAACAGGCCGATAACACGAGCGCCGGTACGGCAGCCACTGCGGGTACCGAAGAAGCTGCGACGGCTGCTGCGGCTGCTGCTGCTGCTGCTGCTGGCAGCGCTGCTGGTGTCAAGGATGGTGAAGGCGGCGGCGGCGGAAACACTGGCGGAAGCGGCAGCAGCGGCGGCGGCGGCGCTCCTCTGGTTGTGAACCTGATCAACACCAATGTGAGTCGCCGTACCATTGCCCGCTTGCGTGCGCACCCGCGCGTGGGTCGGCGGCGGTTGTTCAGTCCCAACGATGACCCGGAGGCGGCCTTTGAGGCTATGCTGGGCGGCCTGGGGGGCGAGGACACGGACGGGAGTGGGTTTGGAGATAGCAGCGAGGAGGGCGATGAGGATATGGAGTATGAGGGCTTGGGAATGGGGGAGGATAGCGAGGATGACGAGGATGAGTGGGAGGATGAGGATGAGGAGTACGGTAGCAGCGATGAGGATGAGGGCGAGGAGGGAGTGGGGGGAGGTGGCGGGTTCATGGTGGATTTAGAGCAGCTGCTGATGGCGGCAGGTGCAGGGGGTGGTGGGCGTGGAGGTGGAGGTGGGGGTGGGGCGGAGGAGGCCCTGATGTGGTTGCTGGCTCAGCAGCTGCAGGGGCTGGGAGGAGGCGGAGGCGGGATGGGAGGGCCGATGGGTGATGCGTTTGGCATGATGGGGATGGGGATGGGGATGCCAATGGGCATTGGAGGAGGAGGGGCGGCGGGAGGTTTCAGGGGTGCTGGCGCCAGAGTGGTGATTGAAGAGGAGGGTAGCAGCGAGGAAGAGGGTGAAGAAGGGGAGGAGGAAAAGGAGGAGGAGAAGAAGTAGGGGCATTGATCAGGGGGATGGGAAGGGCGGCTGCTGCGCTGGAGGCGGGTACAGGTATGAGGTAGAGGTACGTCCTGGAAGGTACGGCAAGGCGGCATGATGAGGTACGGGCCGGTGTTAGGAAAGTCGAAAGGCGTTGGTATGTTGGAGGGTTGATTGCCGGACGAGGACAGATAAGGCCATGGCCTGTGCCACGCGACTCACATGGCCGTACACGGGATGTCGGTGTACCTGTTGCACATCGCTGTCGTGCGTTGATTGCGAGGGGCTGCTGTTTCTCGCACAGTAAGCAGAGCACCTGCCCAGCAGGTGTGCGCTGGGAGGTGACGTAGCATGCGCTATGCGGCTGTATGTCGTACAAATGCGCACTCAGACGGTTTTGGGGGACGGGGCTCAGGGTGTGTTGGCTTGTTTGGCGAGTTGACGGGAAGAGGAGGGAACCATGACCAGTTAGGGATGGTGTTGAGTGCGAGCATGCATGCATGCGGGGACAGACAGTTGCAGAGTGGATGAGCCGGGAGGGAATGGGCTACTACCTTTGCTAGGTTTTGGTTGTGGCTGCATGATCACTGGTAGGTCGAGTTGAAGTAGCTTGGTTTGACTTCGTGGACATCGTTACCCGTACTAACCTCCCAAATGCAATGTGCATGCAACGAGAAGCAATGACGTCGCGCTGGTTGTCTGAGTGCTGATGCTCGTGGAATCTCAGATTACATGACCCGGCGGATACTTGGCAAACGATTCACCGTTCCCTTGTCGTGCCGGTATCCGTCATATCGACATCCTCGTCTGTTGTAATGTCTGTTGCGTGACTGAACCCCACGGTGGCAATTCCCGGCCGTGAGCAGCACGCGCGGATTAGCATGAGTAACAAAGTACACGCCCTCCACCACCTCGCCAACAGCTCCTCACCCCAACCCAAAATGTCCTGGCTAATCGGGTCAGGTGGCGGTGGACGGTGCTGGCGGTAAGAGCCGTCATGAGGAAAAGAAAGTATTTGTGAGGCGCTCAGGGTGGCCAGTCGGGTTTCGCTTCGGTCAACAACCTTGACGATCTCATTCAACAGTCAACCAACACAGATCAAAATTGGGCAACGGCCTCCGCCAAAAGATGCATTCGGAGCTTTATAGCTTCTACACATAAAATACATAAGTCATCAGTGCTCGCTCGAAACCCATTGTAAGGTTTCCGGACGGTTGCCCTTTACGAGGGCACCGTTTGAAATCGCGCGCATACAAAACCGCTCGTATGTATAACTATACACCTCCCAGGACCGGCCGTCAATCGTTAATCAGCGCATGGATTGCGCGTTTCAGCGCCTGCTGTTCGTGTACGAAATACACTTTCATCCAGTTAAGGGTTCATCAATTCTTCCTTGTCAGCGCAATCTCACAATGTACAGCCAGCATGGCACCCGTGGAGCACTGAGCAGCAGTAACCTGCATGCATGCAAAGCAAGTCGTGATATAAGTCAGTAATCAGAGCTTGAAAGCCACTAAATCATTATTGGCCAGGATGCCCTCACTTTATCAGCAACCGCGCTGCAGCACGTCCTTTGTGCCTCCTTTCCCCTTAAGCCCGACCTACCTTGAGTGTCAGGTCCTGCACCTTCTTGGCCGTGGTGAAGTTGCCGCCAGTAACGGTAGCCCAGCGAGTGTACTGAGCGGGGCTGAAGTCGCCCGTTGCATTCACCTTGCCTGCAGCACATGCAGATACATGGCAAAATATTACACACTTCCACCGCTAGCAAGCAAGCAACAACAGCATCTCAGACTGGCACAAGTCACTGGTCGTGGAAGATCCTATTGCTCGCGTTCCCATGTCCGGCCTGCAACGTGCCTCATACCTCATACCGCTAGTGTCCACACTGCTACACATTCCCCTCTCCCTCACAAACGTTTCTTCACCACTGCTGTGTGGCTAAGTTGAAAAACACACCTGAGGGGATCTTGAAGGGTGTAGCGGATGTGGAGGATCCCACAATCCCATGGGAGCCGTCGGCGACCGGATCCCAGTCAAACAGCTGCATGATGCATACATACAAGTGGGGGCAGGTGTAACGCATGTAAGCTAGGGTTATGGCAACAAGGACCTGGCTATGCAGCAGCATGCGGTGCGGTGAGACTTTGGTAACACACGCATGATGGATATTCCTATGCGTACCGCACCAAAACATGTGCCTGGATCAGCAGCATGCCAGTGGCTTCAGTAATTTGTGAAGGGGTCCCACCCACCTGGAGGCACACCATTCGCCCCAGCTGGTCCGCAAGAGTAGACCCCGCCTTGGGGGCGCACAGGGGCGCCCAAACCGGCTTGCCGCCCGCACCGGCAACCTGCGTGCGTGTGAATGTGCTTAATATGCCGTTGCATGGTCTGCGCCTTTGCCAGTGAGCGACCAGCAGCAGCAAGATTGCGACGCTCCAATGACGTGACACCCTAGTTTCCCCATGTAAGGGATGTAACCACTGTCGCACTCGCTTGCATCCATGCCTGCACGCAACCATGCACATGCTCACCTGCACCTCCACCCGGCCAAACCAGCGGCAGTCCTTGTTGGCAGACTGGTTGCAGATGTTGGATTCCACGCTCGTGCTGTACAACACGTTACCGCCGTACATGCGCAGGTAGTTGGACTTGGGCGGCGGGGCTGGGGTTGGGGGGTTGGGAGGGTAGGGATGAAAAGATGGAGCTTCTGTACCCACCCCAAGGTGCGTGCACACCCCACTGCAGCTCGCCCGGTTTCTCCGCTACTTACCCTTTCCGCTAACTATCTTTATCCCTGGAAAGATTTTGCAATGGGAGAGATCTTTAGGAGCTGTGACTTACCAGGAGGCGGGTTGGGCGGGCTGGGAGGCGGAGAGGGTGCGGGAGGGAGGGTCTTGTCTGCATGGTGGGGAATAGGCAGCGGAGGGGGGGGGGAAATTATAAATAAGTACAACAACACAGTTTTAATCCCGAATCCCGACAGGACGACAGGACGTGATGGACAGGTTGGGCTAAGGCTTTCATAGTTCTGCCCGTGTGCATAGCAAACAAAAGGATAAGCAGGACAACGCGCGGACGTATTCTTCATGACACAGATCTCCTTTTAACTGCATAAGCATTCTTCTTTGCACGGCAATACCAGTACGGCACCCACTTGAGCATTGCACACCCGCCAGGGGGCCGATGGCAGGGCAATCGCCCATTGTGAAGGTGCAAACGTTCTTGTTTTTCTTTGGCAGGTCGACATAGCCCAGTAGCATGGACGTGAGCGATCGGGAGTGGCCCTGCTGGTGGCTGGAGTCATCCGCACCCATCAGGGACCGGCGGTGGGCGCTGCTCTCCTTGTGGCAAGAGAGGTAGCCCAGCGGTTGGGCCCTGCAGTACAACAGACCGTACACCGTACACATGGTTGGTTAGGACAGGCGGTGCATGCATATTTCTGGATGTACATGCTTGTTTGCGGTGCATGGGCGGGCGTGCGTAAGGAGGTTCGGAGTTGGAGTTGGATTGAAGCAAGGAGGTTCGGAGCTCAGTAGCAGCTGCATTTTGCAAACAAGTTTACGCACTGCCGAAGGTGGACTGCCCCGTTTCCCTACCACGGCCCCACGTCAGGGCTTTCTTACGTGGCTCCCTGGCGGTATGTTACACTGCCTCCGTAATACTTGCGACCGTAATTGTAGCCCAAGAGCGAGCACATGGTCTGTGGGTGGATTTGGCGAGCACATGGTCTTACCGCGCCCCATGGTAAGACGAAATGGTTCCTCACCATACTCGACAGCCACATTAGGCAAGGAGGGAAGTCTCACTCATTGCAATCCCTGATAACCCAAGGTGTGCACATGCTGGACACACCTTCGCAGTGTCGTCGTTGAAGCTGTCATCACAAACGGTGCGGTACACTGCACCCTTCGTTCCGTTAGTCACCCATAGATCCGTGGACGAAACCAACAAGCGGCCATAGACGATGTTCCCAGATAGCACCCCTCCCTCCAAGCCGATGCCGTTCTTAAACACTGGGAGCATACATTCAAGGCGGGCGTACGTTCAGCCGGAGGTGCATGGTTTGGAGGATGTCAGGACCTTCGGTGAAGGTTGTAATCAAGGGCATGGTCTTGACTTGGTTGCCGGGAAGGCATTGGTATAGGGCGACGGCAGCCTCGTTCAATAACCTTTGTAGCGTGTTGCGTATACTATGGTGCTACCGGCAAAGGTATGGATCATGCCATGGCACCTCGGTGTGTCAGACCAGTTTCCCATGTGTGAGAAACGAGTAGATGACCTAGCTGAAAGAAGTACAAGAGAGGACACATGTTTATACTATATCATGACCAACTTACCAACAGCTGGAGGCGGCCCAAGCGCAGCGGTCGTGGCATCTGCACGGAGCATCGTAATAAACGGGCACGTGGATTACCATAACTGGATTCGCAGTGGTTATGCCGGCAAATATGCGTAAAGAGTTACAGATAAAGCTCACATGTGCACTCACTGTGCAATGGTTGGTGCGTGCCCGTGATATTCATCGCAACCTTCTGCCCCCCCGACACGGCGAGATTAAGTTCCTCCCGGTTTCCAGCAATAACAACCATCAAACTTGGGGTACCCAAGGGCATCAACCACATATGTTTAGGGTCGACTGACAATGCCAGGTGTAGCCACCCTTGTAACCACAACAAATTAGATATATAGGATCCTGTAACCACTTACCTGTTACCGAAAGAAGTATCAGGAGGGTTGCCGACAACAACCACGCCGTATGAGCCATCCTTGACCACATATTGCGCTTATCGCGCGGACTTTGGGTAAGTGAGCGCGGATGTTTAAGTATTAACTACACCACCTTATTATGCATAAACAGAAAGTTTAAAGAGCCGGGCGGAGTAACACGCACTACACACTTACTACATGTACGGCCGGATGGATTGGCTGTAGAGCACGACGCATTTCGCTGCGTGAATGTACCTGGGCAAAAGCATTACGTAACAGTGCGCTGAAGGGTTATGGAATTATACTAAAAACTCTCTAAGGCGGGCGGGCGGGCGGTTATCTGTATCTTACGCTTTTCCCTGTTATTGGGCACAGAAATGACGGTTAAGTATGTCTTGATTGCAGATAATGTATTCCAGAAAGCAGTAAGGAGTCTGTTTGCATGCCCGTGTAAATAGTAATTCCCAACAACGGTTGCAGCTCGCACGATACTGAAAGAGAGTTACCGTCAAATAACATGTACCGGTATTATGTTAAGATAATGTGGAGAACTGTCCGAGGCCTGCAGGTATCCAAGCAGTAGGTTGCTACTAGCTGCAGGCTGTAACATGCAACCCGGGTCGCAGTAACATGCCACAGTAACGTTCATGCGTACTCGTCCGGCTAAGCTCAGCCGCGGCTACCGCAGCAGCAGCCATTGAACGCACTGGTCTTGGTCATCAAGGAAGGGCTTCATGCGTGGTAGATATGTGTGGCACGTGCTTATCTCAGCGCTCCCACCACCAGCCATCACCCAGCCATCTGTACCACATCCCGTTCTGTGCTACAGCCTGCAGCGCCGCGCTGAGTCCGGCCCCCCCCCGCTCTCTGCTTAAAGTCCTTTCTCGATCGGCCAACCAGGTCGCGTCCTTGCTTGCCTGCACGGTCGCCTGCCTCCCACTGCCCTTCCCTGCTGGCTACCTCGATGTACTGGCGACGCTACTCTTTCCCTCCCTATCCCTGTTCGCTCTGGCTTCGGTAAGTCTACATTTTTTGGTAAGTGCATTACATTGCCCTTCCCCTCGTGGAACCTGCCCCCCCAGTCAGTTTCCTTACCGGTATTTTTACCCCTTCCCCCATGCATGCACTTGGAGTGTGGCGCCGGCATCCCCTGGTCCTTCCCCTGTGGCGCCTGAATCCCCACACTGCCCAATCAGATGATGCATTCACTCTTCAAAGTCCGCCTGAAGCTTCCGAGCCGTCCTCTGGTATAGCCGCAGCTACAGGTAGGTCACATGCCTGCCAACATGCGCCCCGGCTGCCAAAGCAACACCACGTAACCGGAACATGCATGTCCTCCCCCGTCGCTCATCCCACGTCCTGCACGGCCCCACTCCCACTTAAGATGTCTCCTCTGCTGCTGCGCCTGTGATAACGGCGACAGAGCAACACCATGGGTCGCCTGCCTTCCTCTGTTCTCTCGTTTACACCCTGCATCCGTGCGCAATGTCTCCATTTCCATTTATTCCCAGGGCGCTGCCTTCCCGCGCCCTTCCCTGCACAATCGCCTGCCCCTTCCTGTCCTACCCCTGCTCGTGGCCTGCCGCCACCTCGCTCTTGCCCTTGCCTGCACGGTGCTTGTCGTGCCGAAACGCTGGCTTGCATACCGAAGGACACAAGACCACCAGCTCAAACAGTCTGACCTCCCATCGGCAACGCTACCGGTGCGCCCTTCCATATGTTGCGACCGGTGCTCAGCCCGAGTATGGGGCTGCACGGCCTAATTATGACTATGCGAGGTACGACACAGATGCCAGAAGTGCCGTATCAAACAATAAACCACGAACAACCTACACCCAGAGCAACAAAGCCACAATGTAAGCCACAAGGGTTTACACAATAACACCTGCACAAGCCAGGGACAACCCTCTTGCCCACGGAATGGACGAGTCATCAATAAGGCACTACACACCACGGCCATTACCGACACAGCTAAGCATGCACGCTAAGCGACCGTGTCTTTGCTTGTATTGAAAGGTGTGAAGTAACCATATGCTCCACAAGTAAGGCATTTGGCAATGAGTCTACATCTACGGCAAGACACGTTATTGCTGGCAAGGGAAAAAAAAGGGTGACCCATGGGTCATCCAACCCACGAAGCGCAGCATTTGAGGTGCGGGGGTTGCTTACTTACAGTACCGTACGGAAGCCGTACTCCAGCGCAATCTACGGGCTAGTCCCAAAGGCATTGGGATTTGTTCCAACTTAACGGAGCAGCTTTCAAGTGAAGTGTAAATGACTGTAAAGGGTCCCAAAAAAATGGCAAAAACGGCGCCTGTATGTGGGGTGTTGCTGCCAGCGCAGATGAGAAGAGCCTTACGGACTTGGAGATGTCCCTTTCAAGAGTTTCAACTACCTTTCAAGAGTTTCAACTACCGTAAACGTCACAATGGCCTTCGTGACAACCCAGCTGCACCATTAGCCGCCAACCATCCCAGAAAACATCATGATGAACGCCGACGTCGGCAACGCCGCCGCCGTAGAAAAGGAAAGGTGATCCCCGCCCATGCACGCATCCTGGTTACACGCATTAACGGGAACATGCTCGATTGGTTGCAATCGGCCATTCCTTACGATGAAGAGTAAATCCTGGCAGCAGGTACCGTTCAGAAAAACACCTGTCTCCTGCAAACGGCTGCTGCTCCCATGCTGCCCGGGCTACATAATATAACAACCAAGAACACAAAACGTCAGTTGTATGTAACATGGGACTATACTCGTTGTGAAATGAAACTAGATTGATGCACTCTTTACGAGTACCCGTAGCTACATACGTTTCCAAGACAGCCCCTATGGAACCGCCCGCAACCAGTCATCCAGCGCATGAGTCGCAGCGCCTGCAATGTCGTATCCACTTAACAAAAACAAGTCAATCAGCCACCAACATGCTACAGTGCACGGCCAGCATGGCACCCGTGGAGCACCGAGCAGCAGTAACCTGCATGCATGCACAGCCAGCACGAATATAAGTCAGACAACTTATATCATAAACCGAATACCATGTGCAATCATTGTAGGTCAATCTTCTGGAGTGGTCAGCAATGGCCGTGCTATGAGTCCGAATCCCGTACACCCTCTCCCCTGGGCTTTCTAACTATGCACCACAGCCCTAATGTGTCCCTGAAGGCTCCCTATGCCACAACAATCTAACCTACCTTGAGTTGTAAGTCTTGGATTTTATTAGCCGTGGTGATGTTGCCGCCAATAACGGTAGCCCAACGAGTGTACTGAGCGGGGTTGAAGTTGCCCGCCTTGCTTACAAACTTGCCTGCAAGAGCCGTGCAGTGCATGCATCAACAATACAAGGCAAGGTGCGCAGTCTGCGTGAAGCATACACCGTTTGCTCACAGAAGGCAACTGCACGGCAGGCATCACACGGTATGACATCAGCTTTGGCGTGTAACATTCGGGAACCTGGCCTCCTTCGCCCCAGATCACTGCCGGCGACAGCCGCAATTCGATTTGGATGCGGGTACTCCCTTTCTTGGCGGCTACGTTGTATAGTGTTGGCCTTGACGAATTCGATTACCCGAGGTTTCGTGTCATGCATGGAACAAGCTAAATATCTTTTCTTTTCCACACATATACATACCTGAGGGGATACTTATGGGTGTGGACGAGTAGCCTGACAAAACACCTCGGAGTCTGTCAGCAACAGGATCCCAGTCATACATCTGCACATATGCCACGTGGAGGCAAAGGCAAAAATGCAAAAGCGAGCAGCGGGGAAGAGCCACAGGAAGCACGTTAAAAGTCACACTGTGGTTAAACAACATGCGGTGCAGCAGGTAGCGTCGGAAAGCGCCGGGCACCATATCACCGCATAAACACAAGTGCCTGCTGTGTTTTGAAACATGCTCCGGCAGCTAGGCAACGTGTAGACGAGGGGACTGGGCAACGGTTCAGCAGCATGCTTCTGGGTCGTCTCAGTCGACGCACAGCACAGCTAGGTCCCCCGCTCCACGCACCTGGAGGCACACCAGCTGCTCAATATCCATCCTAAGGGTGGACTTGGGGGCGCACAGGGGCGCCCAAACCGGCTTGCCGCCCGCACCGGCAACCTGCGTGCGTGCGAACAAGGTAACATTAGGGATAGCCCTAATGTTTGTATGGCATGCGCCTTTGTATTAGCGACCACCAGCAGCTGAATCACCAATGGATGCATTCCTTAGATGACACTGCAGCTGCGCCACTGCTCCAGTAACCTAGCCACTGTCGCACTCGCTTGCACCCATGCATGCCTGCAACCATGCACATGCTCACCTGCACCTCCACCCGCCCCCAATAGCGGCAATCTTCATTTAGAGTTTTGTTGCAGATGTTGCGCTCCAGGCGGGTGCCGTCGTAGTAACCGTTACCGCCGTACATGCGCAGGTAGCTGGACTTGGGCGGCGGGGCTGGGGTGGGAGGTAAGGAGGAAACAACTAACTGACCGGGGGATAGAGGATTATGAGGAAGGAATGGGAAGGAGGGGCATTAGGTCTTTCCACGGAAAGGAACAAACGTGTGAAAGCACGTGGGATGTTGGCATGGCCATTAAGTGTTTCGTTTAGCGAGGTGTGTGGGGTATGTCTTGTGCGTGGGCCAGGACTACAGTCGTGTAACCTCGCCGTACCAAGATGAACATGGACCAGAGGTACTACGTTCAGGGACGTACACGGCCCGGTGTGTCTAAACTTCTCTGCCGCCATCCTTAAAAGCAACTGCTATAAGACAGGATGGCCCTAACATCTGACACTTACCAGTAGGCGAGCTGGGGGGCGGTGAGGGTTCGGGAGGGAGGGGCTTGTCTGCATGACAGGGAACAGGCAGCAAGAGGGCGGGGATAATGCCTTCGGAGTCACACTCGGACAGTACGGCAGCCAGACAATACGGCCATGTAAAGCGGGCTTGGGGATAAGCAGAAAGAAAGGACACCAAAAGGACCACAACGGACATGATCTTTCAACAGCCTGCGTACTGCAGAACTGGACGGCAATGCGGCACTCACTTGAGCACTGCACAGCAGCCAGAGGGGCGATGGCAGGGCATGTACTAACTGTGTCAATTGTACACACAAATCCGCTTGACTTTGGCAGGTTGACATAGGCGGATAGTTCAGTCAACGTGCGGGAGTGGCCCTGCTGACGGCTGTAAGAAGATCCCTCCCGGTCATCAGCACCCATCAGGGATCGGCGGTGGGTGCTGGTCTCATTATGGCAAATGAGGTGGCTCACCGGTCGGCCCCTGCAGTACATTATGCAGTACACAAAATAACGGATTGATTCAGTTAGACAGGATATGCGTGGTGTATCCAGGCGTACTGACTCGATTGGGCATGGCGCGGTGAGGACCCAGGGCACCGGAAAACTTTGCCCCCATTTGACACCTTGCCAGCGAATTTCTAGCCTCATTTGACATGGCGAGAACAGTTTGCCCCATTTGACAAAACTCAAAACATTTTATTTTGTCACGTAAATGATGGGCAATACGGTATGTGTGGCGTCCAGCACACGTTTCAACTCACTACCAAAGGCTTGCCTCCCCCATTTCCCTACCACAGCCCCACGCCAGGGTTCGCAAAATATGGTCGAAACGACAAACCAGTGTAACCACCGGGCGCTTTATTCAAGTCATGGCCTCTCAGTCTACAAGACGACGCAAAACGACCTGCTAACTTTCTTACGTGGTACCCGGGCGTCCTGTTGCGTCGCTTCCATAGTACTTGCGACCGAACCCGAAGCCCAGTAACGTGCACATGGTCTGTGCGTTGAGGAATACACGGAAGGGGTGTTTCGGAAGATGCATGGGTGAGGCGGGTGCGGCCACAATTCGCCGGACTAAGGCTACTGGTAAGGATAGGCAAAGCAAGAACGTAAGTATCCTCGGAGTGTCCACAAGCAAGCCTTTATACGATGAAAGCATTTTATCCCTATTTTTCCATCCATCATTCCCCACCCATGTATTGGTAAGGACGACAGTGCATCTTGTGCAACCCCTGTATATACACAGGAGCACATTATCGCCCCCACATACCTCAGCCTCGTTGTTGCTGAAATCGTGTGCGTCGCAAACGGTGCGGTACACTGGGCCCTGCACTCCGTTTGTCACCCTTGGATCATTTGACGAGACCAACAAACGACCATAAATTACGCCCCCTGGCAACACTCCGCCTTGCTCCAGGCCGATTCCGTTCTTATACACTGGGATCATACGATGAAAGCGGGCGTACGTTTATTTAGCTGGAGGTGCAGGTTTGGAGGATGCTTAGACCTTAAGAGGCTGTAGCAAAGCAGATCTTTGTCGTGTGCGCACATGGGCTCGAGTGGTTGTCGGGTGGGCATCGGCAACCGACGAGCAGCTCTTACGACGTGCGCACACCATGGTGCTATCGGTGACAAGGATGGAACAAGCATTGGCGCACGCAGTGTATACCGGTAAGCAGTCCAGTGTCGGACGCAAAGACCTTACTGCAGCATATGTGAAACGGGTACATGTTTACAGCTGATCCGGTTTAACTTACTAACAGCTGGAGGCGGCCCAAGTGCTGTTGTTATGGCATCTGCACGGGACAAGGCAGTAGAGGAGCAAACTAAAGGTTTACAACTGTATATGTTGAAGTCAGAGCCTCAAATATATCAAGGTGTGAACCTCTCAGCAGCTTTAGCTGCGCTATTTTCTGCGACATTGCGGTGCGTGCGAGCGTGCCCGTGCAACCCTACCCTCCGCCGCGCCAACACGAAAAACCTAGATTCAAGTTATACGCGTTATACGAGATATCAACGGGTAGCTGGATAACCTTCATCCGTAGCTACATTAAGGTCTACTGTCAAGGTCAGGTAAGGCTAAACTTCTAACCGCAACACGCAAGTATTAAAAGGCATGAACCACTGGTGAGACATACCTGTTGTAAAAAGCATCATTAGGAAAGTCGCCGAGGACAACCACAATGGCCAAGCCATTCGTGATCACGTAGTGCGCTTAACGCGCGAACTATGCATAAGTCATCTGATAGACTTTCCATGACTCTAAAGCATGCTAAGCAATATTGGTCAGGAACCACTCCTTGTACGGCTGGAGAATCACTGGACCGTGCACGGGAAGAGCATTCCGTCATTCGTAACTTTAATTTCCTTCCGTTTTCCTGCTTTTCTAGGTTGGTTCTTGATATTTCGATCCACGACCCTCCTGGCTCACCTTGGCCTTAAGAGCCTAGAGCTTGTAACAATTCTACTCAAGCTACGGTCAAGCAAAGCTGGATCATTGAACATGAACCGCTCCGTACCGCAGTGATCCAGCTTTGCTTGACCGAAGCAGGCAGGGCAAATGCGGATCCTGGCTAAAGTCTCATAAAAGCTGCATTGCAGCTAGCAAACAGCAGCTCCTCCCATGACAACAGGTAGCATTTGGCAAACGATGCAATAGGAACCTTACATTAAGCAAAGCTACGGCGGCTGCGGAAGATACAAGCTTAAGCAACGACGCCATCGACATGCGCTCAACAAGCGCAGTCCCTTTCCCGACCAAAGCACTCTGACAAATTCAGGCTACTACAAGCAGCGAAGCAGTATCAGGTCGCAACGGTACCTTAATTGTTTAAGACCCGTGCTTGAGCACGGACTCCAAGCCAACAAAAAATGTGCAAATAAGCAACAGCAGGTCACTTACAGTGAGGGAAACGTATACATTAGAGATGTTTGCAAGGCAGCACCTTGCACGCATACATGTAAGGGGGAATGGGGGTATGGGGGAAGGGGCACCAGCCCCTTCCCCCACCAAGATGCATATGGTGCCAAGGGAGGCAAGAGCTCCACAGACGGCTGCGACACTCCACGCTAGTTAATTATTATTATTTTGCAGCCTCAGTCGCTCAAGCGAGCTGACACCTTCGCGCAGCTTCCTTTGTCGTAGAGGGGGACAACTGAAAACGGAATGCAAAATAGCGTCATTGGGCGCATGCAGCCGCTGGGCAGTTTGTTTTGCATAAATGCAGGCAGGTCAAAGGCGGATCCTGGCTAAAGTCGCAAAAAGGCTAATTGTACTGCATTGTCACAGCTAGCAAACGCATGGGTGCCGCTGCCCCCAGGTCCGGAGCGACCTAAGCGTACGGCCCCGTTTTTACTTTTTCCTTTATTTTAGTCTTTTTGCAACTATTGACTGTGTCTTCCTAAGTGCCAGGTGAATGGGCGCTTAAATCAGCCTCGCCCACTTGAAAAGTCCGCTTGCAAGTCTGTCAGCGCATTTCCCCAGCAAAAGACGCATGTCGCATGTACCGTTATGGTAGCAATGTTTTTGGCCTGCCCTTGATTCTAGACGCTCCGCCAGGCCGCGGCTTGGAAGCAAGGGAACAGCCTTAGTGAACACCCCGGCAAATTGTAGAGAATTTAGCGTGAGCTTTTTGGCATCTTTTTCGTGCAAAAGGTTTGGAATTTGAATGTGTATATGCAAGTCACAAAGGCAACCTGCGATGTGGCTCCAAGTCAAGAACGATTGTTATGAGTAGAGAGGAGTTTCTAGCTGCAGCGTTCGTCACATAATCAATGCACACGTGTTTGTTGTATTGTGATGTTAAAATAATGATGTGTATATGGGTGAGCAGTGATATTGGCCTGTGTCGTACAAAGTACAAAACAAGTTACAAAAAAAGAGGCATTAAGCGCATGTCGATAGCTTGCTACACGTTGGTATCCGTTAGGTTGTTGTCGCGGTAAGGCCAGCAGCGTAGTTTAATAGGGCCGACACCAATGGCTTCGGTTTTGCCTTCCTTACTCAATACACACAATGGCCAGGGAATGCATGAAAACATATGAAGTTGACGCTCTGTGTAAAGCAGCCGAGACTATTGCTTCTAGCGGACTGAAACTTACTGCCAAGCTATTGCATAACGAAGTGTGCTCCGACACGCGCTTGAAGGGCTTGACGTATAAACAAGCCTTACAAACTATCGTGGCTACTGGGAAGGAAGCGTCGCCAAAGACATTGCTGCAGGAAATGGGGCGGCCCAGTATCACTGTAGGCATGGTGCGGAATCGACTGCGGAATGAACAAAGTCAAAAAGGTACGGTCGCTCATAGTGAACTGTTTGAAGGTAACCACTGTTTCGCTGACGACATTGCTCCATCGCACAAACAAAGGTGACAATGTTCCAAGCAGTGCTCAAAAGGAGAGCGGTATGGGTACGTTGTTTATTATGAGTGCATTTCAGAAAAGGTGCTGGAGGAATGCTGCACCGAAGAGAGCGTACCACTGAATACTAGCCCAACATGCTCTGAATGCCACCCACAAGCCCCTGCCCACATAGAAGAAGACAACTTTGGCGACGAGGCTCTGCCAGCATATGACAAACGCAGTGGAGTGCAGAGGTGCACCTACACTACAGTTGAAGCAGCAGAGGAAGCCTGCAGATCTCCATCCCCTCCCCTCCCCTGCCAAAGCTTGGATCCCAAACTCAGCCTCTCTGGATGTTATAGCCTCCACGGTTCAATACACTTTTCCTATGCAAACCATGCCACCGCCCTGTCCTCCCCACCCCTACTTTCCTGTTGCCTTACCTTTCCTCGCTTTCCTTTCACCACCAACCCTGTTCTTGCTTTCCTATCCCTTTCCCTGCCCACGCCATCCTTTAGCTTCCATGCCTTTATTGTTCTCTCCCCGTGACTCCCCTTGCCAACCCATTCCCACCCCATCCCTGTGCTCGAATGAGGGTGACGGCGAGGGCAACTGATACCTAGGACCGTGCGTCAGTTACTGTGCACGCCTATGATACCCTCGAGTTGCCAACGCAATTGCAACCCTACTTAACAAGACGGCTTGCCCCTGAGGGCCGCAGACGCCGGGCTTGCTGGTGCAATAAGCCAATTCGCACTATCCAGGCATGCCCCTCGACGCTGTAAACGCCTCCCTCATATGACCCTACGCAGCCATCTGACCCTCCCAAATGGGACACCCATGCGCCACTCTCCTAAGCAGCCTCGTCAGCCCCCCAGCCCGCCACCTTACCCACCCAAGCATGACTCCCACACACCGCCATCATAAGCAGCCGCAAAAACGCACTAAACCACCCCACCACACCGTCACCCCCCCCTGCCGCACACCCGCTTGGGCAGGCCACGAGATCGCTTCGGTCTGGTGTAAGCAAGACCTAAGTCAGTTTATTATACGAAAGTTTGCGGAAATGTGGCTTTTGCCGAGCCGTCCTGAGCCGTTATACCATTTCAAGGCTAATTACATGTCATAAGGATACCGGACAAATTTAGCAAACAGTAGGTCCATGGCAAGCGAAGATGGCGGTAGTATGTCCTCTGAGTACGCTTCCGACTACCACAGTGACGATGATGACGCATATAAAGATGCCACTGAAGGTTTCGAGGACGACCTATCACTCACCGAGGAAGTATCATCGGAAGAAGCCGAGAATGCCGGCTAGAGGGATATGGTGGAGTTGGGGCAGGCTGCAGCTGATGGGGACACATACCCCTTCATTGACGTAGGCGTCTTCGTGAGTATCGCTCCGCCATACGGTTTCCCTTATGCTTTACTTTCCCTGTCTGTGATACCAACTGCACTCCCACTGGGTATTCCCTTCATTCTCCTTAACACAAGGCTTGTACTTCCGTGCTGTATATAGCCGCCCCCCATTCCTTTAGGAGTGTATGCGCCATTCCCCTACCGCATTCCCCCATGCGTTTACTTAAGCGGATACCCTGACTAACGTCATGCACCTCTGTGCCGTAGGAGGTTGATGATTTGGATGACGAGGACACTTCAGGCAACTTACCAGAAGGTTTCTAACTTTCTATGCCCCATGCTGCGTATAGACAGGCTACCATGTGTCAACAGAAGCCGCATGCAGCACATCACGCCCCGTAACCTTCTTTGGCAAGCAAACCGCACGGTTGCTTTGTATGTGCGCAGGATAACTCTCGCGGGCACAAGGATGGGCCACCTGTCGGTGAAGTGGCTGGTAGGTTTTCGGTCCTTTGCACTTCAGAGGGCCTCCACCCCTGTCTTGAAGGCCCCCCAAGCCACCACCTGGGAAAACCGATCGTTGCCTTTTGCGCCGAAACTTTGGGAATGGTGCCTTTTTAGATAACATAAAGGTGGGGTTAAACGGGCGTGACAAAATTTGATGGTCGGTTGGCCCTCTGCACTTTAGAGGGCCTCCCCCCTATACCCTGAAAGCCCCCCCAAGCCACCACCTGGGAAAACCGATCATTGCCTTTTGCGCTGAAACTTAGGGAATGGTTCCTGTTAGGTAACACAAAGTTGAGGTTAAATGGCCTGGGTGCAAAGGCACCGGTCACTGGGAGGGGCGGGCAAGCACATGTGGGCAAACATGTTGTGGACAGGGGTACCATGGTGAACCCCCCCTCGGTGGCAAGGGCAGGCGCGCTGAGCGGCATCATAACGCCGTCGCCAACAGCAGTCAGCCTTCCATTAAACGAGGACGGCGCCTGAATTGAGTGCTCGGTTCGATACAACTCTCCGGAAGCGAGCACATGCATCATGCCAGGTTGCGCGCGGAACCATGGCGCAGAGCAAACAGAGTACAGGGGTCTTGCCTGCTGAGTAAATACGTTGTCCAGGTTATAGACATTTTCCTTGCTGTCAGTGAATGGGGAAGCCATCTGAGCTTTGCTGGATGGGGAGGGCTGACGACGCGGTCGCAAGCGCGCAACAATAGTGGTTTGTGCCGAAATGACACCAAACACTTCCAATAATTATTGGGCAGCTAGTAAGGCTTTTTAAAGCAAAAAAGCTTACAAAAGCGGAAATTCTTATGGCTGGTGCCGTACGCCTAGGTCGCTCCGGACCTGGGGGTAACGGTGGTCATCCCAAACAAACAGCTTAACAGCAGCTCCTCCCATGACAACAGGTAGCATTTGGCAAGACGCTGCAACAGGAAGTAACATGAAGCATAGCTACGGCGGCTGCGGAAGACCTAAGCTTTAGCATCGACGTCACCGACATGCGCTCAACACGTGCAGTCACTTTCCCGACCACAAAACACTGGCAAAATTTGGTCTA